GAAAGTTTCCTATAAGATCTTTCATGGCCAATACGATATTCGAGTCACTCACAAGACCTGAGGCATGGCGCGGAACCAAGCCTCTCATGAGTACTCTGCCTGACGCTGTATATTTTCGATTTGCACGTCACTCGTACCCTGGCTCTCGAATTCCATACACGGAACTGCTCTAGTCTTATTACAGACCAGCTGGAGCCGAAATATATAGCAGGGCTGCAGATGGTCATGTAATAGTGCAAGGTCACACTGTGGCTGCTCGATCGCGAACGATGTCTTTCAAAGACTGGAAGACGTACGCAATTTGTGTTGGGAGTCGTTGTATATGCTCAACACGGATCAGAAGGTTGCATGTGGGTTTTCTATCGATGGAGCCGAATCACGCAACATCACAAAGAGAACATCAATTGCAACAGAATAAATGCTGTACGATTCGGCCTTTGAAGAGACCTAGCAAACTACAGACGAGCCGATTACTCTTCTGAGTGTTTACTCCGTCCACCATCAGAGATACTTGTATCAGAATTTTCTGATACTTGCAAGGTCGCAGTAGAATGCCAGTACCTATAGAAGAATCGGTGTAGGGTCAGGAAAACTGTATCGTAGCAGTGTAGGCGGATACTTCATTCCAGGCGAGCCGCGAAACGTCAGGCTATTCGGGTGGCTAGCAGTCCACCTTGAGAAAAGTGGTCGTGGCATCGGAACAACGGTCGAACAGGTCATTTGCACCCGTTAGCTGCATGGGATACTGTACCAAATTTAGTGAGGTCAACATTGGGACTAGCCAGTGGTCATACACTGGTGGTTGTGTGCTCGATAGGCAGACTCGCTTTGCCAATTTCTTTACGTTGAGACAGGTGCTCCAAGCAATATTCGTTTCCTGTCGCGGCCCAATTTGTGCAGCCGTCAGTCCTGCACCTCGAAGACATGTCGTTAATCCTTCGATTTCAAAAATCGAGATTCGGAAAATCGACGTGTTCTGATAAGGCCACTGATAGTCAGGAACAAATTGGGGTATGGCGATCAAATGACGGACGGAACCTTTGAAGACAAGAGAGTTTAGAAGCCAGAGTGGATGGTTATATGATTTTGTACACACAGCCTCATAGACCCGCATCAGTGATGCCTTGCGTCTGACGTGGCTAGTGCATACTTTCTTGCGACCCCAGTTTCGCTAAAAAATCTATGCATGCTCCAATGGTGTGCCTTATCAGCCACTTCGCGGCTTTCTAGCTGCTGCATATTAGACAGGGGATGGTACACAAAATGAGTTTAGCTTTAAATCATAGCTTTCCCGTCGATCCTGAGATCAAAGCCCATGTTAATTTGCACTCTGTGTGTTCTCCTTGAAGATACCTCCCTGTCACATAGCCTGCCCCAATCCTTTTGACCCTGTCACTGTCTGATATCCCATCAATCTGTGGTCTAAGGATCAGTATGTAGTGTCTCCCTGCCTTGGACGTCCCGGGAATTCTCTCAATGCCTGACAAGACGGCCTTGAATGGAAGTAGGTTTGAGTAAGTGGAATAGTCGAAGATGATCCCCTGCCGGGTGGTCCGAATCCAGCAACAGTCGGCGACTTTCATGCGCTGTTGCCGGACACACATGTAAAGCGGGTCAGAGATCAACCCGGGAATGTCTCTCGCCCCGCACGTTTTATTCGTGCCAGCCAAGCGCGCTCGGCTACCACATGACGGTACTTTGTAGTAACCCAGTCTCGTTACAAAATGCGCAAATGCTAAGTTGAGGGAATGGACAACAGGAATTTCCCCATGTCATAAGAGATGAGATTTGTAGGCATGGTCATGCTTCCTTACATTTCTGTTTATGACAGTGTTCGGAGGGAATCTGGTGTTTCGTCGCCACCCAGAAAAAAAGCAATTACACATACTACATGCGTCATTAGGTGATTTTGCACATGCCGCGCTAAGGCTAGTCGCCCAGTATCGAAATGCAGGCAGAGGTACTCCAGCTCGACATGTACAGCATTGATGCGCACTCTCAAGTGATAGGCAGCAAGTAGCCGAGCAATGCACACCCACGAGGCGCTCGTACAGTACAGTCACGTGAACCGCTATATCGGAAAGGAGTAGCTGCTCGCACGGAAATGGTAACTGTGTCCGTCTTTGGGGCCAAGAGTGATGACCGAGGTGCTATTTGCATCAGTGTGGCGCCTGTGAAGTCTGCCAAGGAGACGCCCCAAGGTCTTGCGAAAGTTTGTGCGTGTTTTTCATCAGCTGCTACTCCAATCCTAGGCAGACTTGCATGACTAGTTGTGTTCCGGAAAGTAGAAGAAAAGCGAGAGGGGACGAGCATGAGTTGCGGCGGCACCTGATGCGACTAAGTCTGTTCATCGAGTTAGCCAGGATGAACACGCCGCTGGGGCCAAAAGATACGGAAGGCTTATCAATAATGCAAATCAACCCATTCGTCTGTTCCTTTTTACCGGCGATTGCTCTCTCGATTTCACGAGGGCGACGTTCACAAAGATCTTGCTCAGAAGTTGCCGGACTGATGGACACAATTGACGTGATTCGCACTCAGGCAAGGAAACTTGAACAAAACCAACCATTTGATTCATTGACGGTTTCCCAAGATGTAGACTCACTGCGTACAGGTAGTTGCAGTTAAGATAGTCATGGAGAACTTGCTGTACGACAAAAGATCTGCAGTGCAATTCGCATAAATGAGCGTGGACGATCCAAATCGAGACACACCATGTTGAGACTAATATTGGTAGACCGGAAACATAGCTTGCAAAAAATCCCACGGATTGCGGATGCATAGCTTCCGATCGCAGACGACAGTTGTCAGGAACATAAGATGCACAGGACGTCTGATGTACCACACTCACTTGATCAGCCTTCAAGAAAAAGTCTTACCACTCTGTTTTATGACAAGGCAGCCCCTAAAGTATTGGGCCACACGAGGACTCAGTCGGATAGTGCTACTGTCAACTTATTTCGGCAAACTCACAATAGACTAGGTTTATTGCAGATCCCTCCTGTTGTTCATGGTTCCAAATTGTCTTTAGGGCTAGAGCGGAGAGGAGAGAAGGAATCGAATTCGCCAGGTGCGCCGCGAAAACAGAATGAAAGGACAGCGCAACGGCCATCTAGCGTTCCTTTCGATACAGATCGGCTCCATCATCAATTGATAATGGCGCAAATTACTGAACCTATCAATAATTGAGAATTTCTGCCAATTCGAGATATGGATAGGCTTGTCACTCAGTCATCAGTGGATAAAGAACTGATCGAGGATCGAGTATCTACCTAGAAAGATTCTGTTCCGTACCTGTCAACCAGCCACCTACGTTCGAGTCGAATCGACCCAGAAATTTGAGAGTGCACAACACGGCCAATCGGGGACTGAGCCAGGTCGCATAATTCGACACGAACAGGCCTGTTACAAAAGAATATTTTCAATCTTACTGTTGATGGGAAAGAGCTGGTCTTTCGTTGAGGAAGGTGTCTCAGATGCCGATCTTCCCTTGTCAAAAACACGACGAGGTGACAGTACCTTCGAGATTCGAAGGCGCCGTGAACATGACCAAACTGCGTTGAAATGTCTGAAGAGACAGGGCGACATAAGCGATTCCGCGACACGGCAGTGGTGCGTGCTTGCGCCTTGATTTGGCGAGTCATATCGGGAAAAGGCTCAATATCACATAATGCACAAAGGCTAGATCTTACCTCATACTTCGTTGGAAAACCTAGGTCGGGTAAGTGGATTCGGAGAAGCACACAAGGCTGGAGTACATTCTCAGCATCACAAGTTCAATCGGAAGGAGGTAAGTAGTCTCTGCCCATCGTGTCTCTGGATGATTTTGACAAATATCCTTATCAGATTTTGCTTAGGGCTAAACTAGATCTTAGTCCATATCGGAAGTCAGGTAAATTGCCTAAGTCGAGAGACAGCGCCGAGAAGTCCACATGGCTAAAAAAAAACAATGCTGCGGCCTTGCCGGAACAGTCCTCCAGATTCTTCATTACAGGACAATGTCCGACGACAATAGCGTATCACAAGACCAAAATAGCCAAACCAACAAGCGATGTGACTGCCCGGAGTCACGCGAAAAGAACTACGGAGTAGAAGAGAGCTCTCAAACTCTTCGGTTGTCATGGTGACATCAAGCCAACAAATATCCTTTGTTTTCCCGATTGCAAAGTAGCAAGAGGCTATGGCACTCTAAACCTTTCTGACTTCGGAACCACACGCTTCAGCGATGACAAAAGTGAAGCCGTGCTGGTTGGAGAATGCGTGCCAGACTCGAGACCATACCAATCACCTGAGAGCCGAATACCTAACCGAAGGCTCCGTGTTCAGTGCGATGTGTGTTCGCTTGGGTGTGTATTTCTAGGGTTTCTACGCTGGTAATTTGGTGGGCGTGGGCGTATTGAAGCGTTCGAAAGCGAACCGTCTTGTGGCCACGAAAGCTCGTCATTCTTCTTCCTAAAGGTGGAAGACAACCCACCTTCAACATCCGCCGAATTGAAACCATTGGCCACCAAGGTAAGCTTAAAATAGATCTCCAGGGAGCATAACCTGAATTCTGAATAATTGATAGACAATCGCAAAACTGCGCGAGGAGTGAGTGCCTAATCGTGACCTAGATGCCGTTATCCAAGCTGTCCAGAGCGATATGCTCGTGATCACGGAAGACTATAACGATGGGAGGTGTAGTCGCAAGACCATCGCTAAAATCGCCCAGGACCTGGTCTCAGACTTGCCGTCTCTAGAAGAAGACTCTGGGGAAGAAGCATATTGACCGAAGCAGGCTCCACTGAGCTAAGCGGCCTTGTTTGGTTGCGCGTTAACCAGCTTTATTGGGCACAGCCTTGCGATTACGTGGGGTGGTGACACCATTTTTCGAGCCTGTAAACGGAGCTGTCACACCAAGGGTCATAGGAGATGATACGAAGATGGCTATGATACTTCGATGGTGGTCAGTGGGTTCTTTTCCGCCCCCAGTCCAAGCTCTGTTGCATCTAATGGGTCTAGCGACCTTCAAGGAAATGAGGAAACCAGGGGAAGGACATCAGTCGCGATATTTTATTTGTTCGCCTGTGTTCCACAACCCCAAATCCCCCTCATCAGTCCAGATAACCTTTTCGCCATAAATAGTTTCTGTACAACGTGATCCGCGCCTGCAGCCACGGCGTTCTTCTTCTGTGCCACTTCGCTAAGCATTGAAGACCTATGGCATAACAGCAATCCTTTCCAAGGTTCCATACCTGTCAATAAAGGCTATGCTCACTGTACGCTACGAAAGGGTACGTCGGTATCGACCGGTCAGACAATTACAGATCTCAACATCGTCAAATTTAGGCCTGCTAGTGGTATGCCTCAACAAGTCGCCGACACTAAGGTCGCGATGTATATGTGGAGCCTACTAATTTACGAGCACCTGTCCGGGTGGGCCGGGCATCGCACAGAGGGCATAGCACACCAGGACTCGCTTTTGTGGTCACATCCTCTTGTTTCTGAACTAGCTACGATATTTTAGAAGAGAATAGAATATGTCTGAAGGCTCAACCACAGTCAGCTGCGTCTAGAGCTTTGACACATGCTTGTAAACGTGCTACTACTATATTTTCAAACTTCAGCTTTAACTCTCTTGAGCGAATTTCCGGTGTTAAGGCCTCTGAAAACTCATTCTCGGTGTCTCCTAAACAAAATTGTACGATACTGGTGTACGTCGAGCCCATTTGCGGACCAAGTTCTGGCACTAAATCCTCGCTGACAATCTGACTGAGTGTATGTGGAGGTGTGTTGTCGTCGACACCTTCCGTCAGCTGCTTCAGTGTTTGCCAGAGCCCGATCTCAAGCAACACTATTCCTAGACCGTAATATTCGTAAGCGAGGCGATATCCTTTGCGATTGATTGCGTAGTCCGGGTGCTGATAGTCAAGCAAATCTTCCTGGCCTAACAGTCCCTCCGACCATTCATTCTCGTTCTCTAAACGACTATGATTGAAACCCACGATGACTGGTTGTGTGAAGTCGATGGTCAGATTCTCTTTCTGGTTTTTGCTATCTGCTTTCTGGCTGGAAGATGGGAAAAAAATGACTGAGCTTGAATTGATGTTCTTATGCAGCCACGCAGCTTTGTGGAACTGTGAGATGGAGCGAGCAAGACTGAGTGCAAGTTTGAAGCGGTGCTCTAGCCTGGGCTTTTTGATGTTCGCTTTTTTCTTCGGACGGTCTTTCTCCATTACTATAGGTTGGGTAAGAGCGCTGTTCAAGGTTCGAGGCGTTGCGTCTGCCTCGACATGTTTCGGGAAGGCGAACAGGAGCTTGAACGAGAGCTTAGGCATATCGCAACAAAATCCAACGCATCGAAGCGTATTGAAGCCCGAGATAGGCTCTTTTGCGAGTTCTTGAGCCGAACCTGTAACACGCTGCAGTAGGTGTTTTCCATATTCGTCGGTCCAATTTGCTTCGATCCTTTTGCTTTCCACAATTACACAAGTTCCCTTGAGCTCAGCAACCTCAATGTTGTCCATCAGCCTCGGCGAGGTGATTGCTGTTGGCTCGCACTGTAGTCCTCCCTTATTACCCAGGGACGGTGAAGAGAGAGACAAGGCCATCAGCTTTGCGGCCGCAAGCCGACTGAGCACATGATACTGTTCCGAGTCGCTGAAAATATCTCTATATTTTTCCAAAATCGTTCGATCCTCGGTACTCAAGAAGATCGTTTCCAATCGTGTTTGCAGATCGTTTTGTATCGCTTCTGATGTACCACTGAGTAGCCCGCCGATTGCGCCATGCAAATAGAATCGAATCAGATGAAGATTTCGCGACTCCAAATCCTTTTGAATTTGGTGTGCCATCTCGGCCTCGAGATATCCTAGGCTTGTAGAGATGTCATCGAGGACCGTCGAACTTGATAGCTTGCTCTCAAATGCTAATCGTAGGGCCTTGAGCATTGGATCGTCTTGCGTATCGTCAACGGATTCTTGAATCAACGAAAGGCGCTCGCACTCCATCGCCAACTCTACATCACCTGAAGAGCTGCGGAGAGCTTCAAGATCCATCGATATATTCTTCAACTGGCATTGAATTGAAAGCTTGCGCAAAGTCAGTGTAACAATCGAAATCCCTGGTCTTTTGAGGGGATCAATGTCCAGTATCTTTAGAACAAGAGTTCGCAGTCCTGCTCTCGCAGTGTCGGCGTTTATTGGAAGGTTCTGAAGCCAGGGTCTTACTTGCGGGTGATCTTTCCCTCCGTCGTGGAAGGTGTGCGTCTGGAAACATCCTCCTACAACGACCTTTCTCTTCTCTTGGAACCTGGTCACCGCTTGATGTCCATGAGCCAGGAACGTGAGTATGTCCGCAAGTATACATCCGAAAGACCAAATATCACTGGCGCGGTTTATCTTGCCACGTTCAAATTGAGTAGTCGGTATCTCGCATTCTGGGCTTCGGTAGAAGCCGCCTCCATGATTGTACGATGTTGATGATCCATCAGTTGCCTCCCTGAAAACGGACAGTCCGAAATCCGCCAGATAGAGGCCTTCTGCGTCAACAAGAATGTTACCAGGTTTGATATCTCGATGACATCCAATTAGGTCTACCTGGAATAAATCTGACGTGAAGTGGTGTAGATTTTCAATTGCAGAAGAGAGGTCTCCGAGAGCTTTGAAAGTCTGCCTGTCTGTTGCGAAAATGCCAGTGTCTATTTTTCCCAGGAGGATTTCCTTCAGGCTACCCGTTTTCTGAGGAAAGAGGAAGCTGTGAATGCCGTTCAGGGTATAAGAACCGTATAGTGGAAGGATATTGGAATGCTCCAGGGTTTGCAGGTTTGCGAGCATCTTCAATTCGGCCCGGAAGTTAATGCTCGTCCGATCATCCTGAGTGTTCACCCCAACATCCAGAAATGATGTTACGCTAATATCTTTCCGTATTATAGTAAGATCCTATCATTTTGTAAATACGATTAGAATATACCTGCGACTCATGAACTAACCTCTTCAGCTTCGGTCACAGCCGCCTTCACGTGAGACCTTGGCACCTTCACCTCATAAATCGAACCAAATGACCCTTGCTTGTTTTCGTCTAGTAGTCTTTCACTTGTGAATGGAAGGATGATGTTGTCGTCGAAACAGGAATGCGGCTGCCTCTCGAAGAATATAGGTGCGATCAGCTCCCATTGTCTCGAACAGAAATTAATCGCTGCAAATTTATCAAGTACTTTCTCCACTTCGGAGGACGAAAAAGGGAGTCTCATATCGACACTACTCCATGTGTGTTCAAGAAATGTCCGAATTTTGACTCCTTGATCGATCATAAGCAAGATCGCGAAAGTCTTCCTTCCGTGCTTGATAACCTTCGCGTTGACTAGATGCAGTTCATATGGCTCCATGCCATACTCTTGAAGAGTTTCGTAAATCGCACTATCTGTAACGATGGAACATACGCGATGTTCTGGGTTGAAGCAAGGTCTGCGAGGTGATGTCGAGTGCCATTTCTCTCTCTCATTCATCAATGCGCTTTGCAAGTCGGTCCCCATATTCGCCCGAATATTCAATTCCGTACGTTGCGTTCCCAGTGGCCAGTGCTATATGCTCATAGAGTATGGCACGCCGCCTCAGGATAGTACTGAAAACGAGAGCAATGGTTGACCAAGTTACTTGTCCCGAACAAGAATCAATGTCAGTCTGATCTTTGTTACTCATACTATTAAACGCAAGGATTCCTTGTGATGATACACACCTGATCAAGTCTCCGCGGCACAGTCAATATGTAGTTATCGTCTTGTTCCTATTTGAGTCAGTCACGCTTGTCGTCCAGGACAGGAAGCACAGCAGACGCACTTGAATAAAGAAGTTATTGGCGCCAAACTTTTCTGTCAACAATGCTATGAGTTTCGTTCGATTTATGTATAGTTGTGCAATTGTCTGGGTTTGATTCTAGTGTTGCATATTGAAATGTCGACGGTGATTGAGCTGTACCGCTCACCGGAAATTATTATTGTAGGCAGCGGAAAAGAGGCAGCAGACAAGGCAGAGCTACCTAGGTATTTGCCGACAACGTTGAATTGCGGTATTAAGTTTCTTTCTGGCTGTGGGAAGCGATGAGGCAATATCGACGTGGCAAACAGTTCGTCCTCCATGTACGCCACATATGCATAGCTTATCCGCCGAATCAGAAGCCCGATCGTCGACCGTATTCATTGACATGCAAGCTGCGGAAAAAAAACAGGGTATATTCCCGCAGAAGAAGCCTTGGAGGTGCATCGTACGCCTCAATCAGCCATGCGATCGTTGCGTTGCATCGTTGCGCACTTCTATCAGATATCTCTAAACAAGCCCTATTTAAGACAGGCTGATGGAAAAAAACAGAGCGAGAATCAGACAGCGAGTCACTGTGATCCGGGCCAACCATGCTACATTGTCTAAGCAATGAAGAAATCACGCGCATATTCTCAGTGCAGAGTGAGGATAAGGTGCACTCGGTTTACGTATCAGCTAATATGAGAGGTCAGTTCTTTCTTACCCTGGTACTTACGTATGATCTCAACCACTCAAGATCACACAGCATGGCAAGCCATTGTCAGTACCCCGCATTCACTGTTCCTCCCGGATTCGTCCATTACGGAGGTATAGTTTCATCACCTTTCACAGATTTCTGGAGTCCGTTAATGATCGGCAGAGATACGGTAGAGAGGGCACCGAATTTTTTCTAGTAAGTCTACTACGTGATATCGGTAAAAACTGCTCAAGAATTTACAGCCTCATCCGGCAAAACAACTCATAGGGCCGTTTATCTATAACGTACCACATGTGGAGCACCATGGTTGCTTATCATGGTGTTTTCCGAGAGCATCTAGGCTTTTTGCAGGCTTTTGGTTGCAAGTCTGACCATGAAGATAATATTCGTACAGGGTATGGGTGGCAATGCATCGAAAGTACCGCGACATTTGGTATAGCAGTCCCATAATGCACCCGAGTATGACTCCTTTTGACCATTAAAATAGAGCTATGCTACAATTTCCGTTTCTTTCAGCGCAATGGAAGAGCCACAGGCGACCCATGGTCACTGCGTCAAATTGGGGTATATCACAAGCATACCTGGAACAACCAAATTTCAACATGGATCCTGATAAGCGTGTCCGACACACCGGAATAGGCTTTGGATTCGGCGAAAAGCGCAAACACTAATGATCCAGAGCGGCAGTCCAGTGTCTCCTCAATTTTTCATGCATGCCTCCTAGAGACTGCTGCACAGGACTGGCCGGACTATTTACAAAGTCTCAACAAGCAGCTCGATTTGCTGGTAAATATTTCCGGATGTTTCGTTGCACCAGTACTAACAGAGCTTAGGACGAAAAGGCGTGTTTCTCAAGAGTGGGTCAAACTCACAGCGCGGACTACACTGTCACTTTCGCGGACTGTCAAACGCTGCACAGACTATGCAAGAAGATGCTCTTGGCTCGAAGCATCTTGAAGAATTCGATCAGTCTTGTTTCGGGTATCAAAGAACGCCACGCCCACATAGCATCGATCACATCTGATCTAGCCTACCTTCATACCAGCAAAGCGCTCGAGAGACATTGCCAGGTACTTCTGTCGCATCAGGCCAAAGCTGATTCTATTCTAGAGTGTGCGAAATCTACAGCGCATCTGGTGAGTGTAAATTTCGACACGGCTGCACCTACTAACGAAGAATTATTTTGTAGCTCGAAAAGATTCTGGAGTTTAGGAACGACGAAACCATAAAGCACAATAGTGTTGCGCTTCGAGAAATTGCTAGCGAAACTCGCGTTGAGAACGAAATTATGACAAGCCTTACAAAGCAGTCCACCCAGGATTCCAAGCTCTTAAAAGCTTTGACAGCACTAGCGACAATGTATCTACCTGCCACTCTCTTTGCAGTACGTAAGACTTGGCCTACCGATCATGCGTTCTAACATGATTCCAGACAGTATTCAGCTCCAACTTAGTCGAGCTAAGAGCAGCCGAGGGGGGAAGCGGAAGAGCACGCTTGAACGTCAGTCAAGACTTCTGGATATATATTGTTTTAACGCTTAGCGTGACTGTTTTTACTTCGGTGTTATTGTTGTGGTTGAACAAGCGTTGGACGCAGCCTAACATTGGTGCTGTTTGTGCTCAGCCTGCGTGTCGATCAGCCAGTTCACGTGCCACAGCTCCTTGATAGCGCTGGAGATTCTCCAAAGCCAACACTGTCAATCTGTGTTCTGGGCCACACTGTAATAGTTGCATACTGTAAGCTTTAAAAGCAAATTCAATGGCCTTTGAGAAGTCTTTGCGTTTCGAATAGACTGCACCCAGGTTTCCAAGAACGACTGGATAGTTGGGATTTTGCTGTTCATCCATATTGGCGAGGGTACGTAGACCGAGCTGTGTCGCCTCTTCCCACTTGCCCTGGTGATAAAGAACATGGAAAAGCGTGCCTTCCATTGTGAGCGTATCAATGTGGTTTGCGTCTATCCTTTCCCGTGATCGGCGTATGATATCGCATAGTATGATTGCAGCCTCCTCATATCGGCTTCGGTCAATGTAGGCCTGAGCGATGTTACTGCGAAATTGGAGCACAAGGCTGTGATTTTGATCATACAATCGTACGGCGCATAAAGCGGCTGCTTCTGTTCGCGCCAGATGCTGGTTCGTCGTCTTATCAACCACCTTGGAGTCGTTGTACATGGACATGAGATTGCTCAGACATGTGAGCGTTTCAACATGGCTTTCGCCATGGACCTTGCTTGAAGCTATGAGTGCAATTTCGAGCTGCAATTTTGCTTCGTCGGCTTTCCCATTGTTCTGCAGGGCTGACGAGAAATTGCTGTGCATGATTATTGAGTGAGGATGCTCGGCACCGAGTACAACCACTGATCGCTGCACCACCTCACTCAGCAAAATTTCTGCCTCTGTCCATTTGCCTCTAGTAAGGGACATCGTGGCGAGGTCAGACTGCACAAGTAGAGTGTCAATGTGGTCTTCCCCAAGGCTTCTCCTACGGTAGGCAAGAACTTCAGTAAAGAGAGTTTCCGCCTCGTCATAATGACCGTCCTTGCTGTATGTCACGGCTAAATTGATCTTGGCAGAATGAGTATGCTGGCTTTCGTCCCCGTACTTGTAGTGATATATATCCAGTAGTGACTTCTGCAGATGTGCTGCATCCGAGAGCTTGTCGCGAAGGTAGTACAGCGAAGCCAAGGTCGCCATCAATGTACACGCAATGTGATGCGTTGGGCCGAGAACCCTTTGAACGCCCGCCAATTCAAGTTGGCACTCTTCTTCGATTCGATGCGCATCTGTTGAGCTGACATAGGTCTGCGCAAGATCAAGAGAGTCCAAGTGCCCCAACTTGAGCGCAATGCGGAAAGCGCTGTCGTCATATTTCCGATATCTATAGGTCTTTTTATATTCCTCAAGCCCTACTGCCGTGGATTCTGCCGTGTTCTTGTCGAAGTGCGACATCAATTTCTCCTTTTCCGCGTCCGGCTTTTCCATGCCAAATCCCAACTGCAAGCAGAAGGAGAGGTTGGCCAGGTCCGTAGTGGAAGGGTAGTCAGCGCTTCTAATTCTTTGGCACAGTGCTTCTGTTACACTTGCCCGAACTCGATAATGGGCACTGTACAGTGGTGTTGCAATATCGAAGAGCTGGAATATGTCAGAAAATCATCATTCAACGTGACAATTATTCAACTGACATTAAGCTGTGGCTCTTTGCTTATTGACAATGACGTTCCAAGTTGATGAGGCAATCGCAAGCGTGCCTCAGCACCTGCAGGCGATATTACATCTTCTTGCAAGCAAGATCTCTCGAGAGATAGAGCGAGCATACCCAAAGAGTTCTGATTCTCGTGATCGGTTTGCAACAACTGGTAATCGGCAGTTTGTGCGCCTCTTTCGTTTGTTCGCCTAATTTGCAATAGTTGCATGTCGTCGGGTGCTAGTGTACGTTGGCTTGGATCTGGATCAAAGCACACTTTGAACAATAGTGTCAGTAATTGTTTGGCAAGATCTGGTAACCCCAGAGATTCCATGCGGTTGGGCACCAATAAGAACAGCTTTTCTGGTTGTTGATCTCCTTCCACCTGGATATCATAATCCAAGGCGCTCCTTTGGTCGTGGGCGAGAAGCCACAGCAATAACAGTCCCAAGGAGTACATGTCGGCTCCTTTCGCTCGATTGATGTTCCATTGCGATCTGTAATGCCAACCGGGATCCCGCCATCTGGGTGTGCCTGGCTTGGGTCGGAAGGTACTGCCGTCCGTCTGGACGACAGCAAAACTGAAGTCGGTAACTTTGGCTGTGATATCCTTATTGTTGGCTTGAAACAGGAGTATGTTCTCGGGCTTGATGTCGCCGTGAAAAATATCTGGGCAGGGTCAGCACGATTATTCCTCCTCAGCTCAGCATGAGACCAACCGCGGGCGTATAGTATGGATATGGCTCGAATGATGCATATGGCAATCCTTAATCGTGTCTCGATTGAGGAAGTTTCATTGTTCCTTTGCATGAAACTGGAAAGACTCCCAAGATTGGTCTTCTCAAATACCAACACGGGCAGCACATCTCCAGTTGCCAAAATGTTCCAACAAATGCCTTCAAGACTAATGATGTTAGGGTGTCCTCTGATTTGTGGGTCTCCTAAGACTCGAATTTCAGATATTGCTTCTTCGAATGCGAGTTCTGAACTAAGTCGATCAAAAGTCTTGAAAGCGAAACTCGTCTGCAAGTTAGCAATCGACTGTTGGATGCCTCCAGTCTGGCCTTGGCCGATGTCACCCAGGTTCGGATACCACGTGTAGGAAATGATGTCAATTTCCCAGGCTGAAGCCACGGAGAGGTAGGCGACAATGTCTGCCTTCGTCTCTGCCCGGGCAAAACTCTCATCATCAGCTTCGGTAGCCGAGCTTTCTTCGAGTTGCGAACGATACACGAGGCGCTGACGGCCTGGCTGCCTCGCACTAAACATCATGGATGATTCACTGATTGCCTCCTTCTCGGGTGTAGCACACCCGCGTATTCAAGAAAGGCAGAGGTTTACCCAAAAAGCCGAATTGACTGGATCGAGTCTTGCGCTTTGATAGAGTCCTCCATGCCGTGTCACAGTAGCCTGAAGTCTTACAAAACAGACCCGTGCAGGACTTTTGGGCGTCAATTGGTTGATCAAAGGGGCAAATTATGTCGGCACAAGATTTGCGCTTCTGCATCCGGCGTGGCTTGCATGTGGATAAGCCACATCGCTCATTACCAGGCAAATCGGTTGTGCAGCCCGGGTTCTAGCACACTTGACCGGTCGCAGGGCGTGCATACTGCACCGATCAACATCCCACCGACACATGTCGGCATCACACCCTGAGGCTAGCAGAGGCACTAGCTACAGGAGACAAGAAGGAGCCGCACCTAGAAGCCTATCATCGTGAATCCTCCTTGTCTATCCCACGACCCAACAATTCCCTCATCAGCCCAACCAACTTTTTCGCCATGAATGGCTTCTGGACAACGTGATCTGCACCTGCAGCCACGGCGCACTCAATTTGCTCTTGCCTTACGTTTGCCGTGACAGCAATGATCGGCGTCCTTCCCTGTAAAGTTCCATCCTGCTCTAAGTTGCGTATCTCACGTGTAGCAGTAAGACCGTCCATAACAGGCATCTGAATGTCCATTAGGACGACATCGAAGTGCGCTCCAGGCGCACACATCATCTCGAGCGCTTCGAGGCCATGATTAGCGACCTGGACAGCACAGTCTTCCCGTTGAAGATGATGGCGCAGGACTTTTTGATTGATGACGTTGTCTTCGACCAGCAGTGTTCGGATTTGCGAGGGTCGAGATGCCGGTAGAGATGGCCGACGCAGAGGCAGAGAGATCTTTTTCGGCTCTAGTTTGGCTCGGCGGGTCTTGATGTAGAAGACAAATGTACTGCCCTTGTCAGGTACTGATTGGACGCCGATCTCTCCGCCCATCCTCTCGGTCAACTCCTTGGAGATGAACAAGCCGAGCCCGCTTCCTCCATATGTCACATGTGTCGTGACGTTGGCTTGTTCGAAACGTTGAAAGATCTTGTCAACTTCGGCAGTCCTCATGCCGATACCGGTGTCGCTGAGACTGAAGACCATGTATATCACTTCCCCGAGGCCCCATTCTGGACCGTCTACGACAGCACCGGATGCCTTTTCCCCTTTAGGTGCCCAGTGGATATCGGCGGGGAACGGAATTAGGTGTTCTGCGATGCGTGGTAAAGTGGCCGTTGCTCCACATTGAATCTTCAGGCTCTTCTCTCCATCAGCCCTCATGAATTTGATCGCGTTAGTCAGCAGATTTATGAAAATCTGCACCACTCGCGATTGGTCAAAGTAAAGGTGGTCAATGTTGAGCTTTGCTAGGGAAGATTCGGCGATCACTTCGGTGGATATGGATTTCGCTCGTAGCTCTGCCCCGAACATTGCTATAACAGATGCAACCAGCTCAGAGGGTTTGGCCGCAGCTGGCTTCACGGTAAGAAGTGTTTCTTCGAGGCGGCTCAATGTTAGGACATCATCGCTAAGGGTTAGTAAACAAAATCAGCATATGTCTCATGATTGTTCTGTACACAAAATACACTCACATGATCCGCTTCTGATGCTTGCAGCAATCCAATATGATTGAAGCTGCTGAAGCATTTGCTTCCAATGCTTCCAGAAGTGAGTCAGCGTCAGTCCTTTTCTCTCCTTTTGCCTTGACGTCGTTCAAAGCCATGGAGATACTGTCAGCACAATGCACAATCGCAGACAGCGGGTTCCGCATCTCGTGAGAGACGACATCAATAAAAGCCTCTTGCTGGCGTTTGGCATCTCGAGCCTCCTGTGCTGCACGTGCTTGCCAAGCTTCTGCCCATTTGAGATGACTGATGTCCGTAATGCACGCCATTCCTGAAACAGTGGCCCCATGCTCCTTGAAAGGAAATGCGAGTAGCTGTACTTGTGCTGGCTCTTGACCACCAACCGGAGGATGGAAAGCCTGCTTAAGACGGAATTCGGCAGAAACATGGTCGTCGCCATGGAAGATCCTGGTCCACACCTCGTGGGCTTGGTCTTGATCGTCTTCTACGAGCACTTCAAACATACTGTTGATCTCATCACGCTTCTCCGTCGGGAGGCCTGCGAGGGAGAGAAATTTGTCATTCGCCCAAAGCAGTGTGCCATCAGGCTTGGCGTGAGCCATTCCTATTGAAGCATGCTCCACAAGATGTCGCACTTTGAGGTCGCTGAATTCGAGCTCGTTCTGCAACTGCTGCTGCTCTTTTCGCAGATTGTCTGCATCCAAAGCAGCGGCTAACAAATTCGACGCCGTCCCCATTAGATCCGTAGTGAACTGCTCGGAGGCGTCGTCGAAAGGTCTATACGGGTTGGTCCCTATGACGAGGAAACCAAATAGCCGGCGACTGGTACGAAGAGCCATTGTTACGATAGTTTCAGGGGCCATCTTGAATCCCAGCCAATCTACCGACTCAAATCGCGAGTCGCGAGTCGTCAGTACCTTGCCATCGTTGGCTTGACGACATAGGGAAGCGACACCGGCAATATCTGTTGTATCTGTCAATTCCTGACCATCAAGCAATAGTGTATGCCCTTCCGGGATGCCCAGTTGACCCCGCACACGCAGTATTGTCTTCCCGGGCTCTGCCTGATTGTCGGCCTCGAAGAGTAGAGCCATGGGTACATCCAGTGGGGCCGTCGCAAGACTTGCAATGATGTGTTCAAACACGGCGTCGGTACTGAAGATTCTTGGCGTCGTAAGCATGTTCAACATGCGTTTGCGCCGATCTGATATTATTTGTGACGTAACCTCGAATAGGGCATTGTAGAAACCCTCGATATCGCCGTCCACGCCTCGAACCGGTGTGAAATTCCCAGTGAAGAAGGCCTCCTCGCGATAGCTGTTCCTTTGGACCATCATTGGGGATTCCACCACATCTTGTGCTACGCCGGATTTTATGCCCTCTTCGAAGAGGGGCCTTATGAATGGATCGAGCTCTGGGAACCCGGAAGCGAACGACTGTCCCATCAAGGTGGGGTGCGCTCCTGCAGCGAGGGGGACGAAAGATTCATTATATATAGCGACCCGAGTTGGTCCCCTTTCAAGGTGTCAGTGAGTGCGGTGAAGATGCGACGCATGCCTAGTATTGGGAGGGGGGGGGGGGGGGGTCGTCTTACCAGTACAAACACGCGGCACGTGTGTCAGACATGACCATTTGTGTGTACATGCGCAACGCTACACTCCATTGCTGCGTTTCTCCCAGGACTGTCTGCGTCCAGTCAACGGTCTTAAAGAAGCGCACATGGTCTGTCTTTGGAAGGGACTCTGTCCAGTCATGTATCATATCATTTGCGCATTTTGTGGAATGACCAGGTAATTCCGAGGACATGACAGTACAGTTGTGACATTTGGGAACGATCCGTGAATTACTAGTTCGAGATATATTAAGTGGCGTGTCGGTATGTTAAAACGTTTCCATGTCGTCGATGTGGTGGGTCATCGGATGCGACACCGTCTGAGCACCGAGGTTACGCCGAAACAGTTTCAGTCCGTCTTAGGCTCGCAACCATCTGAAGTTTGCCATGACGATGCACCAAAATTCTCATTGCGGAGCAAAATGCATTTCTGTCGCAAATAATATCAGCCCTTCATGATTGTTATATCGGCTTTGCACCTGCCATGCTTGAATGTGTGGATGACCCTCCACTGCACCACATTGTCGTGGCCTGCGAAATCAGCCATGGTTTCTCCGTTTTCAACAACCCACTACACACAGGTAGCACGTAGAAATCATAACCGTTTCGTGTTCTTTTCCCTTGACTACGCAGTCCTTCCGACGCTGATAACCTCCCGAAGCTCACAGTGAACGCCCATGATGTCCGTGAGGCGTTGTGTTCATTTTCCGATAATATTATCACCTAAGACAAGCCATGGTCGATGAACTACAGGGTGTCATCGAGCGCTATCTAGTACTATGAGTTGATGCATCACTGCACGCATTCCCTCCCACCAAAAAGGCAAGCAGACTTACTGCCTTCACCATCAGGTTGCTCCACTCTTCTTCCAAGCGCTGGGGGGAGACGATCACATTCAACACCGTTCCACACGGATCAAGGTTTGCGATGGAAGCAGAACGTATTGCTATTCATGAAGCCTTCCGCGTCGCATGCGGCCTCACTGAGGAACACGATCGCCTAATCATATTCTCCGACTGTCAACATTAACTCCAGGGTCTACAGGCTCGGCCGAGATTGCCCTACCTGTCCAGAAAGGAAAAGTTAGGTAGCTTTTTCACTTACGCAGACTAGCTATATAACCTTGAGATTTCCGTTGACCTTCGATAGGTGCCTCCTCAATCCGCTGTTGAGGGTAATGAATGGGTGGATGAGCTTGTGAAGCGGTTCAAACGATCTGGACAAGCTATCAGGGGCACCAGAGTCCTCGGATCACATCATAAGTGAGGTCACGGTAACTGTAGGCTCGCTGGAGTCACTTCATTAGGCACTGGTAGCGAATGTCAAAAGGATGATACAAAGTCCAAAGGATCAGAGTGAATCAATCGAAGTAATAGGGAGTGTATTGCGTCTCGAGACGTGATAGGTCGGACATCTCCCCCGCTGTATCGCATCGCAACGACAACTGCCCCCATTGGGCAATCCAGATAAGAGTAAGGGACGACAAGTTCTCAAACCTCTCAATACATCGCAAGGACGTGGAAGTTGAACGCACGGCGAGGCTCTCAGATCATTTGTAGATCTTTGGAAAGGCCCGTTTGCGGCAGTACCGTAGCGCATTCAACGGGCCGCATCACAGCTGCGAGTGGCATCCCTGAATGCCACTATTTATACTGAACCTTCCCAGATCTTCGGCCTCGTTATGTCCTATAACCTGACCGCGAATCTCCGACAATAATACCGCATTACGGCTCGGAACCACGCACCGTCTACTTTTACGGACCTACCGGATCACCCTAAGACCTCTACTGCTTACAAATAAGCAATAGATTGTGGCCGAAGCGATCCGCAGCACCACCTGAGGGAAGCGCTGTGCGACGGAGTGAGCGCCATCGAGTAAGATGAAGCGCCCACAACAACGCGAACGGGCGCTCGTAAATAAGACGAGGAGACGAGAGGATGTGATTAGCGCGAGGCGTATTGAGCGAGACGGCATGACGATTTTCACTGAAATCACGCTATAAAGGTTGTCACGGTTGGATAAGCCTCGAACAAGCCGAGCGATTGCGACCTGCAATAAACCGTGATCACTACAGCACACTTGCGGTCGTGTAATAAGGCTCCTTTCTTTTCGCAATTCACGGATCCAACAATCAAAGGACGAAACCACTGTTCACTCGGGAGATCTGGTGCAGTTCGTTGTTCAGCATTCGAAATATTGATATGTATACATATACAACAACGTCGGCCTGCTCGCTGCTTGCGCAACTCAAACCTAAGAGACATAGGCCGTGTCAACCCAGCTCTTATAGTCACTCCCCAGGACAGTCTCGATAGCAACTGCTTTGCTGAGCTTCTTTGAGAAGCTTGCCCTTGTGCCCTTCGAACCGTCGCCCGTGTTGCCGAACTCGCCATACTCTACATTGTCAGTGCGCGGGTCTCCCGTATTCCATATCGTCCAGCCGGCGCTATTAATCACATTCGTCATGCTTGTGTTCTGGAACACAACGCGCGAAAAGTTTCTCCATGGGCGACCAAGAAAGTATGTACCGGCCTTCACGTTGTTTCCGCTAGCAGCAGAAATGGTCGACTTGTTGATGACGTAGTATGATGGGTTCGTAGCCGACTCACGGCCGTTGGCCGTAATATAGCCGACTGAGGCGGTAAGAACGCGGATGTCCACAGCATGGAACCATGCCTGCCCCTTTTGACCGAAGATGAAATCCGTCGCACCTTCAATGTAGGACTTTGCGTAGACTTGAGTACCCTCCTGCGCAAGAATGGTGTCTTGGAAGCCTTTGAACTGACAACCATAGTAGCCTTGCTTGCCACTGTAGGCACTCAAGGCTAAGGCCTGTGAGCCGGAACCACGGGTGTTGACTAGGTTGATGTTGTAGACCTTCAAATTCGCCGTGTGAGCGCGGAGAGTGGCGGTTTCGTCATTGGTTGGCGTGTCATCCTGGCTCTTGCCTTGCGTGATGGTTACCGTGTTTGCTGAGAAGCTGGAGGTGTCCGTAGTCTCGCCGTAGATGGTCAACGGGGATTTAAGTGCCTGCACGTATACCTGCTCTTTGTACGTGCCTTTGGCGATGAAGATGCACTGAGCTGTGGTACTAGTCGTGCTCAACGCGTTGACAGCAGATTGTACCGTCTTGTATTGGCTGGAACTCCCTACCGCAAGACAACCCGGGGGAGCCGAGGGTCTTCCTGCGCGTGAAACGGGAGGGGGAGGTGCAGCTACAGTGGCCACTGCTAGGGCAAGGACAATGAGAAGGGAAAGCATAGCGGTCAAAGCGCAAACAGCAAATGAAGCGTGAAACGACAGGCGAGAAACAAACATGCCAGCATGAAGTAGTCGCAATATATAAGCAGAAGTCAGAAATCAGCAAATGTACCTAATTATCCGCATAGATTGGGGGATACTCTAGTGCATTGCCAGCATCATGCCTAGGTGGATCGGACAACCCTTAGAGCCGCGTGTCGCAAATGGTTTCTAAACCTCCCGGAGCTTCTGTTTCCTCGATACCCCAGGTTAAGGACCGAAATGCATCAGGTGTGGAGAGCTAGGTGGAGACTGGTTGGTGGAATTCGCGACGTCCGTGCGGAAACCAGAAGTTTATTACATCGTGTTACGAGGATGAAGCTTCAAGGGGCGGACATGTGGCCGGCGTAGTAGAGGTGTTTTCAAAAGCGAAAAGAGTGAATGCCTGAAGAACTCTCCTGCCGAGTTGGTGGAGGGGAAAGATGAGCGTTTGCGGAGTGCAGCTGGTAGGGGTGGCGGGAGATCGTAGCCCGTGCACTCACGTGAAATGGCGATTTGCGGAACCAGAGCGGATCGCGCTAGTGGGTAGCCGCTTCACCAAAGCTTCGCTTGCACCACCATCAGGTCTTGGATCATTCTCATCTTGTATATCAACTCTATTCGTCATGGCACCTCCATCTAGCAGCCTGGGCATTGGATCTACGGGACGGAGTGCTGAAGTCGACGCGATTGATCTTACTCTATCGTCTCCAGAGCCTGAACAGCGTATGCGCCTTCCATCGCAGCAACAACGGCTTCCCATTTACTTTAAGAACGAAGGAAGAAGCAGTTCAGGTGATTCGAGGAGGATCAAAAGCGAACGAGGTTCATCTTCAACAGTGCCACGCGGTCAAGCTCGAGTAATCGATCCTCAGCATCTCTCACGCATTGTCCGGTCTACCGACCACAGAGTTATACAAGCAGTATTGCTGGAACTATGCTCACAGTCTTCTGCGCTTAGCGGGGCTGTTGCTCGCGCACTCGCGCCCCATTCGACATTCGCCCGGACATTGATCAGGAGACATCAGCCAAACGTTCAAGAGTCGACCCGCAGCTCCGCCAGACCACCGGTAAGAGACGAGCTGAACGACGGTCAAGATGCGCGTGAGCGTATGCGGCGACGACTGGCCGCCAGGAATGCTGCCTTAGAGTCCAGTCGCAACCAAATTCGGTCCACATCTACTATTACAGGCGCTCAAAGTGCACGTTCTGCTGGTTCGCAGTCCGCACCAAGGATCAAAAATGAGCGTCAGCCGGACATTGAGGAGTCTGACTCAGATCTTGATCAGTACATACCACGGGACTTTCCAGTCAGATCTCAACAAGCGTCTTCATCGACTAGATTGCCTCTACGAGATGTCTCCAGCTCGCACACCGCTAGGACGCTTGTTCCATTTTCTTCATCGCAGACATATATGCATGGCCAAGGAACACGGAAACAAGAGCCCAGAGCTAAGCCTTGTATCAATTGTCATGAGGAGATCGAAGAGGAAGACATAGACGGCTTGTGCTTCTATCACGTCGGGCCATTTCGCCTGTTCAACGGCAAATCACTGTGTGGTCAGTGTAACAAAGGTAAGGAACAACCGGGATGCGGGTTTGGCCAACATGTCACGAAATCGACTACCGAGGGTGATGCTCTCAAGCGACATCCACCGAACAGATCACAGTCTCCCTCAAAACGACCAAGAATGGGCTGAAGTAGGACTGTGGCGCATCTTGTGTCGCATGAACTATTACACAGGTGCAGGTCTGGACCCTAGGCAGGGTCTGGCGTTTTGACCGACGCAAGGGTGAACTTCAAGATCAGATCTGGCCATTGCTTGGATATCTCCCCTTAGCCATGAAAACCTTCGCACGATTTGAAGATCACTTTTGAGATGGAAGGTGTGTGCGAACATATATCAGCTCGGGATTTCCTGTAGATGCCGAGTTTGGTGGAACTTCAGATTTACGTTTTATTCACTTTGCTTTCGTAGAGTTATATCAAGTGTGGCATCAGACTACCATTCTTATAGTCACGGGTGCTAGGGAGGCACATTGTGATCTTGTGGTCTTGTGCGACACTCGAGCGTCTTTCCTTTGCGATCTCGAAGAATCGTGAACCTTTATTGGTAACTCAGTGGAAGCGCCTTTGGCACGCATACAATCAAGAAACAGCACTCACATTTCTTTCAAATTTGACCTATCACGTGGAATTTTATTGCTGGATCTTGACCTCACAATGCGAAACATGAGTTTGTATGCCTTTGTCTGCGCGTTCGCTACAAGCGTTGCTGCCATGCCAGCTTCCGCAGGCCATGGCGCAACGGGTTTTTACAAGCGCAATGCGCAATACTTCTACCTACGCGCCAATTAGTGAGACGGCTGATTCTACGCACAGTGCATGGCTAATGATCGCATAGTCCCGACCAGCCGTGGCACGGAAGACACGTTGTAGCGCTTCCTACTTCTCACCAACTGGGCTTCGAGAACTTCACTGTTCATCCCGAGACTCCGCCTCTCAAATTCGTGCCATTCAGGCTCAGAAACGGCAACTTTGCTCTTCAAGGGGAAGGCAGCAACGAAGACCCAATCAAGGCTACCTATTTGGCTGCACTAAAGTCAACAACTGGTACTAGGACTGCAAGCATGGCTGTAATGTACTTCTCCAAACCTAGCAAACATTCTGAGACCATATTCGATGCTTGCCCGGAAGGCTACGAATGCGCTGTCGATCAGTGGATGTTCGATGCTGCTGTCGATAATGTGTATCCAAACTTTCGATTCGAGGGCTTCAATGGTAGTTGGATCCCTTTCAAGGATGCAGGGACAGAGGGCTGGCATGTTTACTGGAAGGGAGATGCAGGTCCAAGCCACCCTATTCAGATTGATATGGTGCCAGTGAACGGAAGTTAGCACTCGGGGACAACTGCTTCTTCATCCTAAAGGTCTCAGCACTTTGGCATCAATCGAGCGCTTGGCCGAACAGAAGCTTGTAAAAAGTCAACTGTCAAGATTGCTACACATCAAGACCAACTTTTCGGCAACGAGAGCATCAGCAGGGCGATGGAACGGATGTAGCTATCCGTCAACTTTAATGCCAAGAGTCGGCATTCCAAGTTCAGCTGTGCCAGATCCTGGCCGGCCGATACATACCACAGTTCTGTCTTTGTAACATCTCTGAGTGATCTGCTCTTATCGTGTCTCTGATCCACTCTTGACCCATTCGTGATGCATGATGTCATGCCAAGTTGTTCGCTAAACGCTTTCTCATCAGACTAACGCGCAACTCTCCCACTTTCTGTCTGAAGCACCACAAGGAATGACAAGGTGACGGATGTACGCATCCTCTAGACTCTCTGCCGAAGCAAAGTCCGCCATGAAAATGCTTTCGCGCCCAAGATTGTTCGCGATGTTCCCGCGATCAAGGCTGTCAACCAACAAATTTGCTGCTTAAGATGAAGATTATACCGTTTTTATGCTTCGCAGCTTTTGCTCAAGCTTCGAATGTCTTTCAATTGAACTCAACTTCCTATTACTCACCAGACCTCGTCGAAACAACTCTACACATTCAAAATGGATCACTATCGTTCGTGGAGCCAGCACCAGTCACTTTCATGTCACTAGCAGAACACAATATGTCCACGGACGCTCTAGCGTCTAGATTATCTGGGTATTTGGCCCAAGATGATGTCTTATCGGAGGCTTTCCTCTCCACGTTGGTACTAGGTGGCGTCAAGGAGCTCCCAAACGATGCCACCGGCTACCTTAAATCGCTCGGTTGCAAAACGATTTTGACGGCATCGGAAACAAGCCTCGTGTCAGGACCGTACTTACTGCACTCTTCTGGTGCAGTCACGAAAGTATACCGACTTTATCGGGACTACAACTTTGCCTTCGTGGAGTCGGTGGCTGAAGGCGTAAACGGTACATACGTTCCAGTCACTGGACTAGCTCAGACAGACGCCTACGTTGCCTTAAGTATTGCAGTCCCATCTCGTCTCTACTACCCTATACCAACTACGGAGAAGCCGTTGTCTGGCAAACGTCTAGGTGTCAAGGACATCTACGACCTGAAAGGCGTTCGAACCAGTGGTGGGAACAGAGCCTATCGAGAACTTGTGGAAACTGCACCAGCAAGTGCACAAGCTTTACAAAAGTTAATCGACATGGGCGCCGTAGTCATTGGAAAGACTAAAACCACACAATTCGCACTCGGTGAGCGACCCACTGCCGACTATGTTGATCAATTGGCGCCTTTCAATCCTAGAGGTGATGGATATCAACACCCTCAGGGATCTTCTGCTGGTACGGGGGCCGCTCTAGCCTCGTATCCTTGGCTGGACATCGCGACTGGCTCCGATACTGGTGGCTCGGTAAGGTTACCTGCTATGGCCAATGGACTATTCGGGATGCGTATAACAAACGCCTCGCTCCCACTCGAAGGTATACTGCCTATCTCGGCTGTATTCGATACACCCGGGGTGCTTGCACGATCTGCAAAACTACTGCAAGCTGTGCACAAAAAGTGGTATCCAGCCAAGTCTTACACTACTTATCCAAAACGCATTATCCTTCCCGACGAGTTTTGGCCCGCCTCGAATCAGACAAGTATGTCTATATTCGGCAGTTTCACTTCGAAGCTGGCGGTGTTCCTCGATGCGGAAATGATGAGAATGAACACGAATGCGAGCTTCAACTCATACTCTAATACCTCTGAGGGTATGTCGACATATATCGGTCTGACTTATTCCAACATTACAAACTATGATCAGTACCGACTACTCGCTCAGCCATTCAAGCAGCAATACCTAGCCAAATTTGGCAAGTCGCCTTACTGGAACCCGCAGACGCGTGTAAGGTGGGAACGTGGCGCAACGCTTCCACTCGCAAGCTATCAGAACGCAACCCATCGCCACCAGACTTTCCAAAAGTGGTTCCGCAGTACTTTGACACCTACATGCGAATCGACACTTGTGTTGTATCCCATGGGTGCCGGCACTGAAGACTACAGGGACATCTACCCAACCTCACCTCCGAGCCCTATCTTTGGCGCCGGTCTGCCTGGGAACCAGATGGCGGTTATGGCTGCGTTGCCGGATTATACGGTACCGATCGGCGAGCAGACGTACCACTCTCGCGTTACGGAACGGAACGAGACGCTGCCAGTCACCATTGGCATTGTCGCCGCAGCGGGATGCGATCATATGTTGATGGACCTAGTTGCTGATCTAGCAGACGCAGGCATCATCGCGGGTGAAGTGAAGACGGGGAGTAGCATGTACTAGTCTGTCCAAAGGTATGTGGCTAGACATCAATCGTTGCTACCGTAGGGTACGAAATACGACGAAGACCGAATAGGCGGAGCCCATAGCGCGAAGCTATACACAGTGCATTGCCATGGCACGTAGCCTTGCGACATTTGTTCTGGCTGTGAGATGAGCTACTACTTGTCCCACCCTAGTCGCTCTCCACGGTGTCTATAGTTGTAGGACATGCCGTCGGACGCTAATACCCCGAAGACCGTAAAGTCTTGCGCGATGTTTCTAATTAATCGTGGTATACATACCCTGGTTAGCTTTGACTTTCATGATTGGAGGGTTTCAAGTTGATAAATGAGAAGGAACATCAACACCATGCTTCCCCACATTGCTCGGCCTTTGCACTACTTGGTCTTCATGCATGTTGAGTGAGCCTATGTGTCTTTAGGTTACATCTACCGTGTTAATTCATCCTGCGCGCACGTTTCACTGAAAGGTACTCGTGCATGTACGTACTCACGAAACTTTCTTTCTCTCGCCACCTTCACTCCCTTATTTCTGAACCTTCCGCAAGATGCATATCCTTAGTTGCCTACCTCTTCTCCTGAGTTCCGTCTCTGCCCTTGCCTTCCCCGGCGCCGAAGGTTTCGGTCGCAACGCCGTCGGCGGCCGCAACGGAAAAGTCTACGTCGTAAACAACCTGAACGACACTGGCGCTGGGTCTCTACGCGATGCATTATCCCAGCCCGATCGCATCATTGTCTTCTCTGTCGGCGGCCTGATCAAGATCAAAGACCGCATGGTAGTCTCCAAGCGCATTTCTATTCTCGGGCAAACAGCACCGGGTGATGGCATCACCGTGTACGGCAACGGATGGTCGTTCTCCAATGCTGATGATGCAGTCGTACGCTACATTCGCATTCGCATGGGAAAAGGTGGCGCGAGCGGCAAAGACGCCATCACAATTGCAGAAGGCGCGAATATGATCTTCGACCATGTAAGCGTGTCATGGGGCCGGGACGAAACGTTTTCAATCAGCGGGAGTGAAGTCGGGAACATCACGATCCAAAACAGCATCATTGGGCAGGGTCTGGAGACGCATTCGTGTGGCGGGCTGATGCAGACGAATGTCGGACAGGGCCTCTCGCTGTTCAGAAACTTGTACATCGACAACAAGACGCGGAATCCAAAGGTCAAGGGCTCAAACGACTTCACCAACAACGTTGTGTACAATTGGGGTGGAGGCGGCGCGTATATTGCGGGCGACAGCGAGGGCGCGAGCGAGGCGAATATCGTGGGAAATTACTTCGTCTCCGGACCAAGTTCGAGCGTGCCGGCGTTTACGAGGGGGAATGCGAATTTCAAGGCGTATGTTGAGAGCAACATCTACGACTCTGACAAGGATGGAAAGCTGGGCGGGACAACACTAGAAGCCTCGTCGGCGAACTACGGAGGCGTGGCGATACAGAAGACGAAGTATGCTCACCCAGCACCGGAGAAGATCCTGCCAGCTTCAGATGCGCTGATGTTGGCGGTGAAGCTTGTTGGTGCAAGTCTTGTTCGGGATGCGGTGGACAAGCAGTTGATCACTGAGCTGCAGAGTTTTGGCAAGTTGGGGCAGCTGATGACTGATGAGAATGCGAGCCCTATGAATGGGCCGGGCACGATTGCTGGAGGAACGAGCTGGGTGGATGCAAATGGTAACGGAATACCAGATGATGTGGAAAGCAAATTCAAGACGGTAGAGGACTGGGCGAACAGTTTAGTACCAAGCACTTACTGAGGAATATCATGGCTCATGAAACAATGAAGAATATGCTTAATTCCAATTGCCAGGACTAGCTAACAAGGGTGACACACTACCTGTTCTCGCCTAGGTCACCGACTTCAACGTCTCATCCACCATCGCCTTCAACTGATTGATCGCATCGTTATTCCTCCACGCGCTCCAGTCATGATTCACCAACCCCCACGTCTCCTCAAAATCCTGCGTCCCACTCCTGATATAATAACTTCCACTAATCACCCAAACTGTCCAGCCCGTCTGCCACTGCGGCATCAGCTTCTTGATACACGTCGCATACGTCTTCGTGTACGAGTTGTCCGCCTGGTTGAACCCAAACTCGGTCAGAACTACGGGCATCTTATTGATCGCCGTCGGCCACGTCGCGCGGAAACCATTGTTCCACAGCCCGCTCTCCATGCTGCCGCAGTTGGTGATGTCGTTCTGGTAGTTGTGCAACTCGAGGACGAGTTTGTTCTTGTAGGCGAAGTCGCCGAGTTGGAATTTCTTGCCGTTGCCCAGGTCCTCAGGCGCTGCGGAATGGGATTCAGCTTGGTGTCGTAGTCGAGGCCGGAGAGGAAGATGAGGATGTTGGGGTTGGCTTTGTTGACGGCGTTGGCGGCGGGGATCACTTGGTCGTACCAGGTGGGCCAGTTGTAGGCGAGGGAGGAGCCGGCGTTGTCGGGCTTGCGGAGCTCGTTGCGGAGGCCGATGGAGATCATGTTGGCCCATTTCTTGCTCTGGTTAAGTGTTAGAGGGGTTCGAGATGACCGTTTGGGATGCATACGTGGTCAGCCATGAATTCGAGTCCGCGAACCCATTTAGCGACGTTGAAGTCTGTATCACCGAACCAGGTGTTTCCGTCACCACCGCCACAGCACCATGCACCTCTCGACATGTGATTGTCAAGATGGACGTAGATTTGCTGCTATTGCAAGCTCTGCTGTGACCGCATCGTAGACCTGAGTTCATATTAGACAAGATTTTTCCTGTAAAACGACGGTGTATGTACCTGAAGTCTTGTAGTTGAAGCGCCAAACTGCGGGTTGTTCTTGATAACCTTTTGATACACCGCATCACCATTACTTCCCAGCGCCTTCTGGAACGCTTTCTGAATCGTGACATCTCCTCCATTGTCCTTGATATCATCGATCATCTCGATGGGCAAACGTCAATCTGACGTGGTTCATGTTCAGGCTCTTAATCTTCGACACAATCGAACTGATCGACTGGTACTGCAGTCCTTCTGGAATCATAACCTCGCCATGGCCAGACCAGTTGACACCCACATAAGTGAAGTTTGCGCCGGTAGAGTCGACAACCCATCGGTTTTCTGTGTTGAAAGGCGTGTTGGGGAACGCATTGAGTAGCGAAGGCAGCGCAGTCGCGCACAGCAGTGAAGTGAAGAGCCGCATCTTCACAGTTCCAGAATAATTGAGCCGCACCGTGAACTAATATAACGCGTGTAAACCTAATTCTCTGCGTACCCTGTCCATCTCATATACTTCATAGAGTGATGGTGGACCATGTAACCTTCCCTCGGCACTTCACCACCCTCCGGCTTGATTGATGGATCTCCAACGCTCCATACATGATCACGTTGCAGCCCCAAAACAGCGCCTCTTCCGTGCTGCCCGTCATCTGTCTTCCTTGTCCCGATGCCCGTCCGCTGCAAATAAGGTTCCGGAGTAGCTTGTCCTGGTTGCTGATTGGTGCATGCTTCGGGACTTTTCCACCCACTGTATTCGGCTGATCTCCGTGGGTTGTGGAGAACCCTGCAACGCGTTAACGAACGTGACCTCGGAATGCCTTGGGGCAGACGTCAGTGTTCTGTTCTCCTTCTGTTTTGGCGCTGGGTTCGGTGGGGCTTGCGCCGAAGAGTGGATCAATACTGTTATAAGCAGGGTTGATTGCCGGATTAGGAACTCCATCCTCTTTAACCAGGGCTGTTTATATCCTGCTGTGTGCCTCAAGGTCGGGTTTGCTGGTCTTTTGGGTACTTGTGAGTTATCGATTAGCTCTGGGCGAGCTTGGTTGCTGGGCTACTTGAACCTAAACAAGAGTAGAGCCGAGACACGTGAAAACGGTCGTATCGCTGAATCTTAATGCACGATACTGACCTTGCTGAGCAGGGTGTCTCTGTTCAAGGTTGTGATGCCGTAACTACATCGCTCTAAGATGCCGTCTTTCTTGAATCTAATAATGGAACAAGTTAGTCGTGCTCACCGTCCCACAAGCGCATCCTTCATCTCAGGATACTCCTTCCACAAGTTCACCAGCGGCAAAAACAACTTCCTCCCCGTTTCTTTCGCCTCCGCCTGTTCCCCCGCCCATTCCCACATCTGACTCCACGGCACCCACTCCCACTTAGCGCACTTGTGCGGCTCCATCGGCTGTACTCACATAATTAGCAACTAGCCAGATTTAACGAAGAAACACGCAAGAACATGCAAGAACAACATGCTAGAAAAAGTCGTATCTGACTAATGCAACAGTCAACTCACCTTTGGAACCCTTTCCTCCCCCAAAATCTCGCCCGTCACAAAAACAGTCACATAGTGCTTCCCCTCATCAAACACATCATTTGTCGCAGTCAGGAATTTGATGTTTCCGATGGTGAGGCCGGTTTCTTCGAGGACTTCGCGGGCGGCCGTGGTGGCGAAGGATTCGCCGTGCTCGAGGTGGCCGCCAGGGAGTTGGTATGTCCCTGGAGATGTGAGATGTGTGGTGAGTAGGATTTTGGAGGGGGGAAGAGGGTTTACCGGCGCCGTGGGAACCTGCGCGCTCGCCCATTATGATGTTGCCGGCGTGGTCGTGGATTATGACGCCGACGCCTACAAGGGGGCGTGGGGGATCTGGCATTGTAGGATTTCTGAATTTATAGGCTTGGAAAGAGAGGAGTTCCGATGTTTTGGGGAGATAATCGACTATGGATGCTTGATGTTGATGTTTGAAAAGTGTATGATTCACGATTTGGCTGGGGGCACTAACGCTGAATACGGTTTAGATCAAGAATGAAAGGGCGTGTGGAGCTCGATTTGGTAATTGTAATCGCTCAGATATAGTGGACTCATTAGTTGTCCTCGCTGTAGAGTAAAGTGATTCTCAATATTGTATATCAAGAAGGATCTTCAACGAGGGCGACGCCTGATCCTCGAGTCATCCAGATTTCACCAGCGACGTAATCTCATCAATCTCCTTCGGCGTTGGTGTCAGATTCTCAATACCGTCCTCAGTGACCAAGATGTTGTCTACACCCTCGATTAGCATAATCTCATGATTTGAACGGCTTGATACTTACCCTCAATCCTCACACCACCAACACTCCAGTACTTTTCCAGCACCTTCTCGTCAATATACTGCTTCTGCTGGTCATCCTTGAGATACGGCTCAATGATAAACCGGCAGAAGTAAATCCCCGGCTCAACTGTAATCACACTCCTCGCTGGCAAGGTGCCCCTGACACGCAAATACCTGAACATGCGGTCCTTGTCCGCGTAGTTTGCATTACCGCCAGTGTCGTGCGTGTCCATGCCCAGGTAGTGACCAAGACCGTGGGGGAAGAATGCAACGCTGGTGCGCGCCTTGAAGATCTGCTCTACATCACCCTTCAGTATGCCGAGTTCGAGCAGGCCTTTGATTGCGATCTTGTGTGCGAGCTCGTGGATGGAGTCCCATAGTACACCGGCCTTGAGAGCGTTGATGCATTGCTTCTGCATGTCGAGAACAATCTTGTAAATGGCGAGTGATTCATCTGTGAATGTTCCTTTGATGGGAAATGTGCGTGTAATGTCCGACGCATAGCAGTCAACTTCGCACCCAGCGTCCAGGAGCATGAGGTTTTGGCTCTTGATTGGTGCGGCGTTGTGCACGTAATGCAGAGTCGCGCCATTCTCGCCTGCTGCGACGATGGAATGATAGGCCTGGTTCTTTGCGTTGCGCTCAACACATGACTTGAGAAAGACGGCCTCGAGTTCGCACTCGTTCTGGGCCTTGGCTGCGGCCTTCATGACGTTAATGTGGGCATTTGTTGAGATGACATTTGCTTTGCGAATGAGAGCAATCTCGTAATCTGACTTTGTGACTCGGCAGTACTCAATAGCTGTCTTCAGTTGCTCTAGGTCCTTGTTCTGGTACGAGAGGAACGTGGTCTCGTCAGAGATTTGCCCTGGGATAGCATATATGGTCGATTGAGCAGTCTCCGAAGAGCTGGCCAGATGAGGGTTCACTTCCTTCGTAGTTTTGCAGTCGTCAATATCGTACTTTGCCTTTGCCTCCTCAGGGCTCATGGGCAAACCAGACCAGATAACCTCCTCTGGCTCGACAGGAGGGATGAATAGGGTCAGCTTGTCGCTGGGGAAATCATAGGTGAGGTAAGAGTCCGGCAGCTCACAGCCGCTGAGGTAGAAGAAGTAGCGTCGCTGGCTGTCAATAAGAAGTTAATCGAATGTCCATCAAAGTGCCGATGTTGCTCAAGATAGCAAACATACCGAAACGGCGCTTCGCCATCATTGTCCTGCATCGATTAGCACAAAACTTCGGGTCTGACACAGTCACGCACCTCATTGAGCTTCTGCTTCTGCGCTTCTAGATAAATCGTTCCCTTCTTGTCGCCACCCTTATCGACAATCCATTTTGCGACCTTCCTCGCATGATCCTTGGCTGGGTACTTGCCCTTTAGGACCTCATCGTAGTTTTCTGCGATAGCCATGGCGAGTCTCCTTGATTGTGTGGTGGGCAATAGGCTGCGAACTGGTTGCAAGAGAGCACGTGGGAGCGTTTTGAAAGCTAGCATGAGATAGACAGCTTACTGTTTGTTTGCGCAAGTGGGGTGGTGGGGTGAAGCTCACGCTCGAGAGCTGCGGCTAGCCGCGGTCCATGAGAAAGAGGCAGGTGCTTTCCATCATACACGCACCATCATGATTGAGCAGTGTTATATTGAGGACCATCATAATCCACTGTAGACACGTACAAAAAAAGTGATAGCTGATTTGATGCATTGCTTTAAAAACTATTTCGTCTGAGACGGCCATCTCTATCAATATTCAAAGTGGCGGTATGCGGAACAATGGAGACCTTCAAGTAATAATCATAACGCTTCTTATGACTCCGAACGCCCGATTGTGCAACGCCTTGTTCTCGTCGTTCGTTTTCAGAAGACGTGATCGTATTCCACTTACCTAGTACAATGAAGAAAACGGGCCAGCAAGCGCGGGCATAATACTAGTTGGCATGCTCCCACAAGTGGCCGATGAAGTTAAGCAACGCGGTTATTTGATCGGTACCAGTAACAACTTTGAGGAATTCCTGCCAGCGCTTGAGCGCCTAGCCCATTGCTTGGGCCGTGTGTCTGTCCCAGCAGGCAAGAAGTGCATCTCGAACCGTAGACAGGTAATGCTCCAGATGCGCGAATGACGTGACAGGGACGGAAGGTGCGCTGTTTCTTGGACGCTCGGTAGGATTGGCAACGGGAGAGGATGTCTAGTCCTTCCAGCGGTTGAGAAATTTGGCCATGTCGTCGGTCGGGTGAGGGGCCGGAGCGACCTAAACGACGTGTTAGCAAACGCACCATGCAATATTCAAGACTGTGCGGCAACCACGTGAACTTACCGTGTTCTCTCTACCCTGGACTGAGTATGTTTGGCTCTGGGTGATCGTTGTCTGAACTTTGGGGATAGGAAGTCTCGTCTTCGCGATCACTACGCTGCTCGTAGGGAACAAGGGTTTCGCAGGCTTTCCCGTGGCCATCTTAGTGGCAGGCACGGGTTGCATGGGCGCGTATCTCGTAAGACCGGTCTGCATAGTGTATTCGACCTCATACTCCTCTTGACCAGGTGCAACTGCGGTGTTTCCGCCAGACTTGACTGTGTCGTCCTTGCTGGGTGGACCCGCTGTGCCGTCGATGGTCGCAAGACCTGCCTGGACTTCCGGAGGGAAAGTGCCCTTCATACCAGAGTAGGAGAAGCGGTCCGAGTAAGCGATGTACAGACCGCCAGTCTTGCCAACAGCTTGCATTTTGAGGAAGCTGGATGGAAGTGTTAGCCGAGCATTGGAGTCTGCTATCGGGGTTGCGCTAGACATACTATGCGTTCTTCGTGTCGCCGCCCAAGCCGGTTCCAATCAGTCCTGAGGTTACGGTCTTGACCGAGAATGCACCCTGTGTTGTAATGACCGCTAATTGCATCTGCGTATCAGTCAGTACATATGCTGTCCGTATGCTGCACATCATGTGCAGCTAGCGTGGGGCTCTAGCACGCACGTTCGAACCGGCCTCGTTGCCTCCAGCCATCAAGTAGAGCTCATACGACGCCAAATCGGCGAGGTCTGGTCCATCGGTGCTCTCCGTCCATGTCGCCTCAAGAGCCGTGCCTGCAGTGAGCGTCCCGCCTGCTGCAGGCTTTGTGAACTTTACGCCGGCTTGCACGAACGGCAGGAGGGCGGCAACCAAGGCGATAGGGAGTACTAATCGTGCCATGGCGTACTATGGGGTAGCGAGCGACTGTTGTGACGTTCCGAGGCGCGCGGCGGTGCGCAAATATGTGTTCGAGCACGTGAGAGACCGAGGTGTGTTTGCTGTTTATAACAGAAAAGGCGCGCAGCGAGTGCGGGTGGTGTGGGTTCTGTGGGCGGCCTTTGGAAACGGGAGTCGTGAACGTTGAGCTTGCGATGCACGAAGATCGTGGCGCCGCCTCGTCCCTGCCGCGCACGCTATGGCGCTAGTCTGCTTTTGGAAGCACGGTCCCAGATGGATCACTGATTGGCTAATGTATAAATACGCAGCCCTGAAACATGGCTGCTCCACTGGCACAAACGTTGGCCAGGCTTGCGCGTTCGTCATTGTCAAGCACCTTACAGGATTCAAGATCGGAGTTGTGAACTGGTGTGTGTTCATGATTGAATGATTCTTATTTTGGAACTCGTCACGAGCTCAGACTCTTGGCCTCAATCGAGGACGGTCAATTCCAATACCCAGACCAACTTGGGTCCCATGTACACGTGCCCCTCAAGCTAGATTCGAGGCCTGCTGCCAAAACGCCATTGCATGCTGAGTGGGATATCCTAGTACAACCAAAGAAAAGCAAAAGAGACACAGACCCCTTCAACAGGACCTCAGACCTGAACATGTCGCATCTTCGGATTTGACATGCTCAAGTTAAACGACGACGGTAGCCTAGTCGTCATCGTCGCTGCCTGTCCTGCTCTTTGTAATTGTAATGTCAGATCCCTCAACTTCTCTGGCGTGAAAATTTGGACGTCGAACGAAAGTAGGAATTCCACGCAGAGCTCCAGTCGACTGAGTGCAGCCTCGTCTACGCCGCCGACAGCTGCGAAGCGCTTTTGGGGCCATCGGTGGTCTTCCAGTGCCTTCATAGCTACCAGAGCGCACGCTAGTATTAGGCGGTGCATCGTGCGGTATGTGAGCGGGACACTCCTATCAACGACGCATAGACGTAGAATGTAAGATCCTGCTGCTAGCCACACAGCGGTTGAGAGCGGACAGAACTTTTGAATGCGGTTTATGTACTCTTCCACGCCGACTTTTGGTACCGTTTTCGAGAAGAACTTTCGCGCCATATTGAGCCGCTGGACAGATTCTGGCTGAGCTCCTGCGCCCACATCGTGAGTGATGGTCGGTTCGTCATGGCTCGCTTCTGGAGGATCCAGCTGGGTGGGCTGGTGCTTCTGTCTATCGGCAGGGATAGGCGTCGCCGGCCTTGATGCTGTGCGCCGATGACCCTTGAGAGCCGCAAAATTCTCTTTCCCAGAAGGTGTTTGGGGTCGAGAAAGCGGTGGTGTTGCCGGTACGTCACCGGCAGAGTTTGCTATTGCGACTACGGAACGTACAATGAGTTTCATGGCCGTCTCTCTTGACATATTGACAACGTCCATATTGTCGTCCTCTGCCGGTGGTGATGGTGCATCTTGAAGACACAGGCTGGAAAATTCCGGGAGCACACCCGCGTCACCTGCAGGATTTGGCGCCGAGGGTGGGTTTGAGGGAGGGTCCGAGGAGGGAGGATCCATTTTTTGTATGACCGGTGCAAGCAGCACGAGACGTCGTGGGTGCACGGTCTTGAGTGGAGGCGTAGGGTAACAAACTTGGATCATTTGGCCGCGAGTAGGATGTGTCGCCGGTCTTGTCCGATTCTTCTCCGAACGTCAAGGCAATAACGACAAATGAAGTAATTGTCGATTTGAATGCTGCGGAGCTTTAGCGATAGAACTTTGCTGCACAAATGCCGCTGCGTACATTCAAGACAGCTTTGCGTATGGCCGGAAGCGATTCAGAGAAGTGGCACGTGCTGATCGGTAGGTTGGTCGGAAGTTTGCAGCTGGTGGGATGTTCGAGGTATTATGCGGAACCGTGGAATGCGTTGTATGCAGCACAAGGCAACAGGCCGTCCGGTCAGAAGAATGTCGAAGATGGGTGCTGCCGAGCGATGGCGGTTTTGACAGCGGAGTAAAGGGTACTTGAGGGTGAGGCGTTCGTTGGTAAGGTCACTTGACGCTAAGGGGATTTCTGTCCTTCTTAAAAAAGCTGGTCAGAACTGTATTGTACGAGACCTTCCGGCGCTTGGGAACGCGTTTGTAGTGACAGGCCATACAGTAGCGTATCGAGGCTGAGGTAGCTGCAATTACCGCCGTCGCGCCATCAGAGGCGATTTGCAGGCGTGGTATGTGGAGTTGAATGTGCTGTCTGGTCACGAGCGGGTACGTGGAGCACTGCTGGGCGTCGAGCCGACGAGATGAGGCCCAAGAAGTGCCCGGGTGGGTCTCGTGCAGTGCAGAAAAAGGCTAGATCGTGGCACTGCGGGCCGTATAGCTACAAGCAGAACAGATGCAGTGTTGTCTAAGAAGCAGGCATCTTTCGGAGCGAGAGGCGGAGGGATGGAGATGAGCCGGAAAGTGGTGATGGTGATTGGCGGCAATTGGGAGTTTAAGTGACAGCTGCAGGCTGAATACACGAACGTGAATGTGCTGGCGGAGAGTGATCCGGCGTGGGCAGATCAGATTTATTATTGCGGGGAGGCCAGACTCCTGCAGGGTCTGCAAAAGCGCAGTAAGGAAGACTCGCTGCCACAGGGGACTTGGTGTACCATGTGGGCGGCGCGTGAAATGAGAAATGGGCCAAACGAGTTTAGGCACGCAGGCTAGAAGCCCAAGTAATTGCTACCGAAGGCCGGTTGTTCTTCCTGTGCCGCGGCTGCTCATCGCTCGCTGCCCCATCTCTGCGTCGTTTGATATGTCGCGAACACCATTTTTGTTCAAAAGGATGGGCCACTCTGCCATCGTGACCGTGTCTGAGGGGATATACACTCAATTGGCCGTACTAGCACGAACTGAAAGCCCTGCCGGCCGGATTGGGTAGCTTTCCGACGGCCATTCGTTCACGAAGACACCTCCAAGCAACGCCTCGAGCATCAGCCTGCATCGCGGAGCCGGGAACATGGTATCACAAATTCTACGATCTTGCAGCTTGCATCCAGTCAACGCTGTTACGACTGTGCATGGTGGCCATGTCCCGCATAATGGATGCACATCCACGTGTTCTTCGGAACGTCCAGACTGCCCCTCGATGGCGTGTTGGACTGGTGAGCATTTCGAACAAGTTCTCATTAAGAACGAAGAGCAGAGTGTCATCAAGCACTCATTGCTAGCCTCATCAAGTAGAACATGTCGACTTTGCTCTCGTGTTTGCGATCCGCGGTGCTATATGACCGGACCACGGGAGATTCACAGCACCGATCGCAACGTAAACTGAGATCGCAGCCGCCCATCCTGTTCTGACAGGCTGAGCACGAACTCCATGGTATTGCATTAGCTTACACAGATCGGCAGTGCCCCGAGGAATCCCTTGTAAGCGGTGCAATCAGCGGAATTCCAAGTACATCGAGCCGTTCTGAAGGTTGGCAGCCCCTCGCACATGGTACCTCGGAGTACTACCTGCCGCTTCCGAGCTTCGTGGTAGATCAGGTTCAACGGTCAAGCCCCTAATCTTTTCCAAAGCTGCCCCATCCAAGACTGAAAAGAAGACGTCCAGCGCTGTTTCTTGAACTGCTGCCTCAGATGGCGCAAGAAATCGTGCTCACTCTGTGGAAACCTTCTAGGTTCAGACAACACATTTCCCCAATACGTAAGCCTGGGCCATTTCAATCCCTTTGATGCGAGCTACACTATAGTAAAAGTACCTGGAGGTATGCGGATTCCCGTAGTGTGTGAACTAGGACGGGTCGATTATAGCGGCATCTGATGGCTGCATGTCTTCTCAACAAAACACGCTGGGCGACATGATCATGACAAACTTGACGTCACACAACGCCGTAGACGTATCTGAAAAACAACCACTGCAAGCCATCGTAGCCTTGAAGTTGTGAGCTTGTTTTCTGTCCTGTTTGAAGAGTGCGACATCATGTTCAGCAGGGCCAGGATCTGTGCCCAAGTACATATCTTGAAGGCGCTCTGAAGGTCGAGCCTAGCTCCTTACAAACGCTGAAAGCTCTCGTCACATGCTTGAGAACACGTATGGTGCGGCCAATGAAAATAAGGAAATGATAATAAGACGATGAAACTAAAGTGTGCCATCTTATGCGGATATGGCGGGGTGTTGCATTCCCCTATGGGCTGCGTTTGCAGAGTGCAAGTCGTTCAATGCGATTTGATTTGTTCAAGGAAGCCGATACTCCGTGAACCCGCTGTGACTACAAAAGTAAATTGAATTGATTCCTCACTCTAAGACACGTGTGACGCGGTGCGCGTCCACGGGTAGCACGTCTGCACGTGGTTTGACCACTAGCGCGACTTCCTGAACGTAGTTAGCCGAGCGGGCGCCTTGAACCCTGCGAAACAACAAACAGAAGCGCGGAGCAACTAACAACAACAGCACATGCCGCCACCATGAGGATTATAGAACTCGTTATTGACGTGAGTACCAATTTGGAACCGTGCGACCGTGTCTAACAGGGCTACAGGGCTACAAGTCGTATGCTGTCCGTACAGTCATCTCCGGCTGGTATGTTTACCTTTCCTCTGTGAAACGACTTCTTCTAACGTAGGCAGGGATGAGAGCTTCAATTCTATCACAGGCCTCAACGGATCAGGAAAGTCAAATATTCTCGACTCAATATGCTTCGTCCTGGGTATCAACAATTTGAGCGTGGTGCGAGCGCAGAACCTACAAGTAAGTGATTCGGGTATCCACACCGTGCGGGGGCTGACGAGCTATACAGGATCTCATCTACAAGCGCGGACAAGCTGGAGTCACCAAGGCGAGCGTTACGATCGTATTTGACAACCGCGACAAGTCAAAAAGTCCCGTCGGCTTCGAAGAGCATGCGCAGATTTCAGTCACACGGCAGATCGTGCTGGGAGGAGCGAGCAAATACCTCATCAACGGGCACCGAGCACAGCAACAGAGCATACAGAACCTCTTCCAATCAGTGCAGCTCAACATCAACAACCCCAACTTCATGATTGCGCAGGGCAAAGTTATGCAGGTGCTGAATATGAAGGCGAAAGAGATCCTTGCCATGCTGGAGGAGGCTGCTGGGACACGCATGTTTGAGGACAGGCGAGACAAGGCTTACAAGACGATGGCGAAGAAGGAGATGAAGGTGCAAGAGATCGCTGAGCTCCTGAGGGACGAGATTGACCCGAAGCTGGAAAAGTTGCGACAGGAAAAGCGCGCCTTCCTCGAATTCCAGCAAACGCAAAGCGAGCTCGAACGCCTTACAAAGCTAGTCATTGCACACGACTACATCCGGTACAAGGAGAGGCTGCAACAGTCGGCAGACGACTTGGAAGCGAAGAAGCAAAGAGCTATAGATCTGGACGAAGCGGCGGTCCGCATGAAGAAAGAGATCGAGTTCCTGCAGGAAGACATCAAGAAGGTCAAGGCCACGCGCGAGAGGGAACTACGCAAAGGAGGCAAGTTTCAAGCCCTGGAGGAAGAGGTCAGGGCGCACTCTCACGAGGCCGTTCGCTTGGACACCCAACTGGATTTGAAAAACACCAGCCTGGCTGAGGAGAAGGAGCGTCGCCAGGGAATCGAGAAGACCGTCCAGGACCTCGAAAAGCAACTGCAAGAGAAAAAGAAGGCCCATGAGAAGCTGCAAGAGAAGTACCAGACTGCCCATGCCGAGTTGGCAAAACAGACAGAGGAAGTCGAGAAGAAGGAAGAGTTGCTGCAAACCCTGCAGACTGGTGTCGCATCCAAAGAAGGCCAGGAAAGCGGTTACCAGGGACAGCTACAAGAAGCTAGGAATCGAGCAAGCGCTGCTGCCACGGAACAAGAGCAAGCAAAGCTGAAGATTTCACATCTCGAGAAACAGGTCAAGGAAGATGAGCCCAAAGCGAAGAAGGCCAAGGAGCAGAACTCAGGGTTGATCAATGACCTCGAAGCACTGAAATTACAAGCAAAGAAGCTACAGTCTGATTTGACCAAGCTCGGTTTCGATGAAGGCCAAGAGTCGGACATGTACCAACAAGAGTCCCATTTCCAAGCTAGGATACGGGAATTGAAGCAGCAAGCAGATGAGCTGCGCCGAAGGGTGGCCAACATCGACTTCAGTTACAGCGACCCTTCGCCAAACTTTGATCGATCTAGCGTGAAGGGGTTGGTGGCACAGCTTTTCACGCTGGACAAGAACCACACACGAGCTGGTACTGCACTAGAGATTTGCGCGGGAGGGCGACTGTACAATGTTGTCGTAGATTCCGCTGCAACTGGCAAGCAGCTCTTAGAGAACGGACGGCTGAAGAAGCGGGTCACCATTATTCCACTGAACAAGATTGCTGCGTTCAAAGCATCCGCGGCAAAGGTCGGTGCTGCACAGAAGATTGCACCTGGAAAGGTTGACCTGGCCCTGTCCTTGGTCGGCTACGACGACGAAGTCACTGCAGCTATGGAATATGTCTTTGGATCCACATTGGTCTGCGAAGACGCAGAGACCGCTAAGCGCGTTACCTTTGATCCGGCGGTCCGAATGAAGAGTGTTACTCTCCAAGGCGACACCTACGATCCTGCCGGTGTTCTTTCTGGTGGCAGTGCTCCCCAATCTAGTGGCGTACTCATAACGCTTCAGAAGCTGAACGAAATCACCACTGAACTGAGGCATCAGGAGACGCAGCTGAACTCCCTGCAAGCTACAATGGCCAAGGAAAAGAAGAAGTTGGATGCTGCGCGTAAAACGAAGCAAGAACTTGACCTGAAGACTCACGAAATCAGGTTGACTGAAGAGCAGATCAGCGGCAACTCATCATCTTCGGTACGCTACTTGTGATTCTTTAAATCTGACCATGCTAACAGATGCTACGCAGATCATACAAGCCATCGAGGAGATGAGGCAGAACATCGTACAACTCAAGGAAGATGTCAAGACAGCCAAAATACGACAGGATGAGGCCAACAAGGATGTCAAACGCATAGAGCGTGACATGAGCGAGTTCAATAATAATAAAGGCAGCAAGTTAGCGGAGTTGCAATCGTCACTCGAGAAGCTGAAAAAGGCACTAAGCAAGAACAGCGCCTCGGTCAAACCCCTTCAGGCTGAGATGCGGGAGGCTATGGTGGAGTCTGAACAGTGCGGCAGCGATCTTGCGGCCGCCCAAGAGCAACTCGAGGAAGTCGAAACTACGTTGAGGTCACAACAAGAAGAGCTAGACGAGCTCTTGGCTGAGAAGGCACGAGTCACGGATGCTCACGATATAGCGCAAGCACGGCTGAGCGACGAACAAGCCAAGTTGACGGGTTTCGATGAGGAGCTTCGGTCGCTGGATGACACCATTCGATCCAAGAACACCTCCATCACCGAGGGAGGGTTGGAGCAACAGAAGCTCGGCCACGAAATCGAAAGGTTCCACAAGGAGCAAGAGGGTGCAGCCAGTCACGTCAAGGCACTCGAAAAGGAGTATGATTTCATTGCCAGCGACTCGGAGCTCTTCGGGAGGGCTGGCTCAGTGTACGACTACAATGGTGTGAACATGGCGGACTGCAAAACCAAGCGCAAAGCCCTGGAAGAACGATTCCAGCAAAAGAAAAACAAGATCAATCCCAAGGTCATGGCCATGATCGACAGCGTGGAGAAGAAGGAAGCCAACCTGAAGAAGAACATGTCAACGGTCATCAAGGACAAGTCAAAGATCGAGGAGACCATTGTTAAGCTTGATGAGTACAAGAAGGAAGCTCTGCACAAAACCTGGACAATAGTCAACCGAGACTTTGGTTCGATCTTCAACGAACTTCTCCCGGGCAGCTTTGCAAAACTTGACCCACCCGAGGGCAAGACCATCTCTGACGGACTAGAGGTCAAGGTCATGCTGGGTAAGGTCTGGAAGCAGTCTTTGACGGAATTGAGTGGTGGTCAACGGTACGCATATTGATTCTGCTTATGTTTGTCACCAACTAACATATAACAGATCATTGATTGCCCTTTCCCTCATCATGGCATTGCTGCAGTTCAAGCCTGCTCCCATGTACATCCTAGATGAAGTTGACGCCGCTCTCGACCTTTCTCATACGCAGAACATTGGTCGACTTTTCAAGACTAGATTCAAGGGCTCGCAATTCATCGTTGTCAGTCTGAAAGACGGCATGTTCCAGAACGCCAACCGCATTTTCCGTACGCGGTTTGTCGATGGCACCTCAGTTGTGGCAGCCACGAGTGGCTCTGGATAGATGGCAGATTTGTTATGATGTATCATGAAGCATGAGTAGGATACCCAATATACATGGTTTGGACACGGGCTCTCGGATTAGGGTCGCATAGGGAAGGCGTTCGGAGCATCAAGCGCCGGTTGGAAGTTGCGTGTAGCAACGGTAGCGGTACCCTTCCTGTTTGGATCATGACTTCCTGATTTAGATGGATAGGATCTCAAACATCTCAATTGCATCGACTTCTTACGCTTTACTCATTACGCTATCCCTAAGCTTCCTATGCCACGATCGTGAACTCCACCTACCACCTACGCGCATCTCTATCTCAGCACCATACAGCACCCATCCGTCGCAGCCCTTGGCGCTTTTTCGAGTGAGAGCGAGCAGATCTCGGACCTTACCATAAACCCAGTCAATCCACCGACCGATGCTAAATACTCCACGCGCCCCACGAAGCGAGAACGCCTACCAACTCTCCAGCACAAGCACGTCCTCAAACATCCCGAAAGATGACAGCCTTCACCACCCGACACCCAGACCAGTACTTGCCAGACACTCCACCTCACTTATAGATCACGCCGATCAATTACAGGTCGAACATATCGGTCAAATCAAGAACGGTCCAGCTTCACGCTCAAGCCATCATGAGATCCGAAGGGACGGTTATACGTGGGGCTTGAAGCCGGCATCTGATGATCTCAGCGACCCACGTCGACATAGTCGCAATCCTTTATTACCTGCACAGGTCCGCGAAAAGACGCCACCATCACTGGAGGAGTTGATGCGCCCACCACAGAATGAGGACGCTGATGCCGCACATAACGACCGTGTTTCCCGCGCCAACACTGGCGATACCATGAGCAGCGTCAGGAACGTAGGTATTCCTTCTACTCGGCCAGAGTCAGTGACGCGTCGTAGCACCCGCAAGTTATCGGTGGCTGTTTTCGCTAAAGGACTCTTTCCTCCGGCTAGCTCCAGTGAAGAGTGTCGAGAACGTCGTGAAAGCGCAAGCTCCATGGGATTTAATGGTGATGGGAGGAAGAAACGCAGGCCATCCTTTGTCTTGTCTTCAACCGTTGATCAGGGTGGTTTCATGAAGCCCTCGCATGGGCAGACGAATGCTGAAAGTTCCAAGACTCAGAAACCGACACACCTTTCCAAGAAATCCTCGATGAAAAGCAGCCTTAGAGACCGAAGAAACGTTAATTTTGACCTATCGTTGCCCATTGAACCACCAGACCTACCACCACGAAGCCGTTCGCCTCTTACAAAGTCCAGTAGCATCACGCCCGCAAGGCCGCGAAGCCCAAAAACCCCATGGATAAGGGACGAGCCATTGCAATGGACACAGGCTGCCTCTCAAAATACCGCGCCCATTTTCGAAGAGGACTATGTTGGCCAAGCGACTGTTGAAGAGGGCACGCCTGGCTCTGGCCTGCTCCCTGACAACGACCCCATCTCTTCGTCTCACTCTCCGACATTTGAACGCCCATCAGTAAAAGTCCGCGACCGCTGCTACGTCACCCGTCCACGATTCAACAGGAGTCGAGACAGCCGAGGTGAGCATAGTTCTGATGCACTTGCCCACACCCCAGATGGGAGCTGGGCACCAAACGACGAGAGAGAATATCAAGAGCAGAAGAATCAAACGGCAGTAGAGTTGGAGCAGCTTAGTCAGGTGACAAAGGAAGCTCGATCGAAACGCTGGCGTTGGGCACGATCGGCCACTCGCTCTAGTGATGGCAGTCACTCAAGTCCCATTGCAGAACCGACCAGGGACCGCAAGTTCTCTGTCAACCCTTTCAGACGCTCCAACCGCCTAGCAGAGCAAACCGACCAGGATCAAGATTCCAAACATCGACAATCCCCTCATGCCAATCGCCTCTGGTGGATTGGCAAACAATCTCCACCACCACCAGAGCCTGAAGTGACCAAGATCAAACCTCCCTCTCATATCGCCATGCCATCCGCATTCACCCCGCCCGGTATGCACCACATCCCTACTCCACCCACATTGGACGCCAATGGCGATATCAAAGGCAAACTTGCCGACTTCTTCTTCGACCACGGTACCGATATCGATCGGCGACCGAAAGCTAGACCCAGCCCGGGAGGATACTGGGATTCTGATGCCCTGCTCATGTCGTTTAAGTCGCCGTCTATACAGCCGTCAGATTCGACGGAGGAAGGGCCAGAGGGGCCTGTGCCAGAATACGCACCACGAAGCTTCACGTGTGACGCCAATGATTATGGGACACCAGGACTCGTTGTGAGGCCCGGTGGTTACATGAATGCCGGCATACCACGTCTCCCACGGCCGGCAAATACAGAAGAGACGTGGTTTCGGCGCTGCATAGTCGAGCAGACGCAATTGACAGCTGCGGCGTTGCGTAAGATCGACGAGCGCAAGAAATTTGAGTGGATCGTGCCAGAACACTTGCCAGGAAGTCCGCTTTGTCCTCTCCACAAGAATTATCAGGGATACAGCATCGGCGTCTGCTACTGGCATGGCAGACGCAGACGCATGAGTGGCAGTAATGGAAGTGAGGGGAGCGACGAATTTGTTGGCGGGGTGTATGAGCTGGGCAAGAAGGAGCAGAGGAAAAGGAGACGAGCGAGAGCGGCAGCGGAGAGACGTGGAGACGTGGAAGTCAAGCGGGGAGCGAGAGGGTGGCAGGTGGGTATGTTTGACCAGAGTCCTGAAGAGCACAAGCCAAAGAGGAACAGACTGCAGAGTCTGTCGAATTCTTAATTCGTGGGTGCTTGACTTGGGACTGGCTCTTTCAACATGACAAGGACCATTGCAGAGAGGTAGTGAAATTGAGGATATGTACTGTCAAGGCCCTAGTCTATTAGATGGGCACGGCTACAATCGACCCCTGATTCCTTCCACTCGCATGGCGGAATGTCCACTTCTGAGTCTTCTACATTATCTCTTTCTCTTCACCGCTCACACGGCGCGTACTTGACACAAGTTCGTGACGTGAAGAGGGAGTGCTATCGATACGTCGTCGGGGAGCTAGTCCGACACCAATATACTGAGCGCTTAGAAAAGGCCAACCCGCGGTGTTTGGTGCAGTCGATTGGCTACATGCCGGCCGCACGGCGGAGATGACCCACGAGGCTTCCTGGACGATTCGTGATAATGTGATGGGGGCAAGAGTCACAGAGCAGTAGCGGTATAGACGCCAGTGGCGGGATTGGTGTCTTTGGGGCGGCTTGGGCGTGGATTATGCATGAGATGTGCCTTGCATCTGCAGTGCAGCGCCGTTGCCCCGCCTGACCTCCGCGTGCTACAACATGTCTTGGGAGCCTCCAGGCGTCTCTATTCCCACCCACAGCCTGAATCATCTCCGCTGCGCCGCAACACATCGACGAGTGCCTGGATCGATCTGCGTCTCATGCGGCTTCCCGAATTGCTGATAGATTGGTGAGGCGCCACGACAACGCAGCGCTGCAACGTCATCCCGCTTGTACATATCCATCCATGTTGGCGACGCGACGGCAGACACCGTGACCGCCATACCGCCCCGTGTGGGAATCGCACCCGCAGTCTTCACCTGGAGTGAATTGAGAGATTGGCTGCTTCGTCTTCGCGTGGATTGTCGCAAGGACCGGCCCCGAGTGCGCACATAGCCCCCGCGCTGTCGCCTGCGCGCTGCTGACCCTGGGAACGGCCAGCACACACCACGTCGAGACTGAGAATCCGCTGCATATAGTCCCGTACTCCACCACCACCCGTACATAATCGCCCCGCCATGACGACCCAGACACCCATGATTTCGGTGCCGCTGAAGCAGACCAGTGAGATTGACTGGATAGCTCCGCTAAAGGGCTACATACGCGCCACTTATGGCGACGACCCAGAGCGCTACTCGGAGGAATGCGCGACCCTGAACAGGCTGCGGCAGGACATGCGAGGCGCGGGCAAGGACAGCGCTGCTGGACGGGATCTGCTCTACCGATACTATGGACAGCTGGAACTGCTCGACCTGAGATTCCCGGTGGATGAGAACCACATCAAGATCAGCTTTACATGGTACGTACAGAGCGTGCGGGGTGATACGTTGAAAGACTGGAAGCATGAGAGGCAAACATTGGACATTTGGAGGATAGGGTACGCTAACATACAGCCAGGTTCGATGCCTTTACACACAAACCCACCTCGCAGTACTCGCTCGCATACGAGAAAGCCTCCATCATCTTCAACATCTCCGCCGTCCTCTCCTGCCACGCCGCCCACCAAAACCGCCACGAAGATGTCGGCCTCAAGACGTCGTACCACTCGTTCCAGGCCTCCGCTGGCATGTTCACATACATCAACGAAAACTTCCTGCATGCGCCTTCGACCGACCTGAGTCGCGAGACTGTCAAGACGCTCATAGCGATCATGCTGGCACAGGCGCAAGAAGTCTTCCTGGAGAAGCAGATTGCAGACGGCAAGAAAGTCGGACTGTTGGCAAAGCTGGCAAGTCAGGCCGCGGTTCTGTACTCGCAAGCTGTCGAGGGTGCGCAGGAAAATGTCCAAAACGCCATCTTTGAGAAGGTCTGGCTTCTGGTCTGCCAGGTGGGTACCACAACAGACTCGATGTGGAAGTCGAGCTCACAAAACACAGATCAAATCACACTACATGACTTCAGTGGCGCAATACTACCAAGCGCTTGCAGATGACGACGCGAATGCTCACGGCGTGGCGATTTGCAGGCTACAAGTCGCCGAACAGAGCGCCAAAGACGCGAGTCGAGCAGCGAACAGCTTTCCCTCCTCCGCACCGGCGAACTCGAATCTGGCATCAGACACAGGATCGATACTGGCGGAGATGGCGAAGAAGCACGTCTCGAATGTGCAGGAGAAGCTGGCGGAGCTGTCCAAGGACAACGACTACATCTACCACCAGGGCATTCCAAACGAAGCGTCTCTGACACCCATCGCGAAGATGCCGGCCGCGAAAGCGATACCCGTCAGCGAACTGTACCAAGGGCAGGACATACAACGAATCATTGGGCCGGATATTTTCCAGAAAATCGTTCCACTAGCTGTGACCGAATCAGCCAGTCTGTACGACGAAGAGAAGGCGAAACTGATACGAGCCGAGAGCGAAAGAGTCGAGGTCGCAAACGACGAGATGGCAGCAAGTCTAGACTACCTGAAGCTCCCGGATAGTCTGAACGTACTCAGAGGCGGCATGGATCAAGACATGATGGTCGACAACGACTTCCGCAAATGGTGCGAGGATCTAGCGGGACATCAACCTTTCGGCGCAGCATTCGACCAACTGAATAATGACAAGGCCACCATCTCAACAATGCTGGATGCGAGCATGAAACAGCTCGACATGGAAGAGAGCGTGTGCGAGAAGATGCGTTCCAAATATGGAGCAGAATGGACGCAACAGCCCAGCTCGCGACTGACTGCGACCCTCCGGAGCGATATTAGGAATTACCGGGGAGCGATAGAAGAAGCCAGCACGAGTGATGCTCAGCTTTACAGCACCTTTCGGCAATGCGAGGCCGATTTTGATGAGATGCGCTCAGCCGGCGAGACAGATGAGGCTGATGTACTGTACTCGAGGGCAATGGTGAAGGCTGGCGCGTCGAAAGGCAAGAGTCCTAGGCCGGCGGAAGGAAATCTCATCGACGACGATATCGACGATGGCCCGACTGTTGCTGACCAGATTGGCGCCGTGGAAGATTTGCTGCGCAAGTTGAATCTTGTCAAGAAGGAGAGAACGCAGATACTGAAGGACCTCAAAGAGAAGGTGTGTATACAAATAAAATTGAGACTTGACATGCGCTAACTCTGCCAGGTTCACTCCGACGACATCTCCAACGTTCTCATTCTCAACAAGAAAGCCATCGCAAACCAAGAATCGCAACTGTTCAAGGCGGAGCTGGAAAAGTTCCGTCCTCATCAGAATCGCATCCTGCAAGCCAACCACAAGCAGGCATCACTGCTCAAGGAGCTTACCCGGACGTACTCAGATCTGCTCAAGGACAAGCGTGTACGATCGGAGCAGAGCAAGTATGAGGCTTTCTCGAGGCAAAGAAATACCGTCATGACGAAATACCGGAGAGTGTATCAAAGTTATAACGACCTCGAAGCTGGGTTAATGCGAGCTCAGAACTTCTACTCCGAGATGAAGGAAACTGTGTCGAGTTTGCAAAAGAACGTGGAGACGTTCGTTCAAAACAGGCGAGGCGAAGGCGGTCAACTTCTCTCTCGCATTGAGCAGAATAAATCAACGCAAGGCGCCGACCAAGAACAGCAGCGCCTCAAGGAACTCATGGACCGCATGTCAATGGATCCGTCAAATTCTGGCTCGCCAGTATCAGCGGGTGGAGGAAGGAAGAAGAGCGTCCCACCTCCTCTGTCATCGACAACAGGCTACCACCTACCCTCCTCCAGCTCCGGCTCACACCCAGGCTACAATCCCGCCACATCACCACCAGTAACGCCCCGCTACCCCATGACCACCGCCGCAAGCCAACAACAACCCTACATGTCTCCCCAACAATCCTACGGCGGCACCCCTTCAAACAACTACCAACAACCCCCACCCCCGCGCCGCGAATCCTACCAATCCTATTCCCAACCACATTCTCAGGCATCACAATACAACCCCGCCCAACACAACCAATACAACCCCGTCTCGCCCCCCGCACATCAGCAATTCTTCTCGCCCCCACCCGCTCAGCAGCAACAGCATCAGCCCTGGGGTCAGCCGCCGCAGCAACAGTGGGGCGGCCAGCAGTCGAATCTCCCGCAGGGTTATGTGCCGCCCCCGCCCCCACCGGGACCGCCGCCACAGCAGCAGGGTGATTATAACCATTTCTCGCAGGGCGGGTATCCGAATGGGCCGGGCGGGTATGCGCAGCAGAGACAGGGGCAGCAGCAAGGTGGGAATGATCCGTGGGCGGGGTTGAGTGGATGGAAATGAGGTAGGAATGAGAGAGGGGTATATGGGCTGTGGGGATAGTAGGGAAGGGGTGGGAGAGATGTTTGATGTAGATGTAGATGGTAATAGCAATGGCATAAAAGGTACATCACAACGCATAGTGTGGTTGTTTGTTTGAGCATGCAAGTCGTGAAGATGTGAACACGCTGGCATGCCATGGCGCAGCGAACCCGGGCCTGTTCTGCAGGAAACGAGGTGGCAGGATCGCAATTCAAGTCTATGACACATGTCAAAAGACTTGGAAAAAAAAACACAGCAATACGTCTTTTACATCGATGAGTTGGGGGTAACACCTCAATACCCTCGCGCAAGTCCGCGAAACTAGCATTTGCGTATTAGCTTGTATACTGTCTCTACGCACGCTCGCAAACTAGACGCACTGTGTGTGCAAATTCTTCTCCCTCGATTCAAGTCTCGTACTTTATGCGTCCCGGTGGTATGTGAGGAACTGTACTCCTACAGACAGACGCTTGCGAGGTTACTGAGCCATGTCACAATCCAAGTCCATGTACGTGGGTGTTTCGCGGGACCGGCGATCCACCCGGCTGAATTGGGAGGAAAGGTGGAGTAAGTAGAAGTAGGAGGCGGAGATTTGATATCAAAAAAAGCATGCGTGACGGGGGACTTGGGAGGGATAAGTGAATGTGGGTTGGCTTTTTTCTCCTTCTTCTTTCTTTGCAAAAGCGATTCTCAAGAGGTCGTTACATCTATGTCGGTTGGTCTTGTACGCAGTCAGTGCTACTTGTTGTAGTGCACATGTGCTGTTGTGATTTTTTTAAAAAAAACCCCCCCAAAATGGCTAGGAGAGGTTGCGCGTCTATTGGGTTGATGTCAGTCTACGACGTGATTGGTGTGCTGCGCACTGCATCTGTAGCACGATTCCAAGTGATGTTGGAGATGTTCCCTCAATTCCTGTGTATTATTGATTACTCCAGTCCCGAGTAAGCATTATTTCGCGGCTGCCGAGTGTCCATGTGTTTCGTCCGCGCGCTGATGCGGACCAGCACACGCTGATTGCCATGGAGCCACGGTGGCTGTGCGATCGCCGGGCGTTTCGCGTGCGGGTATAACGCTGAGTCGTGGTCCCGAGTTCAGGTGGAGCATGGTATACAAGCCCCAATCGAATATGGCAATTGAGGCGCGGGGGGCCTTGAGGCACACCACTATGGTCACAGGCCCTGTCGAGGATATTTCGACGATGTACTTGTCACTCACTAGACGGCAAAGCTGAATGCCATGTTCGACCGGACGAAACGGATCATGGAACAAGAGCGATCCGCGGGTACTAAGCAATCGGACATCGGACGAGGCGTGCCGGGTCGGAGCTAAAGCTGCCAAGCACCAGTCAAGCACGCGACATGTTGTACGGTGTACGATGGCCAGCACGGCAACAAGCAAGACAATCCCACAGGAGCGAAATGCGTGACAAAAGAGATGGGAATCACCTTATCGCATGCCAAGGTAGTTGGCTCTGGTCCGGTCAGCGCCTGGGCAGTCAGCTTAGGAGATGAGGTTTGCTTCTTACTTCCTTGGATCTTGTTCGAGTTTGGAAGGGCAGCTGGGCCAGGAAATTATGCCCCCCTAGCTCCGCCATCGAAGATCTGCAACGCTGGGCATCCTGGGAAAGGCCATACAATGCTCGGCGCTATCTTGACTTGACGTCACAAGTTGCCAGCCAGCGCCAGTGACAACGGTGCGCCAGCAGCCTCGCGGCGCCATCGAGATGGCATTCCGGGCAGGTGAGCACGCGCGCACGAGGCCACAGCCATATTCGGTGCAAGACAGGCAACAAATCAGGCAGGAATGAACTGGCAGTGTCTTGCAGCACAGCGCAACACTTGGATAAACTTTGACGCCATCATCATTCAGGCGCTGGGCAGCAGCACAGCATTGAAAGGAAAAGTGGAACCTGAACGCGAGTCCCGTATGCAGTCCGTATGCCAAGCAGAATGGCATCTCCCTTTCGCCAACAGCAAACAAGCCGCCCTGAGTGGGCCGGATACATCGGTAGTGCTCACCTTGGCTACTGTTACAGTTGCTCTCGCTCCTTTTCAACTTCTCAGTTTGACTGACTAGGCTGGCTGATAACCACCTTTTTTTCCTTCACACAACTTGATTTAATAGACCGTGAGAGCTTCCACGTTCGCCCAGCAAAACGTCGCCCACGATTCACCCCAGCAAAGCTTGGCCCTATGATCTACGAGTGATCGTCATTCACCTCCAGCTTGCTCCGCAACTCTCCAGTCTTTCTGCCTCCGCTCGACTGCGGGCACGCGACACATCATGGCCAACTTCTCAGCTCCAGACGACGGGCAATGGAACAGCAAACCGGCCTGGAAACTCCCAGGCTGGTGCGAACCACTGGTATGTGCTGGACTGCGCAGATGTGGGGAAATCAAGACTGACAGTAACCTAGATGGTCGCGACCATCCTGTTCGGCGCAATGTTTCTCACACGAAAACGCAACTTCAGAGTGCTTGACCGCTCGTCGTCACCGCGGCCGGGATATCTCGACAGCGACTCAACCTCGACAGAACACCTCCTCTCATATCCCACCGACAGCGACAGTGATCTCGAAGATTTCTCGACGGCTAAGAACCCGCCGAAAGTACGCAACTTGGGATGCTGCAAGGTGGCTACGCCGAACACTTCGCGGTTCCGGAATAATATCCACAGTCGCATACTGCAGCGCTTTCCGTTCTTGATTGAGATGTTCTATTGGATCATAAACTACGCCTTCTACCGCATGACTTCGGTGCTTTCGAGCAAGCTGTTTGCGGGGCGGGGGATTTGGGATGTCGCGCAGGAACATGGCATATCCGTGCTGGAAGCTGAGGAGTACGGCATGTTGAACTTCTTGTTCCCCGTCCGGGAGAGGGATGTTCAGCAGTGGTTCATGCACGGGCATCAGGATGCGCTCACGGTGCTGAACAAGTGCTATGCGCTGATCCACATCCCTGGTACTGTTGGGTTAGTCACTCTTTCCCACAACATCCAAACACACACTGACATGTATAGATTTATCTGCTGGTACTACTACGTCGCACCATCATTCGACACATTCGCAACTGCCCGCCGCACCATGACGCTCACCAACTTCTGCGCCTTCATGACCTTCATCGTATACCCCTGCATGCCACCCCGCCTGCTCCCCAAGGAATACGGGTTCCTCGACACAGTCCGCCACGACGATGCGCAGAGCGTCTGGATGAGCGGGAAATTCGTCAACATGCTGGCCGCGATGCCGTCGATGCACTTTGGCTACGCCTTCTGCATCGGCATGACAGTCATCTACCACTCCGGCGTGTTCCGGCGCACGCTCGAACGGGGCGAAGTGCGCAAGAACGCTTTCTGGAAGATCTTTTACCTTTGTGTTGGGCTTGGATACCCGACATTCATCTTGGTCACTATCGTGGCGACGGCGAACCATTACTTCATGGACGCCATGGTCGCGACGTGCTTTGTTTTCTTCTCTTATCTGTGCAACAAGGTGTTTTACGTCTTCATCCCTCTGGAGGACATGCTTTTGTATATCATCAGGGCGGATAAGCCGGTGCCCACGACGGGCGACCGGTTCCACGAGAAGGGCGGGAGGTTGTAAGACATGTTGCACATTGCATGGCAGCGACTTGACGGCCTTTACCTACACACTTGCTCGCAAGTGATTGCATATATCCCGGCGTTGGATACCATGTACATACCCATTGATAGTCACACGAACGATCTCATTAATTCTACACTCTGTCGATGACCTACTATGTAGACATGTCGTTGGGCCCCGAGTTGCTATCGCGCCGACTGATCCCATTCTGCGCTAACACGGCGTTCCTGCGCTAGCGCCATGGGAGCTTCCCCAGACGCGTCCGAGCTTCACCTACCATCTCTCTGCTTCGTCCAGCCACGCCGCTCAATCGCACTGTAAGCCCCTCATTCGAGTTGTGTCCGACGTGCAGTCGCATATTCTCTCTTCTTTCATCCAGTCAAACTCACTTTTTGCCGTATACTGCCGCCTTGCGCTTACCCTTCCTTCCGCAGCTTCCCCGAGCTCCAGAAGCTCGATCCACTCGTTTGCGCCGACAAAGCGCATAGCAACACATCACCTTCGCTATGGCAGATTCCGGGCAGCAGACGCCGATTGAGGAGACGCCTGTCGAAGACGTAGAGATGGGCGAGCAGGCGGGCGATAGTGGCGCAGGCGCGGGCGAGGAGACGGGTCTTACGGCGATGGAGCCTGAGACGCCGAAGCTGGTGCTTTTCGCTGAGTAAGTGGAGAGAGTTTGGGGGAGTATTAAGTGATAAAGCCAACATGTAACAGTTTGATGAAGAGTCCCATTGTCGAGGTTGTGGTTGGGAACGGACAGGAGCGAACAACCTACTCTGCACACGAGGCTGTGCTGATCAAGTCTCCCGAGTTTGCGAAGCAGGTGGAGCAATTCGCGCCTGGTGGAGTACGTCCCTGACAACACTCACTTTCAAAGGCACATACCAATCAAGCCACAGCCGCGCCAAATCATCTTCACAGACGTCGACATCGACGCCATGGGCTCCGTCGTCGAATACCTCTACACGGGCGAATACTTCCCCAAAAAGACGTCCTCCGCGCGTGATGCCCCGCTCGAAAAAGACCCGCGCCAACCCTCCGCCGATGACGACGGCCTCGGCCTGCTCGTTCACGCCCGCATCTACACGCTCGCCGACCGCCTGCAGCTCCCGGTCCTCAAATCCCTCGCGCACAGCAAAATCCACCGCACGGCGTCGACCGCCAAGGGCGAACTCACATACGCCCGCTACGTCTACAAGGAGAGCAATCCCGAGGACACCACAATCCGCAAGCCCGTGGCGGCGTTTTGGGCCAGCAGGAGTTATAGCCTGCGCCACGATGCGGAACCCGAGTTCCGCGCCATGTGTCTCGAGTTTCCGCAGTTTTCGTACGATGTGCTGCAATTAGTGCTAGATCAGCAGGAGAAGGGTAGGGGCAGGGGTGGTGCTGGTGCTGGGGATGGGACGCCGGCGAAGAGTGGGCCGAGTGTGGTGCCGGGGAGTTCGAGGAAGCGGGCGCGAGTGACTCAGTTGTAGATGGTGATTTTGCTTGGCGTGGTTTCTGTGCACATTTGGACGAGAGGGTCGTGGAATCGGCGGCTCATGTACGTGTAGACGTCGCCGCAAGTGCAGCTTCGTCAGGCGCGCGGATCGAGTGCGTCTAGCTCGTCAACTCGCGGATGAGGCGCCTCGACATGGCTTTCCCTCTCCTTTAATTACGAAGGTCTTCTATCTCACAGTTGTGTACGAAGGAGGGAATCGAATCAACTGGAGCTGGGACCGGGACATCGGTTTCTTCGGACATATTTCGTGTTTATCCATGCAACAAGTAGCGGCATTTCTTTCACACGTCGATAGTCGAAGCGGGGAATGTAAAGTCTGGTGGAATTGAATTAGAAAAAAGCTATATATATCCGACACTCCTGTTCCCGCAATGCGATATCCATGTCTACCTCGTGACGCTTTGCTGATACCAGTATACCAAGTTAACCCCCTACCAAACCCTCGTGAGTGGAGCAAATAGCAAGATGGTGGGAAAGAAAAGCTGACAATGTCGTACTTTTCCCTTTCCCCAACCGCGACATCAGCCGACCACGCCTTCACGCTGACTAGCCTCGCTGAGCACGACACGGCTAGTGCGATTGCACACGTTTTGGCTGATGCAAAGCCCAACATGCAGCCGCCATCGTCCCGCGCTGGCTCACGACGTAAGCAATTCCCATGCGCGAGCTCTGATCCCGTGGTTTTCTCCTAGGCCGTCTGCGCGCTGCGACTGTTTGGTGCGCCGTTTTGTGAGGCAATGCTGGAGGAAGTCATGGGACTCATGCTTTGGGGGAAAACCAATGTGTGCATCTGGCTCGGCATTGGTGCCAGTGTGTGTGTGTGGATCGTAGAGTGATGTCGTCTACATGGTTTTGACGTATGCGCGTGGTCGTTCATCTCATCAACTTCGCCATCCCATTCATGCTTACACTCAATCTCAAGCTGAGTTTGACGCCCTTTGCTTTCGCTGTGAATTGCTGCGAGTGTTCGTTCCATTCACGGTGAAGCACTGCGTGACCTTGTAGTCTGCTGGGTCGTCGCGGCAGACTATGCCTCATATCGCTTTCTCTACGTAGCGGCATTTTCGCTTCTAGTTCTTTTGTATCTTGTAGAATTGGTGCGCACATGGCTTCCAGGCCAGGGAGAGAGTGAGGCGGAATGTTTTCATGTATGAGCGAGCCGTTTCGGGATTGTGTGATGAAGCACCCATATCGATGTGCGTGCAAGACGATGTTTCGGATCTCCGAGATTCCGCGGTCTTGCGTTTTAGAAAAGTCTAGTAAATTGGCCATGGTCTTGTAGTTTTGCAGATTCCAGATCGCAGCGTTCTTCTCCGTGACGAGGACAAAGTTGTCGTTCGCACCTAGTGAGACAAGTCGTGGTCGATCGGTCCAATTGCCGTCTTCGATCCTGCTCTGCAATGCTAAAAGTAATGAAGGTGGCAAATTCATCCAGCGGTATGTAGAGCCGTCGTGTGCGAAGAAAGATGAGTTGTACGATCCCAGGGAACACCGGATTTCGGGAATGTTGCGAACCAACCGTTTCTGAGAGTTGCGTGCATACAGAAATTCTCGCAGCTCCAGAGGGAGACTGTGGCTGTCGACATGGTCATCGCCGCTTTTGTCGCTCCACGTGATAAGGAAACTATCTTCAAAGCCCAACGCGACGTGGTAGACCCGATGCAGTTGTGCCGATGACAATAGAGTTGAGAGTTTGGTGGGCAGCCGCGCACTGCATTGGCATCAGTACTGAAAAACACGGATCTGAGAGTCCACCACGTACATCTCTCTTCGCGATGGGCATTGAAAAACATGGCTGCCACGTTGGCCAAACGCAAACGTTGAGTCGCACATGGCGGTCAAGCCTAAAGCGGCGGCTCGCTAAATGAAACGCTTGCTGTAGGAAAAGGAAGAAGAACAAGTGGAAGAGCGGAGAGCTCCTACATCCTCATGAAAGAAGAAGAAGATACGACGAGATTACAATCAAACGATCGCATTGTTGTTCATTTCCGCCAAGCCGATCGCTTGCAGGGTACAAACAAGAAAGCACACGAGTGTCAGAGATCACGGGGAATCCTGGGTCGGCGTTGTCAGAGAAACAAGAAGGGCGGCAACCAACTGATCGATCGCTACATCCAAAAGACTGTCTGCATAACAGAGTAAGTTTCGCAGTGCTTCGTAAAGGTTAGAAGCGTGTGGCTAACGCGGCAGCATCCGCAGATTGTGGTTGTCTCGTAAGCCGCAAGTGACGTCACTGCCAAATACACCACCCAATAACATCGAGGCATGAGTGCGACCAGTAGCACTTCGTTCTTCTCTTTCGGGACGAATGATAGCTTTATATCGAAAAGCTTCCAGGGGCTGAAGTAGTGAGTGTGGAATAGTGCCGTTCCTTACAGTAACTGATGACGATAGTCGCAACCTTCCCACGCCCTTACAAGACCTGCTTCGTGGCAGCACTGTTGCAGAGCTCCACTGGGCAACCCTGGGACCAGTAGCAGATTCATGGCTGCTTAGTTTCAAAGATGCGACAGGCACAAACACGCTGCGCTGGGGCTCAGCTGTACCTCAACGACTCCAGACAATCCTAGCCAAAACATGGCATTCACCTCATTTACGCGCATTTCTGGGTCCGGACGATTCCTTCATTATATGGCACCCTGAACTGCTTCGGTGGGCAAACCTTCCTACTAGCCTCGAGGATGCATTGCAGTCATGGCTTACGCCCTCGGGATGGCGCGTCGGTCCTCCCAGAATTGTGACGTGGGGGCCTGAAGGAGCTTTCTTCACCATGAGCGAGTATGGGAACGTCGTTTATCGACTTGGCGATGAAGATTCCTGGGAGATCTACAAAGAGACGATAGAAGAGTGGAAAGTAGAGAAAGGCTTCTTATGGACCCATCTGACATTCATCGCCCTCGACCCAACAAGCTCTGATCAGTTCATCGCAATACGAAAAGACGGGACATGGGCCGGATCGATTGACGATATCAACGAGGACGCACTAGAAAGCTTTGCGCTGAATTTCTTTGCTCGGGCGAAAACCAAACACAAAGCGAAGCCCAGTGCTAGTCAGCCGAATGGATTCTCATCAAACAATGCGCTTTCCAACTCCGCCGATGGAAAGCCAGATGCAGCAACCCAGGCCCTGTACGAGAAGTGGTCCAAGGAGACAGCAACTATGTTTGCAGCAGCATCTGTCGCCATTGGAGGTTCTAAACCAAAGACACCGCGAAAGATTCAGGTCCGTTCGAACTCGACTTCTAGCCAGTCGTCCAATTCAAGCTCGCGACCGGGATTACATTCGACCTTGTCATCGCACGGAAAGCTTCTCAGTACATTTCCCTACATCCCCAACGCTTTGACAGTCTGTGCATTGCCATCGTGCACCGTCCTAAAGTCGGATTCGGATAGCATACAGGCTTGCCAGCATGACATAGAGAGACTGCTTCGCGCAAGTGGATTATACAGCTATGAATGGCTACGACAGGAGAGGCTGAGATGGCATCCCGATCGATTTGGGAGACTATGTGATGAGCATTGGAGAGAGGCAGGCAAGAAGATGGCAGGGGAGATGTTCAAGTTGATTCATGTGCTCATGGAGGACATCAAGGGGGCGGAGGGATCAACCGGGAACAGTCACAACGTTTAGATGCAGTGCAATGAAATCATCTCCAAATATTGCTCTACCAAAGATAACTAATTGGGCACCCCTGATACGTTGGTGACGTGCGAACTCGTTACAACCATCCGGCTGTCAACTTCTCAATCGCCTCGGCCTCGGACACCACATCCGCCATCTTCGCGTTCATATCAAAGATATTAGCATCGTGCACCGCAGGCGATCGATCACCGCAGGCCTCGCTAACGACCTTGACCCGTTAGTGACACGACTCATGAAGCCGCCAAGTAGCCTTACCATGGGCCTATATCCAAAACACATAGTGTCCAGCGTCGTAGCCCTCACACAACCACTCGTACTGACACCACAAATGACAAGTGTATCGATGCCCTTCAGCTGGAGCCGTGTGTTGAGATCGGTCGCGAAGAAGGCGCTCGGGTAGCGCTTGGGAATCACGAGCTCCCCCTCTCTGGGCTCCAATCCTGGTACCCAGCTTTCGAGTCCCGTCTCGTTGCCCTTCTGGAACACCTTCAGCAAAGGCGCCTTGCAAAAGAAGATACCCGCATCCGACATGTCGGGCTCTGTATATTCGACTCTTGTCCAAATCAATGGCACCTTTCCTTCGCGCGCGGCATCGACAAGTCTTCCGATCGAGGCGGGTGCAGCTGCGGACGCAGGATTCGAGCTGGTGTCCAATGGGCTGTCTTCACTCCAGTATGCGTTGCAGACATCGATGAGCAGCAGCGCTGGCCTCTTTCCCCATCCCATCTTCCCCGCGAACCCAGACTTCACATAGTTATCGTGGTCGCCGTGGTCTTTTGGAGCCATGGTGTCGTCCGGTAGGTTCTTGAGGTTAGTCGCGATCAAACACGAAACTGCATTCTAGGCGCCCGGTTTTATAGCCAACACCATGGCAGCTCTTCCTCAACACCACCCCCAACGTGCACAGCGTCGATGTGTACCAGATCGAGCCACGCGACTGTCGGAGCAATCGGACGCCTTTGGACATGGCCGTTGCGGCTACAAACTTCCGATAGTGCCGCCTGCTTTTCGGCGATCAATCCACCGACTGAAGTTACCCGAGGTCAGCCATACATTCGGGGCACAACAGCATGGCAGACTGTTTGTACCCTTTTTCCACGCGACATGCTCTGATCCCTCGTCCGACCGGAACCGCCAGAGGGGCCGTCTTTCTGGTGTAAGTCTTTGGCGCGTCCATCGCTCCTTTAATTCACACTTAAAGCCTGCTCTTGGCGTCTGTTCGGACTTCCCCACAATGCATCAGCCCGCGGATACCGACCGCGAGGAGGCCCCTAGGTCACCCAAACCTGCGAATTCAATCTTCACCATGGAAGCAAGAGAAGGGAGAATCGGAAACGCGTTTGCTTGCGAAAGGTGCAGAAAGCACAAAGTGCGCTGCGTCCCCTCTGACACAGCTGGCCTTTGCCAAAGGTAAGTTTCTCGGGAATGTGGAGGCTCCACTCGGGATAACACGTGCAAAGATGCCAGAAAGCAAGAGTCGAATGCATCGAACATGTTGCGCGCAGAAGACCAGCAAAAACAAGAGGCGATGTCCAACCACCTACTAGGCTGCGCGACTTCGACAAAAAGCTGGACAAACTGTCTACAGTTATGGCAACGATGGCGCCGGCTCCCGCGCACTCTACACTGCCTTCGGTGACTACCGTACCCTCGCATATTATTGATGCACCTCTACGAACTTCTCCGCCGGCACTTGTTACGCCCGTATCAGCACCCCCGGTCCACACGCCAATCCTACCTGCGCCTGCGCCTGCTTCTGGGACTGAGAACTCACTACCATTTTGGGACTCTATCAGTGAGACGCTGGCTTGTTTGGGTCGATTAGATCCTGTCATTCGCACTATCAGCCTCGGGCACATGCAGATGATGCTTGACACCTACCAACGCATGGTGGACTTCTTCCCATTCGTGACTTTGCCAAAGGATTGCTCCTGCCAAGAGCTGGTGCTTCATCGGCCCGTCCTGATGTTGGCTGTTCTCACCGCGGCGTCTTACGAATCCTCATCGCTTCAGCTGACACTAAGCCGAGAGTTTCGCAAAGTTGCCATGGTCAAGATATTGAACGGAGAAAAAAGCTTGGATCTACTTCAAGGACTACTCATATTCATCGCATGGCATCATCACTACATGGACGCTCAGGCCGTCTCAGTGCCCATGCTGTTACATATGTGCGTCGGCATTGCAAGCGATCTCGGCTTGGACAGGATATCTACCTCAGTACGAAGTCCGCTTCACCGGGAAGATCCGAGCAATAGAGAGGCGAAGCGTGCTTACCTGGGCTGCTATTATCTGGCCTCTAACATAGGTCTGATCGAGTCGGGCAAAAGCCGCTGCATGTCATACTCAGCCACTCTTCGAAACTATGCTTCCGATCTAGCATCTTCCTGGGAACAAAAGACTGATTCTGTCCTGCCGATCTTTGTCGACGTCTGCCAGTTCATGGAGGACGTAGAAGAGACTTTCCAGGGGCGCTGTGAACAAGCGCTAGTTGCGCGCTCACAAGTCAAGCGTCTAAGTGACAAGTGGGATCACATTCGGTCAGCTTCGAAGTTGCAAGCGAATGATTACAGTATGGGGTCTCGTCCTAAATCCTTCACGCATTGCTAACGAACATAGAAACGCTACAATGGATCCAGCTGGCTGCGCGGATACACCTTTACAAGATAGCTGCGGCAGTCGACCTTCTTGATCGAGAAAGCGCACCATGGGCATCGGGCTTCCAACTCTCCTTACGTGTGACCTGCCTCCGCTCAATAGAGCAGTTTCTCGACAACAGCATCCAGCTTTCAACCGCGCAGTATGAATTCATCTCGCTGGTAGACTGGCTTAACCTTGTATCTGGCATCATCAGTCTGGGTAAGTTGGGGCTGCACTCTTCGCCTCTACCTGGCTGGGATCCGGTCGAACTACAGATCACTCGAACGTTTGAGTACTTCCGCGATCATCTTTCATCGCAGATGCCACGTCAACGCGAGAACCAGGACAACAACGAGAATGCGTTCGAACGGTTTCGGCGTGTCACATCCGTAAATGACGGTCGCACTAAAATCTGCGCTGGGTGGTGGAAGTCCGAACGGTAGCACATTCGAACTCGCAACAGGATCCGGGCGGACGGTGTCGTTGTTGCAAGATCTGTCACTACCCAAGATCAAGAGTATGGGCAATGGAACAGAAAAGCTGCCCAGTCTGTGGAAGATTAATCCATCTCTGGATATGAACAGCAATGAGTTCCACTGGAAATTCCTAATGGGAACTGTCTGAAGCAGGCATTTCCTGTCAGCATGGGAATTGGAAACTCAAAGACTAGCTGGAACAGGGGGGCGGCAGCGAACACTCCCATTGGGCCAGCACCCAGCACGTCTGGATCGACTGCGCCCTCGAAGTCCATCCACAACCATCTCCGTCGGTATCGCGTCATGGACGAAGCGACTGGTGCAGGTGGACAATGCTCTGTCCCGGTGAGGAAGGTGCGTACAAATCCGGAACATGCAGCATAAGCATCTACATTCGTGCTAATCAAAGCAGAATATACAAGGTTAATTTGTACGAGATGCAAGTGCCGGGGTGTAGGACGCAGCTACACCGCGTGAGGCTTTCTAGAAGGCGCACTGCGACTTCGGCGCCACGCCTTCTGCAAGATCAATGACACTAGATAGCAACAGATAGAAGTGTGAAATTACATTCTATCTTCTATCAAAACAAGTGTCTGATCTGTCACATCCGTCTCTTCCTTTCTCTCTCGTCACTGCGCGCAAGCGTCCCCAACGCATTTTGTTGGACCTCCCTGCTTGTGTGCAACCAATTATACTAGCTCAAGCCACTGCCGCACAACCCTCGTCACACGACCTTTACCACATCTACACAGCCTCCCACACAGTTTTTCTAGCGATAAGATAAATACCGCATGCTAGGCAGCGTTTCAAAAGACCGTGCAGCAACTAGACCTTTGGAAAGCACTACGTACCTTACAAGAGCCACATTATCCCCACGCCGTCGCTAATGCATTTCAGCTCCCCGGCTCTGGAATACACCAAAGCAAGTCCTTGGGTCATACATTCAGACAATCATCGTGCACTATACATCTGTTCATCTCCAACATGGGCTGCTTCTCGAGCAAACCCGACGGCGCTGATCCTGGAGCTTCGGCAGCGAAGATGGCTTACGTTCCTACTCCAACTACTGTTGATGGAGGTGTGCATCACCATGGTGGTGGTCACCACGGTCATCATACTTATGCTGGTGATGGTGGAGGCGGAGGAGGTGACTGTGGAGGAGGTGGTGGAGGTTGATCTCATTCTACTCGGGCTTTACATTGGGCCATTATTGGCCCGAATTAGAGATCTCTCCAGTAACGACTCATCACGTGTATGCTACGTCAGGGATATCGTTCACTTTCGAGTACGCTACAGCACGGACCTCGCTCTCAATTGACACCCCTACTTATCACTTACAACCATTTCCTCACCCCTTCTCCTTTCCCCTACTATATGTCAAAGCCCCCTAAACTTGCCCTTGACATGCATGTCAACTCGCGCGCTACAGTCCTTGATGGACACCGACTACGGCCTTCCGGTTTCGATGCACCGGCCTTTCGTCACCCTTGACGAGCAGTATGATGAGCCATTGTCGTTCCGTCGCCGGCTGAAACAGGTTACCGAGTTGACTGCGGAGAACTCGAGTCCGTACACGCTACCGAAGAGGCGATGTCTCTCGCGCCTTGAGAAATTGCCGTCTGAAATCCGCCGGAAAATATACGAGTTATCTACACATTCGGCCAATCTACACCGACCACAAGTATAAGTGGGGATGGGGGCCAGAGGTGCACTTTCATGAACACGACAAGGCATTTGATTTTGTTTATTACAAGCCGTTCGATACCCGCGGGTTTGGGCTGATGGGCGTAAACCGTGAGACGCGACAAGAAATGGTGGGTTTGATGTTCCATGACAACATCACTGTTGTCTTCAGGTACCCCTTGAGCAACAGGGGGATTTTCTACCCTGGCTCAGGTACCATCAACGCTCGAGTGCCGCCACCGTCAGTTTGTCTCCTATGCACATGAGATACAATACTAATGTGTGTCAGTTGCGATATGGATTGCATGGCTCTCAACTCTTCAACTTTTGCCATGATTCGTCACATCCGCCTCGACTACTACTTATTTGGCGAACGGCGCCACATCCGCTTCCCTTGCCATTGTCCTAGTGATGCATATCCGTGGAATGAGATGGAGACGCCTGAAGAGATGACATTCAAGCTGGCAAGCTCACTTGACGATATCGCTCAGCACTGTACTCTCCTCATGTCTCTTGTCATTTCAGTGCCCATCTCTCCCTGCAAAGAACTTCCTGGTGTTTCTTCGGAGGCGCTTGATGCTGTCGTTAAGGTTCTTGCAAACATCAGTCTTCAACGCCAGTTTCTTGAAGTTGTAGCCGTTATGGACCTTGGAGCTATATTGAAGATCGTCGAGGAAGATGGGACACTGAATCTCCAGAAAAGTTTGTCCGTCGATACCTACGAAAACGTCAAGTTGGACCTACAACCATACGAACATACCGGGCGCGGCATCGTCATCTCGGAATGGGCGGCAGCGGTTTTCCAAGAATTTCTGCTCTATGAATACGGCCAGCCCACTCGATTCGTCAACAAGGACGAGTACGAGCACATGAGATTGAAATCGGCATGTTTGTGTCCTCGATGATGGTTAGCCATGCGGAACCAATCTGTCAAGACTATTAGACTGACTTACTTCAAGGCCTTCTCTGTCCATATTTATCAAGCGCTTATAGTGTGTTTCGGACGCTCACATTGATGATGGGCGGGTCGTCAAAATGGAACGTGGCTATTTAGTGAACGTGTCTTTTCAACAAACACAAATTCTTCTATACATCTTAGCGCAGCTCCCTGCTTTATCCACTGTATTGGCCTGTTAGCGTTGCTTATTGACACGTTATCGTGAGCCCTGTTAATATGTTCTCTATTACCTGCCTCGACCGATGCTATCCCCATCTCAAGTAAACAGATTTCAAGTGAATTCTACCCCGAAGCAATGAGCTCAAGATCACTCACTACAAACGTACTGCTCCATGTCAGCTCTCCAGATTCGAGACCCTCCCCGTTGAGATCTATGCAATGGTAACCTGTTCAGAACGGAACGCTAAACCGTTGATGGAAGTTATTCAGTTCAAACTTAAATCTGGCTCTCCGTCTGTTCATGGCGAAGCAATGGAAGCGTGGATACGAGCGGTCGTTGTCTAAAACTATGAATACGGCCACCCGGTCGTCTTTGTTCGGCAAGCTGAATAGGACCGCATGCGTAATAACCCTGATAGCATTTTTCTTCACTAGAAAGTTTCTTAGATGATACAGCACGTGCGCGCAGAGGACTACGGGGCGATGGAGGATTACAAGATATATAACTCGCGTTTAGGTATGCGGATGATCAGCTTATCTACAAACAAATCAGTTCCTACAGGTATCATTTAACAGTCTTCGTGCATTCCAAGCCTATTGTACACCTCCACGACTTTTGCGATAGCTGTTTGGGAGCAATCATTACAGAGATACACCTCGTTTCACCCAAAAGAAAAGGTATGCAGTAACATTGAATGCTCATTTGAAAGTCACGTCGCCAAGATTCCAGTTCTGAGTGTAAGAGGCCACCATAGTCTGTGATGGGACGCTCTTGGCCGGTGTGACTACGTCATTTTCAGGCACGTCAATGAAGCAGCTCACTATCAGTGAAATTCCCGACGAATGGTACTCCATGGTAGGATTGAGCAGACGTAATACGCCCGGGTAGTGTGTGACCAGACACCCGGGTCCTCCGAGACTAGACGGTTCGCCTCATCCGGAATCGTCGGAACTGGGTATGTCAGCATGAGACCCAATGATTTAATAGCTCCACATTTACAAACAGAAAGACCTTATTAACCAATACACACCCGCTGTCACCGCGTCAGTTTCCGTGAAGGTTTTGACGTGTCTGTTACATATCTCTCTCCCACCACACATCATCATCACCACCACACAAACCTTCCAGTAGCCTACCTTTAACAAACACCGAAATGCCTTTCGACCTCGCCAAAGAACATGAATCATACCATCTGATCCCCCAGTCCTCCGACCTGGCTCTCAACCCTCCGGAATCCTATTTCTTCATAACCGACTTCCTGATCATATCCTGCGGCATCCTTTACACATTCTGCTACCTCTTCTATACCATCCGCACCTACTCCGACCGCTACCTGGCTGGCACTGTCCAATTCCTCTCCGCGACAATGGCATACGAGATATACTACGCATACGTATGCACGACGACGAACTTCCAGCGCGCGTGTTTCTTCGTGTGGTTTTTATTCGATATCACGTTTGTTGCTGTAGCACTCAAATGCGCTTACAGTGATAGCGAGAGGATGAAAACGGTAGGCAAATTGAGTTGGCAGGTGCCGGCTTGGATGTCGTTTTTGTGGGTGTGTGGGCAGTATTGGCCTGATGAGAGGGAGCAGAAGACGGCGTTTTGGACGGGGTTGTATTTGGAGCTGCCGATTGGGTGGGGGCAGATTTATTACCTTTTGAAGAATGAGAATACGAAGGGGCAGAGTTTGGAGATTTGGTAAGCTATCTTCTCTCTGGGTAGGTGCGAGTTTGCTAACTCCTGACCAGGATGACGAGGTATCTTGGATGCATCACGGCTTTCTTGGTGTTCATCTGGAGGTATTTGAATGTCCCTGAGAACTGGTCGTATGTTGCGAGCTGGTGGTCTATTGGAGGCATGATTGTGACTTTGCTCCCGGAGACGGTTTATCCATTTTTCTACATTTGGGCACATCGCAAAGAGAGGGAGAACACAAAGGTCGAGTTAAGAGATCAGAAGTCATGAGGCTGAGAGATGATAAGAGACGGATGGAAGTAATGAGAGTAACACGAGACCTACTACAATCTTGGATGCCCAATGTCTAACCAATCAAACTTGGTGCGCTACCACTTCCGTTGACTTGATAGCTCACCATTGCAGCCAACCACAAGCGCCAGCACAGCGCCCCGAGACTACCGCTTTGTAGTGAAGCATAAGTGCTTCACATGTCCAACATATTTTGGGACGATGCGCGAATCCAAGACGGACTCCCGGAGTGAAAGCCCCTTGGCTAGCGACATCGCGACCGGAAATTCGGCACCAGCCACGAATTGTGGCGCATGGACCTGGAAAGAACGGCAGAAGATGAGACAAATGGCGCGCATTCACCTCACAGCATGATGAGAATGGATTTGGATGTATGAATCAATTGTAATCGAAAGGTCGCGACGATACAACGTTTATTGAATGGCAGATTGTCAGCAAAACAAGCTCATGCCGTGAAGAAGATCACTGCAAGACTAAGCCTATTGCAGAGACGATCTAGAGCGATGCAATCTGCCAGCCACGACACAGTACACTGATTGGTCCGTGTACTGCAAATGACGTGGATCATGCCACAGAAGCAGCCACACTGGTGCTTGAATCCTCGCACGCCCCACTGTCCCGTCGCATACCCAAAAGGCTAGTGACGCCTCGAAAACATCATTCCAATTAGCTGTGTTTATCCTCCTCCTCCTCCTTCTTCTTATTCCTTCACTTCACGGAACGGATAAGCAATGGCGCAACAAGGTCAAGCTGCGGATTACTACAGCGGCGGCGGAGGCGCTCCAATGCAGCAGCCTCAAGATGCATATTACCAGGGCCAGCCAAAATACCCCCAGGAACCACCCCAATACGGCCAGAATTATGCGCCGCCTCAAGGACAACCACCCCAGCAGAACAATGGATACCAGCAAGACGGCTACGGCACGGACTCGAAGACGTTTGAGCAGCAGTTCAAGCTCGATAAGCCCAAGTACAATGACTTGTGGGCAGGCGCACTCTTCATCGCTGTCTTCCTGGGCTACGTCGCTGTGAGCGCGATTTCGATTCGCGGATATTCGCGTTCAAACAGCGGCGGCATCTATGGCAATGCGAAACCAGTTCGCGCTCAACTCCAACACGGTGATCTTGTTTGCCTTTGTGCTGGGCATGGCGACGATCCTGAGTTATGCGTATATCTGGGCAGCCAGGGCGTTCACCAAGCAGTTCATCTGGATTACGGGAATCTTGAGTAAGTGCGCACACGATAAGCATGGCCTGGAGTGATTGTGTGGCTTTTGAAACCAGATGACTTTTCAAAGGCTTTGCGTATTACTCCAGGCCTGATTGAAACACACACTTCAATTGCCAAAAACATGACTAACTCGCGGAATTAGACATCATTTTCGGATTCGTCACAGCCCTTTACATGCTCTCGCGCAGGTACTGGTCCGGTGGCATCGTATTCTTGATCTTCAGCATCTTCTATGTGATCTGCTTTATATCGTGGATTCCCCGTATCCCCTTCAGCGTCCTCATGCTCCAGACCGCAATCGATGTATCAAAGAAGTACGGCCATACCTACATCGTCTCCCTGATCGGCGGCCTCCTCGCAGCTGCGCTAGGCGCTTGGTACTCAGTGACCTTGGTTTCCATCTACGTGCAATACACGCCGAACGGGAACAACTCGCAGTGCAATAATGGGGTCGGCAACTGTGGCAGTGGCAAGGTCATTGGCCTCCTGGTCTTCGTCACCTTTGCGATGTACTGGATAAGCGAATGGCTGAAGAACACAATCCACACGACCATTTCTGGCGTATACGGCTCATGGTACTTCAATCCGAACTCTATGCCCAAGGGAGCGACCCGCGGCGCATTCAAGCGTTCGGTCACCTACAGCTTCGGAAGTATCAGTCTAGGCAGCTTGATTGTCGCGATCATCCAGTTCTTGCGCCAGATCTGCTCAGCTGCCCAGCGCAATGCCGCGAGTGATGGAAACATTGTCGGCTCAATTCTGTTCTGCATCTTGGGCTGCCTCATTAGCTTGCTCAACTGGGCTGTCGAGTTCCTCAACCGATATGCGTTCAGCTACATTGCGCTGTACGGAAAGAGCTACGTCGCAGCTGCGAAGGACACTTGGAGGTACGTTTTCTGATCCAACAGCCTGAAGCTATACACAAGGTCTTGTTGTCGCTTTTGAAGTCTAGCAATACTGTGTGCAGCTTCAGGCTATCCTTTCCCACATTTCATAACGAGAAATCACTAACTGAGCATCTGCAGGATGATCAAAGATCGCGGTATCGACGCACTAGTCAACGAGTGCTTGATCGGACCAGTTCTGTCCATGGGCTCCACATTCATCGCCTACGCCTGTGCGCTTCTCGCGTACCTCTACCTTATCTTCACGTCGCCAGCCTACAACTCCGACGGAGCCTACACTCCTGTGGTGGTCGCTTTCTCGTTCCTGATCGGATTGCAAATTTGCAATATTTTCACGACCCCACTTTCCAGCGGTATCGACACAATTTTCGTCGCGATGGCGTGGGACCCCGAGGTCTTGATGAGGGAGCACTCGGACCTTTACCATCGGATGATCGCGGTCTACCCGCACGTCCAGCAGGCTATTCATGCTTGAGCGTGGAGATTATAAGAAGGTTATGTGTAATGTTCGACGGAATAATCGGGAAAGGTTTATGCGTGCTTGAAGTGTCAGAAGAGCCTGGATATATTCATGAGACTAAAATTAGCTGGCTAAATGAGAAAAGAGCTGTGTATTCGTTCCGGACCCGAGATGAAATGTGCGAAATTGATACCGGACATTCCACCAGGATTACCAGGACCCAGTGCAAAGAATCCACAATAATACTACAGTCGATGACGATCGAAGATGCCCCACGTTCGCGTGCTTCAGTTCTCGCGTTCACAACCCCACCAAAAAACGAGGAAATCCATGTCAGTGTCAAAGTCCGTCGGTCTTGGCACTAGCTAAGTGCGGGAACGGGAGAGATCCATAGTTTGAGCTATGACGTAGTCACGGGCTCGAAGATCGCATTCTATCGCGAAATCGCATTGTTGGGAATGCGGCGCGCTTTGGCGGAGATCCACGGCCGAGAATACAGTGAAAACACTGAGGCTGAGCAGTTGGGCCTCACGGCTGCGGCATTAATACTGCGCACAGTAAGGCGCTGCTTCGGACAGTCGAGATAGTGGGGTAATATCACCAAGTTACACTCCCAGCACTGCCACGTCCCACGCCCCAGACTTATTTGCTTTTGCACACCCTGTCCAGTGCCACCTCCAGCTGTTCGTGCCTGCCAGTTGCTCTAGCGTCCAATCGGGTGCTATACCAAAACGTCACCGCTCTAGCTGGGGTTTGTTTCGCCAACTCACCACCTGCACCCAACTTTGTTGACCTCTGCTCGCGTCCAACACCCACGACTCTGCTACTGCACCATTGACCCTTGCAGCACACCGCTCGAGTAAGAGAACCTTCCAGCCAGGTAAGTCTCACTCCATAAAGCACGCACCCACGTCGCTGCCCTCCCCGGCCCCTGCTCTTGCCTCTACAAATACCCCGCCACAGCTTCCCTCCCCTCCTCTTCCACCTGCTCCAAAACTTTCCTCTCACCTCAACCACTTTACACTCTACCTCCGTACCAGGTGGTAATCCATTGACACTCAATTCCTAGTTCTACTTCACCTCCCCTACAACACACAACCATGCCTTACGACAAGAAGGTAAGTACTCCACCACCTCTTTGATGCCCACCCACTAACAGTGTCTCCAGGCTGTTCACTTCGGCGGTGGCAACATCGGCCGTGGCTTCGTTGCCGAGTTCCTTCACAACTCTGGCTACGAGGTCGTGTTCGTCGATGTCATGGACAGCATCATTGAGGCTCTCCAGAAGCAGTCGTCGTACACCGTCACCGAGATTGGCGACGATGGCGAGCGCGAGTTCACCATCGACCACTACCGCGCGCTCAACTCCAAGCACGAGATGGACAAGGTCGTCCAGGAGATCGCTTCCGCCGATGTCGTCACCTGCGCTGTCGGCCCCAACATCCTCAAGTTCGTCGCCGAGCCCGTCGCCAAGGCCATTGACGCCCGCACACTCGACTACCCCATCGCCGTCATTGCTTGCGAGAACGCCATCAACGCCACAACCACATGGAGGGGCTTCATCGAGGGCAAGCTGAGCGAGGACTCCAAGAGCAACCTCGACAAGAAGGCCCGTTTCGCCAACTCGGCTATTGACCGTATTGTGCCCGTTCAGGATAAGGATGCCGGCCTCAACGTCAAGATCGAGAAGTTCTACGAGTGGTGCGTTGAGCAGAAGCCATTCGAGAACGGTGGCAAGAAGCCTGATGTCAAGGGCATCCACTACGTCGATGACCTCGAGCCCTACATTGAGCGCAAGCTGTTCACCGTCAACACCTCGCACGCCACCGCTGCCTACTATGGCCACCAGGCGAAGAAGCAGTACATCCACGAGGTCCTCCAGGACAAGAAGCTCCACGACATTGTCCGTGACGCTGTCAAGGAGACTGCTCACCTCATCGTCAGCAAGCACGGTGTCTCCGTCCAGGAGCAGAACGACTATGTCGACTCCATCATCAAGCGTATCTCTAACCCTGTCCTGAAGGACAACGTCGAGCGCGTCGGACGTGCGCCCCTCCGCAAGCTTTCCCGCAAGGAGCGTTTTGTCGGCCCAGCTGCTCAGCTCGCTGAGCGCGGCGAGAAGGTTGATGCTCTCCTAGGTGCCATTGAGCAGGCATACCTCTTCCAGAACGTTGAGGGTGACGAGGAGTCTGCTGAGTTGGCCAAGATCCTCAAGGAGAACTCCGCCGAGGAGGTTGTCACCAAGGTCAACGGTCTTGACAAGTCACACCCGCTCTTCGAGAAGATCCTCCCGATCGTCAAGAAGGTTCAGGGTGGCAGCTGAATATCTGCCGAGAAGCTCTGAGTTAGTATTCTGTGGATAAGCGCGGAGGAATGCATGTGGTAGATCAAAAGCGACTAGCACATAGACGTCTTCTACGATTCACGACACTGAACGGCGTTCGGTGTCATACATAACGAAATGAGACATGAGTGATGATACCAAACCTCTTTCCCTATCTGCCGTGTGCCTTTCCATCCGTGATTCTCGCGTTCTTGTCACTTCATCCATCGTTGCGACAGCGTCGCACCTTCGTCATGATCGTTCCAGTCCATCTACTCTCTCCGCTGTCTGTATTCACTATCTATCGACATCCAGGCAATCGCACTGCAGACCATCAGGGCCTCTCCCTACCACATGCCGCCCCTATTCCAAAACGTCAAACGTGAAATCCATGTTCTGCCTCCGCAAAGACTCTAGTCTTTACTTGTGATATAAAGGCTCCACTCGTTGCTCTCCTCAAGTACGTCAGCTCTTCATTTTCACATTTCCCAAAAGTCTCCCAGAGGAGTTGGTATGGGTGTGAGAAGTTTTGTGGTTCAAAAATTAGATGTGCACCTGCAGCATGTCTTTTGCGTGAGAGGAGAAAGACGATGAAAATGATAGCTGGAAGGACCTGATGGGTTGTGAAAAGAGAAAGTTTATGATATCGTATGGGTTCGGTTCTGTACGCTTTGAGAGTGCGGATGGAGAGTGTGTCTTTTTCGAAAACCGAAGACCAGAGAGAGAGAGAGATGTGTGGACCAAGTTTGTGCAAGAGATGGGCTCATGGGATTGAGCGCTCGTCGAGCAAAAAGAGAGTGAGCAAAGCAGTCATGGTGCTTGTCGGCTGGGAGATGGTGAGTATCTAAACCTCGCCACGCTGTGGCTTTGGCTCTTCTTCATCGATTGTTTATGTTCTTCGGAAAACAAAATCGGGTACGAGTGCTTTTGATGTCTTGGAGCGGGAAAAGACGACGAGGAGTCTTGATGATTGGAAGAAAGAGCGAAGACGTTGCATGTGTGGTGAGGAAGTCACTCAGAAACAACCGTCGTGACGATTCTTGACATTGAGAGTCTTTGGCAAATCCTATATGGTACAAAAAGATTGGACGCGGAATTTGATGGGGTTTAAAAGGATCAAAGTGCACTCGAATGTTAAAAAGCAGCTGGAGCTCTGGCATATCTCTGTTCTGCAGAAGTGGTTATAAATAACCCTACTCGCCTACAACGCCTCTTCTCCTCACAGCCTTTCTGCCTCGCTTCGAGGATTTCTAAAAGATGGATTCCCATTTCCATGTTCTCCTGCGTTCCTGAACTCTAAACAAAGACAGCAGAACTAAAAGCATATGTTGAACGGCCGCGGAGTTCAAAGCGTCTTCTTGTGTAGTTACATGTGTTTCTGCACGACAACACGAACGGGAAGGAAGTCGGCTATGGTGCGCTTGCTAGCTGGTTGGGCTATAAAAGCTGACGTCAAGAGACTGATGCAACGACGGGGTTTTGTTCTGGTGACGGTGTGGAAACAGCATATATCACCACTCAAGGAGAGCAAGACTGACGATCTCAAGATTTTAGGCTGTGAAGCGCACGGCTCGAAGTAGAGAGCACATACACTAAAAAATGAGTGGGCATTTACTTCTTCTTGAGCCTGAGTATATAGATTCAGTGTCGACAAGTGTTCTCTGCTCTACATCCCCTCTTCTTGAACTCCTGCTCAAAAGTTCATCAACTCCCAGATCATGTTTGTTCTCTGCCCCCACTGAGCAAAGGCAATATTACGTTCAGCTAATATCTAAAGTGAGATAGGCTCTGGAGATGAATGAAAGCAAGGGGCCATAGTTCGTTTTCATGTATAGCTCCTTTTCATCATCCTCGGAGTACAGACACCTCCGGCGCACATGTTTGGCCTGACCTTCCTCGCAACTACTGCACTGGATGGTAAAACAAAATGCCAAGAGCCACACCGATGTTTTTATTCGGTCTCGAACTTTGACATAAACGTGCCATTTTTTTTATGCGAACGGCGAAAGTAGAGAGGCTCATTGTCAGGTGTTCTTCACCAAGAAGCTAAACGAATTGTGTACACAGAAGGCTTTGAGCAGATCTGTTACGTTCAACATTCAAGCGGTTCATCTCTGTCTGCTCAAGCAGAGCTCCAAAAACAATGGGTAGACGAGCGATGTTCAAAACCTTGTCCAACGAGAAACATGAGTCTGCGAGACTATCCTCGGAGCCTATCACATCCTGGTCTAATGAGTCGTTTGACTCAAACAGCAAACGAAGTCTACGATAATCACAAGCCTCTTCAAGACTATACACTTCGCATAGTTATGTCTCGAAAAACGCCATGACCGGACTACGATGAATTCGCCGATTGTGGACACAACGTAACTTTTCAACAACCAGATTTCTTTAGTGTTCACTATGTCAGATGGGATCAAGTGACACACAAGAAATTCGCGCCTACACTTTCAAAATAGCTAAAAAGGATCAAGCGAATCGATCATGGTGCGCGGTTCGGAGACGTGTATTTCAGATAGCTCTGTGTGAGCACTTCACACGCTCTCGAAAGACCGAACATTCTTGTTTATGCGGAAAGCTCGAGTATGTAAACCCCATCGCCTCCCCAGCTTCCATGTTCCCTTCACCATCCCCAGATTCACGCGCCGTTGTCCAAAACAAAGTGGTCTTCCTCGAATGTCTTCTATTTTTCCTCATGTTGAGGCTACAAAGAATCCCAGCTCGCCTGAGTGTCTCTCTACTCTTCTCCGACGCTTCAAAAACCATATCTATACCATATCACGAGCGCAACCAAATTCTGTCCCAAACAACATCACAGTCCAAGAATGTATCCTACGTCTCCAAAATTCGCATCAATATGCCCCATGTCCTGTCTTCTCCCCTGCCAACATACATATAAAAGATCGCACCAAGCCCAGGCTTTCTTCTCCGACACACCACAAGAACTTCTCACAACAAAAAACTTCGTGGGGCCTTGTGATATCTATTCTTTCCTGGAATCTCCTAAAATACAGAGAAGATAAGCACGATGTTTTCTTCCCCGCCTTCGAGCAACTCACTACGCAGACTCTGAATCAAATCCCTCTCATGACACATATATGTCTCTTGTCTTGTCTGCTGCGTGCAAAAAAGATCTTTCCAACACCGCATGGAATCTGGATGCTCTTCAACCTTGCAATACCAAAAAAGCTTGCGTGAGAAGGACTCGAGGATTTGCCATAAACACATGATGTTTCCCTTCGGCACAAATACCGAAAAGCAAATGGCTCCAAGGTGATGTGTTTCTCCGGATGTTGTAAACTTTAAAGAAAGGGTGGCACCCATATATGCCGCGGAAAGGGTCGATGGATCGATGATATGGGGCTTTTTTTTGCTGCAAGCATGACACGTAGTAGTACACTCGACGAGTCGGGGTCGTCTGATAGTAGATCATACATGTTGCGGCATCGGGGTTCCAGCTGGCAGAAGTGCTTGGAATGAATATGTTAGAGATAACAGCGGTATTGCGAAGTACATGCATGTCGCTGAATTGGTGTTAGGAGAGAGGCAGATAGGTAGAATCGAGAGGACTGGTACAGCCCTCCATGCCCATTTCGCTCATTCACGGGACGGACGACCAAGACTGATTGATGATAATTTTGCCCTTCATTCGTGCATATCTATCAAGTAGCATAACAAGACCTCGTGGCTGTATCCGCTGCACATGGCAAAGACTAGAGAGCCTCACGACCATGTGCGGAAGCAACCTGTTTCCCATGTAACGCCAATATGCATATATCGTCCGATCCTCAACGTGCCACCAACTAAGCCTTCTTGGCAAACTCGACGCGCAGGATAAGATGTCCGAAACCGACTGTAATGTTGTTAGCGACAACTCCCAACACCTCAGAAATGTGCAGCACTTACATCCATCCATCTTTTCGCACGCCTTGGCAGCATCCGTCCGGTCAGCATAACTGACAAACGCGAATCCCTTCGCCCTGCCCGTCTCCCTGTCCTTGGCCAAGAAGACCCTCGTGACATGTCCGTATCTGCTGAACATATCCCTGAGATCCTGCTCTTCCGCGAATTCGCTGACGTTGGTAACGCGCAGCGTAGCGCTGTCGTCGCGATCGAATTTGCCGCCCATCTTCTCTCCCGCACCGGCACGGCCACGTAGATGCGGTGGAACGTAGCCACCACCGCCGGCGCCCAGACCGCCGCTCGCGGATCCGGGTGCGTCGTCTGGCATGTCTGCGGGCGCGACGTCGCCCTCGGGGGCCATGGTGTCCTTGAAGGGACACTTTGTGGTGAAATGGTCGCCCTGGCAAATACGACACTTGATCTTTGCGTTCTTGAGCTCGGCCTTCTTCTTCGCCTCGTCGCCCTTGTCTTCATTGCTTGCTTTCCATGCTGCGACGGGTCGGAATAGGATGTTCTCGGCTACGGAGACTGTGTCTGTTTGAGGGCCGGCGGGCTTGCCCTTTTCTTGTCCGAATTTCGCCCATTGTTTGCGCTCGGCGACACGGGGGTTTACGGTGGTCTTGATGACAGTCTTCTTGATGCGGCGGGTGGTCTTGTAGCGGCGGCCGTCCTCGCCGACACGGTAGGTGGTAATTGTCTCTGATCCGTCCTTGTTCTTGACAACGGTTTGGGAGGGGAGGGCGAGCTCCGTCTCGTCGTCCTCTTCGGCCCAGTCGGTGCGGCTAGTGGCGTGTCAGCATGTCATAGGTACTGCGGAAAAGGCGCAATGTCTTACCCTGCTGGTCGTGACATTTTGGCGGTGTCGATATGTGTCGGCGTGGAGGAGTGGTGGCCGTAGTCCGGGTGCTGCACCGTAAATTCGTGGAGATAATATGGATGAGGAAGTGGCGGCTGGTGGGGCATTTCTGAGCTTGTGCGCACGCTAGAGTCGGCGCTAGTATTTGCCCTTCGACTCACTCGAACACCATTTTTGGCTGCACATCTTTTGATGTCAGCGATTCGCTGCTGTGCATTGTTGGAGTCATGATTCCGACTCTTAGCATAGTCTGATCGGTCTAAAGTGTCGCGGCCAAACAACCGTCTTGACTCAGTGTACTGGAATAGGCTCCGCTGGAACAGCAACGACACCAACCAACAGGCATTGTGGCGTACCACCACGACAATCACATTCATTCAAACCAACGTGCTTTAATGAAGAGAAGGGATTTTTTTTTCGTTAATGGTTTAAAAAGGATAGGCCAGCACAAAGAGTTCGAAATTCACGTCCAGCGTGAATGTACCACCTCAGTCCTCGCTCCCCAACTTCCACGCCACGCCTCTTCCTCCGACAGGCCCGCGGCCAGGCAGCTGAGAAACAGGCACCGGCTTTGGCTGCTGTATGACATCACTGGCTGTCCGCTGGAGTATAGGCGGCTGTGGTGTCGTCCGGTCAAAGTTGAAAGAGGTATCACTGTTACCACGAATAAAGTGCCTAGTCTGAATGTGGTGATGCGAATGTGGCGAATGATAATCGTTGATGTAGCTAGCTTGGATGAGTCTAAAGCATCGTGTTAGAAGACTGCTCCAAGTCCTGGGAGATCACGTCTGCACTCACTCTTGTTGAGGTGCAACACTGCTTCTTCGACTGTTCGCCACGCTTCCCGCCACGCTGCCGCAGCTTATAGTGCTCGCTCCTGATCCGGAGGGCATGCCATATGTTGCTGCATGTTGTGCTTGGGCTGTCGCTGGTAGCCATCCACTACTGCTGATGCCCTCCGCATCCAGCATTCGGTTGAGAATGTCTTCAGTAATGACGAGTAGGTGTTCTATAGCAGCTAGGCGCGAGTCCTCTTTCGCTGAGCAGCAGTGTATGTATGATCTACTGGTCGGATTGTGCTCGACGATGGCGGCTCCGATTTTTCGCGAAGAAGTCGGTGCGAAGCTTATCACGTCGAGGAGACGACTCGCGCCGTAGATCGCGCGGGCGTTCGCTGCTGTACAGTCAGTTGACTTGCAAAACCTTCGGAACAGAAGGGCCTACACAGAACGCGGGCGCGTGTACTTTCCAAGGAGTCTTCGCTGTCCTTGTCCTCCATACGATGCAATATCTGGTTTGCTGTCCGTTCCAGTGTCAGACCTTCGTAGCTGTTGCTCTTTCCGTGTTTCATGTCCTTCAAGCTTTCGATCATGGTCGACTGCGGGTGCTGAGTGTATGCGGCTCAGAAACGACGAGTGTCTGCTTGAGTTGGAAGAGATGACGGGATATATGTTGTTGTGGTAGAAAGACGAGACTCTGCTCGACGCGGAAGAGTTTGCAGAGCTACCTGAGTTTATGCTACTGCTACCCGTGTCGGCGCGCTTGAACGAACCAATGCGGCTGATACTCGGTGAGGGGGTTGATGACCTTGATCCGTCAAGTTCTCGACCGACTCGGCGCTGTTCTTCTCGTCTGCGTTCGAATTGCTGTTCAGTCCTTTGTCTTTTCAATGTCAATCTCTCGCGCTCACTAGCAGCAACCTTCTCTGCCAAGCTGATTTGCTTCGATGCCTGCTTCTTGTGATAGAGTCCGCTGGGATGGCCTTCACACCAAGGACCTGGCGGGACACCTTGTTCGACGAGCTCTGCAAAAGTCGGCGATCGGGGTGGCGGAGTGGAGGAGAAAACCCTTTGGCGAAAATAAGAGTTCACTTGTCCAGGTCTCGCAGACCTGGGCGAATCCAGTATTTCGGGTGGCGCACCGTCGTGGGCCGAGATCCCAGACTCGTGGTATACTCTGCGTGATGATCCTTTGAGTCCACAAACTCCAACGTAGGGCGACGTTGTTGCGACCTTTTATCCACTTGTCACGCGAGCAGTTCTGGCAGAGTCAGTGGCCTGCGCCAGTATCTCGCTTGCTTATACATGCCGGAGGAGAGTGAGCGAGCGTAAAGGATGGTGATGAGGTGTGAGACTTTGCTGGCGGTGTAGGTAATATTAGTATAGGATGGTGTTTGGTAGCCAATATGGCTGCGATCGGGAGGAATAGAGACACGAAGGACGAGGTGGTAGCTTGAATGACGTAGCAGTCTGGGTTTGAGATACCTGTATCGTTTTGTGGAGCGCGACTGCCACTGCGTGAAGGAAGTCGCGGTCGCAACATTTTCAAAACGGGAGGGTGCTGCAGATAAGCTTCGCTGCTCCCGTGCCGTCACCAGTTATGCGTTGGGGTCAATGAGGTTTGCAAAGATTTGAGCATGTTTGACTGCGGTGGTGCTCTATGTATGCAACGCTGGGTCTAGAATGCGTCTAGTCTAATCCCGAAGATGTACATGCAAAGTATCAAGGAGAGACAAGCTTCAAGTTGCGACTTGAACAAGTGTAGGTGTGTACTCAAGGCGTACACAGTGCAAAGCAAAGAGGAAGGAGTGAAGAGAAGCACTCCGTGGGTGGCTTCTACACCATACCCCACAGTGGTCTGGGTATGGGCTTGCATATCGTCCCCACGCTCCCGCTCCTCATCTTCACATCCTTCAGCCCAATATACGCCTCTCGGCGCGCCGGGTTTCCCACAGTCACCGACCAGGTGCTGAGCCCATAATACACGCCTATGTGGTGTACAAGCCAGCGACCAAAGCTGCCTCCCAGATCCCCCTCAGGTGTCTCGAAAAGCATGAGCTCACGCTTGATGCGGTCTTCGTTGCGCGTCTGTTCGCGGGTCTGACCATTCCTTCCAACGAAGACGATCTCGTCGTCCTCGCTGTCCGGGTCGGCGGGGAGGCCATCCTGCTCGGCGCGGCGCTCCTTCTCCTCCCAGTCCTCGACGAACTTCCTGACTTCGCCCTCGAGGTCCATGAGAAGGCCCTTGGCACCGCGCGAGCGCTTGAGCTTCTCGCGCAGCTCCTTTGGCACGACACCCGGAGTGGTGGGGTTGGTGACAACAGTCTTGGTCGCAGCCTTCTGTGCGTTCGCGGCGGCCTTGCGGTCATTCTGCTGGCGCCTGAGGCCGGCATCCCAGAGCGGAGCGACGTAGTAGGGCACGTGTTTGACGCGGTGAGTGGGATGGACCTCCCAGTCGCGAGGGGTAGGCGGCTCAGCGTGAGGGTTGTTGAGGAGACGGTCTATCCTCAAATGTCAGTTCGCCGGTTTGAAGGCAGATGTGAGTGGCGTGAAGGCGTTTCATGCGCAGTGAAGCATAGAAGGCCTAGGGAGAACGTAGACGCGACGTACCATTCTCCCAACGCCTACGCTGGCGGCTACCCTCCTTGCCCTTGAGCAAGGCTTCGCGCCTATTCATGCTGTCTCGCCTCAGAGGCGCCTTCCTCTTGTAGAGGCCACCTTCCTTCGCAGCAGCGGCGGCGCCGACGGGCTGAACGGGGCCACCTGTCGCGAGCGCATCGTCATCCAGGGGAATCGCAAGCGTGACAGTAGTCGCGCCAACAACTTCTCCAGGCGCAGAGATGGCTACAGAGCCCAAAGCGGCTGTCGCCTGCTCGGTCCATGCCTCAATATCAATAGGCTGCGGCGCGGCAGCCTGTTGAGGGATCTCATCGATGACGGCCATTGTGGTGGCGTTGTGCTCGGCACAGCGATCACAAACGATGAGGGGATCGGAAGGGGGAAAGAAGAGAAGCGATGGAGAACTGGATCTGCGCTGCAGACACCAAAGACTCCTTGATGTTGAAGAAGGAAAGGAAGACGGAGATGCTGGGATGAGCAGTGAGGGGGAGATGTGATAAGTCCCGCGATGCGATACGGACCCTGCCGGCTCTGTGACCAATCGGAGGGGAACGTGGGGCGCGCCACTGGATCATGAAGTCAGGACTCAGACATCAGGAGTCACCCTGAGATGACTGTGCTGCGGATGCCTTGGGAGAAGGCCATCATGTGCAGCAAATTGTGTGTCTTCAGCTACATCGTGGTCTTCTTCTGGGTCCTCTGACGTTTACCGGCCGAGTGTCACATGCCACTGACCTCCAGAACGAGCTTGCAGCAAGTTTCGCTATGTACACCATAATCCTCTACTTGCAAGTAGCATGCCTAAGTTAGCTCATGCAGGGTAGCCTCTTAGTAGCCACGTGGTGCATCGTTTGAGAAGTACAGCTCGAGAATGCGCGCCCACATCTGTCTCTATACTCCAAGACTGCATATCAAAGCACTCCAAAGGCAAATAATACCTGTAATTCCCTCAGCAGAGAGCTTGCCAACGGCTCTACCAGCCAAGAACCCTTGAATTCACGTTTTGACTCACTTCCACACTCATGTCACGAGTTACAAGTGCATTACGCCCTGCTGTGGAGTACAGTCAATGCCTATTCTATCCCGCAGTGAGCTCCGGTCATCTCCCCACCTACACACATTTGGTATCCAACACTCTAGTCCCCGGTATAGTCCGTAAGCCCCGTGTTTCTATGGCGTTCGTCAACACATCGTTGCTCGTCGAGGTAATATCTTACACTCCATATTTCAGTGGTGCATATTTTGGCGTGAGAGGTGGACACGTGCTGGCAACGCTGAAGTCGAGCTATGAATTCTTAATTAGAGTAGTAGACTCTGATTCTGGGATTCCAATCTCCAGATTCTGTTCGCGTGTCTTCAGAGAATATGGACATGCGCGCGTTCAGTTGTGGATTGCCGATACATCATTTGCATACCTAGGTAGTATTATCGATTGCAATCTTTGGGCCAAAGTTGAGCTAGACGCTCAGTTCGCACCGGTTTTATTCAGCTTGAAGCCGTCTCTACCATCGTTCTTAATCCCTACTCAGGAAGGAAAAAACGGCGTTGAATACTCGTTGGGTCCGATCTAGATCCTGTTCGGTAATTGCAGAGGTTGTTCTAGATCGAGATCAGGGTGGTCTTGTCGCAGTGTGTTTGCCAGATTGGTGTTTACGAGGAAACGGTAAACAGTGGAAAGGGTGCTTGACGGAGAGCTCGCAAGGAGGTTAGCAGAAAGCATCAGAAAAGAGAGATGGATGATTGTATAGTGGGAGGGAGATTTTATAGCGATATCGAATGGTTTTCTTGAGATGTACTATCGGCTTCTGACGACATTTTCAAATGACAGCTGGAGGCTTGTTTTGTTCTCTAGAGTTGTTCTCGAGAGTTGCAGAAATGAGTACTTTGCCTTGTAGTGACATTCGAAGCAATGCAAGTGGTTTGGAACAATGCATTTGGTTCGGTGTTAATCTTGTTCAGTTGGGCGTGTTTAAAAGCTTTCCAAAATTAGGACCAGATGTTGTCTGTAGGTTGAACAATGTTGACCGTAGTCTTTGGAAGCGCTTTAGCACTGCCACCTCTACTCCTTCACAGCGAAGCGATTGTAAGGCACCTTTCGGCACAAGCAGTGTCGTCTTTCCGGTGTTGCATGCCAGCAGCCAGGTACGCCACAAAGACTGCCTCGCTCACCACAAGAAGGCAAGAATTCGTCGCAGATCACCCACTGCTCGCACAATGAGCATTCATAAGTTGTGCAAACCTGATGGGGATGCATGCATGCGGCTAAAATGGTGATGGATGTTCCTCGGTCTGTGTTAAAAACAGCCTCGCAGTCGACCCTGGAAGGCGGCACTGCGGGCACCGAACTCGTTCACGCTAGCAACAACATCTTTCCTTCTTCACACTGCGAGGCTGAATCTTGTCTGTCACCGCGGCAATGATCCACTTTTTAAATTTTGATTTCAAAACTTCATTCGAGGACGACGCGCGAGCGTAGTACAAGCAGCGCAAAGATTGCCGCCCCCGTCCCAAAGTATTCGGCGCGACCCGCTGCACAGTTGAGCCGGGCGGCTAAGCCACCATCTCATTGCACGACAGGATGAAACGCTAACTCTTGCCATTCCTACGGGTCTAGCGTTACTTCTGAACGGGTTAAACGATGTACTCTCAACCGCGCCGCAATGTATTCTCGGGGGTCGAAAGTGTGGACACTCCACGGGGGCACTTTTGTAGTGCTAATAAGTACATCGCAGGCGTTCGCTATGGTTCGCCATCAGCATTCGGTCGCGTTTAGTCTTTTTTCTTTGGTTCGCCGTTAGATTTCATATTCGCAAGGCATTGAGTCGACAATGGCTCATGCCTATAGTCCGGTGTCGCCTGTCGAGATGCAGCCGCCTCCAACAGTAAATCTCAATACTACCAGGACGCAAACATTTCACGCATCTAATGCCAGTACGTCATCCGAAGATGTGGTTTGGTTCAAGAATTGACACAATTAGGTCGATCTGGCACTTTCCAGAAAGGAGGCTGGCTTCCGTTTACTCTGCGATGGTACTATCTCGTGGTACCCACCGTTCTCAGTCTTTGCTTTGGCAGCGTCCTTGTCTACCTCAGCATACATTCGAAGCAGAACCACGGACTCGGGGATGACAATGGATCCTCCGCTATTCTATTTGGATGGCGCTTTACGCCAACCCTCATAGCTGTTCTCTACGCGCAGATGACAGTCATTTTGTTCGAAGATGTGAAGAGAACAGAACCCTTCACGCGACTCGCAAAAGCCCCAGCCGGAGGTACTAGTGCATATGGCACTCTGCTTCAGACACCAAGAGCTTGGTGGTCAATTTTCATCGATGTCTGTTTCAGGCGCAAGAAGCTAGGACACACCAGTTGGAGCCTGATTTGTGCAGCACTCATCAACGTCATTGCTTTAATGCTTATCTCGCCGTTGTCATCTGCATTACTTACTTCTGAGGAGATATCCGTACCAAAGACGGTAGATTTTTCAAGGATCATCTCGAAAGCGGATACCCAGGTCCCCATGCTTCCAACAAGGGAGACGTACTACCGAACTATCAATGCCTTGTTGAGGAATGTTTCGACGTCAGCATGGGTCACTGACACCTCACTTACATTTCCTTTTTGGCCAACATCTGAATCGGCCCAATTCGGTCCAAATCTGGAGTCGTCTTTTGGCACTTGGAACACAGAAACCATCACGTTGAAGTCCACTTATGAGTGTGAAGAGATGAAGTTGGAAAGTGCGGATATGGCTCCCCAGAACTTTTCTGGTGTTTACACCACCCAGCGTTATGGTCCATTCAACGGCACGCAACCAATGGTCACCTTTAAGTTGGCGTCCAAAGATGGCTGCAAATACCAACTAACGATTCACCCCGCCGTCGATCTCGCCAGTGCCGGTGGTGTCACATGGTCCAATGCCTCGACATTCTTTCCCATCAGTTCATCGATTCTACCCCTTGGTGGTAGACCTTATGTGAGCGGCGTGAGCCCGACACATCTGTTCGCTCGGTACCAAACTTCAGACCAGTGCAAAGGCCGCGACATCATTACCTTGAGCTCAGCATGGACTGCACCGCTTAATAGGACCTGGCAGAGTCCCTCGTTCATACCATTGAACCAGACATATGAACGCTCCGCTGAATTCAGAATGCGAGGCATCCTGTGCGAATCTAAATACTTCATGAACAATCAGAGCATGGAAGCGGCCATATCAGGAAATAAGCAACAGATGCTTAATTCCAACTCGGATCTTCATGAGAACTGGCAACCACTTCCGGAAAGTCTGATAAATATCAAGAATTTTGAGGCTGCAAGTATGAAAAACGATTGGGAAAGCTACTTTGATGCGAAAGGCATGTACCTTACGGAAACTAAGCCCGCCAGCGGCATATATCCCGGCTTTTCAGGCATGGCACCCCTCTTGGCTACATCTTTCAACTATAACTTGACTGCCATGCTGGAAAATCCTAATATTGCTCAGCGAGCGGCTTCGATGAAGGGTCGCTTTTTTATGGAAACCATGAGAGAAGCATTCGATAACCGCGATATCCTGGAACAGGACGTTACCAGTGGTGAGGCAACCATTATCGCAAATCGTGTTGTCGTTTTGCAAGAGATCGGGTTCACCCTTGCTGCTTTGTTCTTTGCATCGGCTGTCCTCCTCGTTGTCGTATTTTTCAGTTCTCGACTACGCTACCGGCCGCTAAATCTCCAGTCGGATCCAGCTAGCACAATTGGTCTCAGCCTCATGCTGCAGCGACGACTTGGCGCATTGGGCCCAGTCGAACGCATGCACAATGCTTCGCGTGTGGATCTGTATACCGGTCTTCAGAAAGAGAAATACTTCACTTCAGATAACATCTTGCTCAAAGGTGACGGCAACACTGGTATGACACATTTGAACAAGCCTTGCATCTCATCAAGATACTGACCACAATCCGCCAGATCCTCCCCAAAAGGTCAAGCCAAAGCGAAATTGGAGACCCCGTGTGATACATGTACGCACATTACTTGCTCTAGGTCTTGTGCTTACACTGGTCATGGTCGCCATTCTCATTCTGAACGCCTTCTCGGCGCGCTCGCAGCTATCTCAAGTTGCCTTCATCTATGAAGCTAATGTATCAAAGCTTGGACTCAGCTTTTCTACATTTGCACCAATATCTATTGCACCAACTGTTGTTAGTATTGTGGTTGGGCTATGGTGGGATCAGCTCGACAGTACATGGCGTATCCTTCAACCCTTCATCTCCATGTCTCGTGGTCCGGTCCCGATCAGGGATGGAGCCGGTTTGACATACAGGTCCAAGACTTGGGCTGGGGCGGCATTCAAGTCCGGACGCCAAAAGCATTGGGTTTTGCTCTTGATTGCGATTGGTTCTGTGCTTGCACAAGTCTTGACTGTCTCCATGTCGGCGCTCTTCGAAAGACAGACTCACAACATCGCTCATCCGGTCTCATTTCCGCGTTCTCTGGAAATTCGACAGGTACCCGTCATTAACGAAATTAAGGACGGTTACAACTCAGTGGGTTCACCCGCAGACAAGGTGCTTGACAGTCTGTACCTCGATGCATCAAAGAATTGGCTCTACGGTGCAGGTATACAGCAAACGTTCAATGGCTCTCGACTTCCTTGGTCCTCGGATGGCTGGAGCTTCTTGCCCGTCGATCTGCCTACAGTGTTCGACAACACAAGCAACCAGGCTATAGCGAGTAGCGGTACCGATGGTACCGATCACACAGCTTCATTTTCGACCAATGTTACCATGAAGACACCAGCCATCAGGGCAAGGCTGGATTGCACCGTCGTTGAGGAGATCACAAACACATCATCGTGGATCACCCTCTATAACCTCACAAATCGGTCTGCGAGTTTCAACCCACAATATTTCTCACAAATCAACAGCTCCGGAGAGGTGGAACTGTACAGTCTCGAAGACTACATGTTCACTGGTAGTGACTCACGCACATTCACCATGTCCAGTCCCACTTCGGTTGGTTGCTGTCAGAATGGCACAATTTTGGACCCGCAACAATCGTTATTGGGTTACTGGTCACCTGTTCTCCCACCATATCGAAATCGCACCGTGGACGAGGGGTTTCCGTATAACGGACTCACATGGCCATTGAAATTCACCTCGAAATGGATCGTCGGAAAAGCCATTACTATGCTGGACCGTGGAAATACAAGCTATGTGTATTACAAAGAAATACCACGAATGCAGGCCGCTCAGTGCGCACCAATCATCGAGACGGCAGAAGCATCGATCACGTTCGATAGTGCGACAGGCGATGTGCACTCTCACACAATTGATACTGTGCCCCTCGCGAATGATGGAGCATGGTCAGACGTATTCACGTTGCACGATGCCCCAAAGGTAGAATCAAACGACGAAAGCTTTTGGCCCGAGTACCCCCAAAACGTTACAACGTCGTTCGGCATACTATTCGTTGGAGCTTTGCTCGGATTAGCTGATAGAGAGCATGCAAACGGCTACAGTTACGAAGATCTAAAGCAGAACGCCTTCGTCTTTCGCGACCCCAACAACGGCATCAACATGGACTTGATGACCTACTCCATGTATACGCTCGCCAAAAAAGACCCTGAAGCACTCTTGAATTACACAGTCCTCGCCACACACGCGGACCGCACGTTCCAAACGTTCTTCCAGCACTTCGTCAACAGCGGGTTATCACCTAGTAGAGGAGGCTACGCATACCAGCCCATCAACGATGATAGCATGACCACTCTCACACACTCGGTCGATGGAAATGGCACCGCGATTGCCGAGAAATCTTTCCCGGTTCTCAACACAAATCGCACGGTCGAAGCCTCAATCAGCCAACGCATCCGCGTGCTCCACATGAACTCCATCGCTACATATTTGTCCGTCGCCATTCTCATATGGCTTATATTCACTACTCTGATAGTTGTCTGCTTGCAACGGCAATACACGCGCTTCATGAATCGCGACGTACACCTCATTGCAGATATGCTGGTGCTTGTGGCTGGTAGCGACAACTTACTCGACCTCGTGCAGGACAAGGGCGTAGGGCTTAAGAAGAACAAAGATGTCAAAACGATGCTAGGGTGGTTTAGGGACAGGAACGGTGAGGTCAGATGGGGTGTTGAGGTTGTCGGGGGGAGGAACGCGGTGGAGTGGGTCGATGCGCCGAAGACGGGATTTCATGTTCCTGTCAAGAGTCCTCCATCCAAATTATGGGGCTGGAGACCCTGGAAGAAGAATTAGTCCATTAGAGATGAAAAGAACTATTTTATTGGTTTCATGACAAGACTGCACTAAGCGTTGGTTGGGCGCAAGGATTCATCTGTCTGTCTAAAAAGCTAGGTTTTCGTGACAAGCAGAACCCTGGGGGCGAGACCACAAAACGCACTGTTAACCGAGTGACTTTGGAACATGCGCAAATTCTGAAGCACGCAATGTACACCAGATGACCCGCCCGAGATGTCAGATCGATAGTGGCGGGTGGACTAGACGTCCGATGACGCAGTTCATTCATCAACGACGTGGTACCTGAATCCGTCATCCACATATTTGCGTTTGGGCGCGGGGTCTACTACGCAATAAATAATATTGAACGAAAACACGAAGTTGCATCGACCCGTTGTGTATGCCAGCGGGACGTACAGTTTGCGTTGTCCAGAGCTGATAAACTCAACCGTCTTGCATATGCAAGGCACAACCGCGACCTGCAGGTGGCTGGGAACAACACATTCAAGAATTTCGACGATGGCAAAATTGCTCCGCTGCACTTCAAAGCTGCAGAGTGGGATGAAAGTTGGGGAACATGGACTGATGGGTAAATGTTGAAACTGCGCTCATTTCAATGCGCGCCTCACGGTGAATTCGGCCGCCGTCAAGTCTGTGTAGAGGCCGGCGATTGCCTTGAACATCGTTGACTTTGACATGCTGTGTGCGGCGACGCGAGGGAGTGACGTGGAGTTGCATACGTTACAGTGTGACTGCACCGAGTGCATGAGTAGGTTATGTAGAGGTTACCTTTGTAGGTATGTTTGCATCACAGCACGCGAAATGTAACGTCGGTTGTCTGCTGTGATACCCGACGACCGCATGTGCGACCAACGCGATAAGAATAGTACCTACCAGATCGATATGTTCATCTAGCGCATTGCGGGCCATGCTCGCGTGGCTACCCGTCTGTAAGGAGGCGGCGTGGTTGAACAAGCAATGTGGGGTAAGTCGACAATTTCAACGACATCAAACATCATTAGGAACGAAGGCAGTCAATCATTGTATAGCTTTCGATAAGGCGAAGCCGTGTACACCCAATCTGCATGGCGCTCACGTTGTGACCCCTTGTGCAACTCGTGGCATGCAAGCAACCGAGATGAACATAAATCAGAGAGGTATTTCACATGGCACAAACATCAAGAGACAAACAGTAAATATATATACTCTGCTAATAAATCATAATATACACCAAGCCCGAACGTTCATGTGTGTCCAAGGTAAACGAAGCATTGCTCCAGGTGAAGTGAACAAAGGGAAGAAAATGGAGCCCGCTAGCCCAAGCCAGAGTATATCGTGACATCATGAGATAAAGCGTATGCCGAAGAAGAATGTTGCCGTGATCCAGATAGTCCATCGCGACATTTGCCAACGACGCGATCGAGGTGGGCGAAAGGTAGAACAAATCGAATTATTACACGAGCAATGACGAGTGCGCGCCGAAAGTGGTGATAAGAATGAATAGATTGGGCCTGCGACGCTGTCTACCTCGTTATTACTGTAAGGGCTTATCAACCCTCTTCCTCCGTGTCTCCATAGGGTTTATCGCGAATTAGGTAATCTTGATTATTGGCTGGTAATATGCAACGGCGCCAGTATGATAAATGTACAGCCCATTACCATGGAGTATCAGGGTATCTGAAGCATCTATGCGCGGAAGTTCTGGTGGCGGCGAGCGTGCCTGTGAACGTGCTCCGACCTCTTCGCATTGACGTACTCGTAAGCGGTGACAACAACGGTCTTTGTCTTGACCTTAGGCTCCTTGGGCGCATCCTTGAGCTCGGCAGGCGGGGTGATTGTAGGAAGGTCGACGTTGTAATCATTTGCAGAGCTGGAAGGAGCTTGTGCGGTTGTAGACGGCTTGGGCTTAGGAGCTTCAGGCTTAGGAGCTTCGGGCTTGGGAGCTTCGGGCTTAGGAGCTGGGTAAGAGGGCTTCGCGTCGTCATCGGATGGGGCGTCAGAACCGCAAAGGTAGAACTTCATGTTGGAGGTGAAGTCGCAGGTCTTGGTGCGGGTGTCATCTGGCAGGATGTAGGACATCGCAGCGCAGGAGATGGGGTCGTGACAGGAGAGGATCGGGCACCACGAAGCATCAAGCGTGAGCTTCTGAGCACGTGCGTTCTTGCTGCCCACCTCCAGGTAGTATCCCTCCGACTTCGTTGGGCAGTCGCCTCCGAGGCAGTCGACATAGGACACGTCGAGGTAGTTCATCTGGTATTTGGTCTCCTTGTTCACGTCGTCCATGAAGTATTCGAGCTGGGTGATGTCGTTAGGCTTGCATTGCTCGGTCTTGGAGATCTTGATAGAGACACCCCTTCCATCAAGAGTCGCACTGGCGTTGACGTAGTTCTCAGCATACATCTCGCCCTTCTTGAGTGTCACCATCTTGTCGGGGTTGCAGCCATCGCCCTTGAGGACAGACCAGATATGAACGTCGTAGTCGCAGCGGTTGATGATGCTTGCGTGAGGCTGAGATTTGTCGCACTCCTTGTTGAGGGTGACGGCGTCTCTGTTTGCGACGGCTTCAATAGAACCGTAAGCGGAAACGGTTGCGACCATCGCGGCCGCGACGGAGACGAGGGTGAGCTGCATGGTTGATTAAGGTGACCGATGTATTATGGGATGGAAGCTTCGGACAGATCGCGTGGATGGTCGTAAAGAATGACTGCTGAACACTTGAAAGAGTGAAAGATATTCAGCGAAACGAATGTTGACGCAGTCCTGCTTGTTGCGGTAGGGAGAAGGCCTCCGACGGGGGATGCGAGTAAATAACATGGCGGAATCCTAGCAGGTGTATCCGGGGCCACTTGGGAGCCCGCCCTGATTGAGAATGAATCGTCACTCATAGCGTGGGCCTGTCTGGGCCGGTGCCAAACGTCGTGGCTTGTCCGGAGAACAGGCACGGGAGAGTGTGCTTGGCCTCTAACGGAAGAGCCTAGGACCGATAGAGTAACGAGTGCACCAATCGGACAAGCAACGTGCCTGATCGCCAGGGCACTGGCTGTAATTTAGCCCATCTCATGTCGGATAATGGAGCGAAAGCACACTAAATTCAGACCAGGGGCATGGGCGATTCAGGTCATCTTCGCTATGGGCCTGCATAGCTGGAATCGACGATTTTTGGCTGAAACGAGGCAAGATGCTGCGCGCTTGTGGTCTACCACACATCAGTCAAACAGCGAACAACACAGCTCGTTGGTAGAGAACTGTCAGCATTGTCCATGGGATCGTGGCGTGTGGCCTAAGTGTTGGTGGGAAGGTTTGTCGCGTCGAGGATCAAAAGCGAAATGGCCCTAATTAGCGAGCCTTACCCCAAATGATTCTACCGCCGACCACGCAGGGCTTGTAAAGGGGTCACACCAAGTCTCGTTGCTTGTCCAACTTGTCGCGTGGCCACACACCGCAACAAGGTCTTTCGCTGGCAGAATCGCTGGCAGAGTTCTGTTAGAAAGACTATCCGCCTCGCGAACTCTTCCGCACGCACAATGATGCAAATCATTGCGATCGACGTCATCGTAATGCAAAGCTGTCGCAACTTCTCCACGACTGGTCAGCTGCAAATGTGTCGTCGCCACGCAATAAATCGGTGGGGCTTGGACCACTCACGAAGAGGCCATATCCGCAGGTAATCTCCTCTATCCACCAACAGAATAGCACAGGACAATTTGATAAAGTCGTCGAATGAGTCTCATTTCTCTTTGAAGCTATTCTTTATCGCCAATGGTTGAAGACAAGAGCGTCTTCTTGGAGGTGGAGTGTAACGCAATTTCAGACCGTGTAGGCGAGGGGGAGAATGCCGTGAGCCGGCGCATCATACCTGTTCGGTCACATCGCTGTATGCCGAGCAAAGCACCGGGCAACATCGAGGCTGCTCGTTGTCTTGAGCTATTCGAATGGTGTCTGTGGCAATTGTCTCGTGGTCTTGTCATGCGCGGCAGACGTGGCGCAATCAGGGGCGAGGAGAAGTCGCGACCCCTTTCGAGGTCTATTGTCCACGTGATCCAGCTATGCTTCGAATGTTTTCCGGGTCGCGCATCACTTGTCAAACCCTCAACATTCGCGACAGCCTGTCGGTAGTATCGAAGATGCCTATACATTGATCAACATCTTAGTCAAATTTGGAACCACTCTCTCTTCAGTACATAGAGTGCGATCTGTGGAATGATGGTGTCTCAAGCAAGAGCTGAACTTTCCGAACTCATTGCTTGTCAATTTTCCCCAGACACGCCCATCATATGTGCAAGCTTCTGTATCTCATTTTGATGGCCAATAGGCAGGATGAATCTGCCAGTGACATAAGGAACACTCCAGGGTTGATCGAGTGGAGATACTCACTAACTAAATTCGCAGGGTTTTGGCGTGGTTGGTTAGGTCTTCACAAAAGACGCGTGCGCTCATATGAAGCACAGAGATAATGAGCCTGAAGGCAACTCGATTGGCTATATGCTCTTACGCACGACTGTTACTGAATCAACCATGACCAGGATATCCGACTTCTTTTCAGACACAAAGCAAGCATAAATCATAATAAAACAATCCTCAAATCTCAGACATCCAGTACATTGCAAGCCTGGCCCGAATCCTCTCATCACAGTTACTGCTGGCATCCATCATGGTAGTTGCAACGCTTTCCCCTCGAAGCCAGCAGCGTCACGGCTGAAGAAACCGAGCTCAGTGAGTTGGCATTCCCGATGAGCAAAATTACACGTCCCTTCTCTTCCAAACATGTACTTACAAAGCCTATAGCTACGTACCCAGCAGATTTCCACCCCCGCCAGTCATGGGTCACGTCTCAAGACGTTGCCGATGATAGGCGACACTTTGATGCGGCCATATCCACGACCTGTCGGCTAACGCAACGCTCCAGACTGTCTCGACCCAAACCTCTGTGCGTACGAATAGCCAATCGACCGAGTATACGAGCCTCTTTCAAACATGACCGTGGTCCCTAGTAGACTGAGTTGCATACACTTGGCAAGTCGGCAACGTGCAGCTTCGAATCACGATACAGACCCATCTACTATACAGTAGAGGGGAGCATGTTTACTTCACATATACGGTACGCAACGTGCACATACACCGAGTGCTATCCGTGAGATCATGGTAGAAAGTCGTACAGCAAACTTGGTCTTTCCTCTAATTTGAGAGTATTTCTCATTGTGGAAATGTTCATGCTCTATACTACATATTCTAAAAGATCCTGCCTCGGGCACGTTTGATAGGGAGGCTTCCGAACACGTTTTCGAAACGATGCAGCAAAGATGACTGACGCCCGAATACTTATTCCGCACCAATCATGCCTTCTCTGCTGTCATATCGCCTACCAGACAGCCCAATTGTCGATGACAATCGGTCTCCGCGGGACCGAGATAAGCGATGGTCGGGTAGCGGATGCGGCCGCTGCTGTTACACCTCGGAGACATGCATCCAGTATGCATGAAGTTGTGGTGGGATCAGAGAATTCTTCAGCAGTCAGCGTAGTGACTAACCAGCCTGAACAGAGTACCATGGCATTATGTGTGGTAAGCTAAGAATCCGATTATGCACGATCGGGGTACAAAAGATCACGTCATCTCTAAAAAAGCACTTCGAGGCTATGGCGGTTGAATGACCACATGTTCGACTTTCTCCGCCATACGTCCTCTCTCACCCATACGTTTTCACCCAGCGGTTCGGGTCGAGGTATGTCTTGGCGCCTTGATCGGTGAGATACAAGCATCTGCACCCCGATCACACTGTCTACTAGTGGAGACTCGTCATGAAAGGAGAGATACCCGATAGGCTTCTCGGCACTTGTTGGAGAACGAACAGGAGGCGTCGGGCAGCAATACTCAGCCTGCTTTGCTGTCTTCTGATCACATGAATTCTGCAACAAGTGTTCTGACGGTCTGTGAAGTGGAAAGATGAGACCGACAGTATGGTTCGAACTAGACATGTGTATATTCTATATACTCCGCCTGACTGCATCCAGACCACCCCGCATACACGCAAAGCTTTTCTTGAGGTGCAGAATCATGGAAATGGCGAAGTATATCAAAGGACGTCATGTTCAGCCACGGGAATAGTACCCGGACCTATGGCCAACATTTTGCTTCGAACCGCCATATACTCTCTCGACTGTAGGCGATGCACGGCATATCACAGCGCATTGCATGTACTCCGCCCTAATTACAGCAAGCGTATGCATCCTTACAGCCCAACAACTGCACGATCCATGCGACTTGCTTGATCTCGTCTGAGAAACAAGAATCCAGCAAACTGAAAACACAGGAAGAGTTGGTTAGTGGGTCCTCCGTATGCGATCGGTACTTCGCTACTCTAAGGTGGGTCGTCATCGTGCTTCGAGAGCGCGTGTCCACATTCCGTTCCGGTTTTGAGATCTCGGGTCATTCGAACATGTGGTATAAGCATTGCCTAAGCCGAGTGACTAACAGGTTTATTGCCCGTAAAGTACCACGTGTACTGATGGTGGTTTCCGGTGAGGTGAGGTATTTCGTTTCGAATGGGCGTAGCGTTCGGGAATGTTTCCATTCTCCACTCCCACGTAAGCACCGGGCGGCACGGTAGTCAAACGGCCGCGGCCCGCTCTTGGTGTGTACTCACTCACTGCATTCCTGTTTGGTATGAGCACGAGCTGTGGCTGCATCTCCGAGGCCTTGTTCGATGGGCATTGCTCGTGGCCTTCCTCATCTGTATCCTCGTGCATGTACAACCAGTAGCCGAAACAAACCGTCGTGTAAACTCTATGCGGGGCGTACATTCGGTTGTGTCGGCCCTAGCCTGTATTTTTTCGGGATATATTCGAAAGTATGTTCTACCAAAGAGCGTGGGTGATGGATTACGCGCCGCGATATCTGGGGACCTTATCTTAGATCTCAAACCAATGTGGATTCGAAACGTTATGAAAACGTGGGTACTGCGATGATTGCTAGCATACATATTTAGAAGCGTTTATTTGAATACCTTATCCTCCACGTGGAGAGGTCGTGAACTGAGCTGCTTCTGATCAGGCCGCAGGTATGCAATATCCGGTGCTTACCGTTGCATAAACTTTAAACCGCTGGAGCCGCTGCTACCGCCATCTTTCTAGGAATCTTCATGTTGATTAAACGAGGGTGGTTTCTCGGCATACCGAACGGCAGGCTTAGACCCCAGTCGGTAAGGTCATCCAGTAACGGTGGCGGTGGCGGAATGTCGGTGTGAGCGAGCCTTCCGTGAACTCTAACTTCCCGAACATCTAAATGGGTCCATGCTGGGCAGTCCGACCACATGCCATGGTGAGCTCACATGATGCGGGCTTCTGGTGAGTGGCAATTTCGGGGCCTCAACAGAGGACTGAAATGAAGTGAGTGTCATTAAGCACAGATCAAATAGTGTCCGCTGCTGAATGAAGAACTCGAAGATCATGTTTCTGAACATCAGGGCTGGCCTCCATGAACCCATCTTGCAGATCGTGATCTACACTGGTGCAGATCCACCTGCATTGAGCCCATGGATTCGGTTAGAGACTGGCCTAGAATTGAGAATGACATGTTTTCTTGTAACCCAAGTTGGTACAAGCCCTGAGCACGAGCAGGTAAAGGAGTGTTCACTCGATTTTAATGGCGCGAAACGCGGAAGAAGAGTCTCTGGGGCTTACAAGGCCGGGGAAGTCTAAAGATACGACGTGAATGGGTATCTGCAGAATGGCAGCAGATACAAGTCTATTGAGATAGGTACGAACTTTCCAACTTTTGTGTAGTATGCGCCGAGAACCGACTACCATAATCCGGTGGTATCATTGTGTGCGCCTTGGTTTCGAGTCCGATCCCTTACAAAGTATACTGGATTAAGAAAAATAAATCACCAGCTCAAACATGCCAATGTTAAGGCAAGCTAACAAGCGGGTTGATTGAGCGCGTCGGGTAGACACGCGAAAGTTCGTCAACCGGCAGTTGAATGCCCAATATAGTCTCCGTAAGTAGTGTGAATTGTTCACGCTCTTTTTCCGTTTATAGCTTTTAGTTCGACGTCGCTGTGATTGTGTTAGCATGATCTAGATTGTGAGGAATGAGGCTTCCGCAGTGACAGCACATGGAAACATTGGAGAAAAGTCCGACCACGGACAAGAAGATCCACAGCACGTAAGGCTCAACAGACCCTGCAGTGGTCTTCGAGTCTGCATAAAGCCACCAAGAAAGCCGTGGCGTGCATGTGTGATCGGTGTACACGAAGGACGAAGGAAAAGTGGACACGTACAATATCAACCTAGCATTTGCCGGAATGTGCCCCGGGAAGCCACTAGATGGATTCATGTCAGCTATTATGCTCTTCCAATCTTATCAGATTATTGGGATGTCGTGTCTCTGAGGCGCCAGAATCTGCTGCAGCTCGCGTCTCACGGCGTCCCGAGTGTTCCGTTCCTTCTTGGATATCTCGTGTCGTCGGCGCCTATGGCGGAAAGACATGATTCGAGTGGCTTTGAGCGGTCGATTGATTCTTTGTTTCGTTTAGGATTGTCCGTACTAGCATAGTGGCCGTGCGCTCATAGAGTGTGTCCTGGCGGCCTTTCCCGAGATGATGGCGATGATCATTCATAGTGAAGCGAAACATATTGTGACAACTTACTTTTCGCCATAGCCGTAATCACTTGAGAGAGTAAAATGTTAGCATGTGTACTGTAGTGTCTTGACATGCTTTACGTACGGTGATATTGTCAACGTAGCTTTCTCGCCTAATGTCATGGGTGAACTCTTCGCCGACCCGAGAATACCCTCGTCCCAGCCTGGACGATGCGTCAGTCAACATATCCACAATTCGATACTCCTTTTGCCGCGGAGCTGATTGGAATTGGGCAGCCATGGTCACGTACCCAGAATAACGCGGCCAACGCCAATTGGGGTGATGAGATCACCGCGGCCTACTGAAGAGTCGAACCTGGAATAGCACATGTCAGTTGTCTGTTCATTACATGAAGACGAGTCTTTAAAGGTATTTCGAAACCGAAGAACGAATCTGACTCACTGTTTGCCTTTGCCGTCTGGCGCATTGTCGTCGTAAAGCCACCCTGCATAAAACTTGAGCCTTGAGCCTGAGCAATCGGATTGGAACTACTACCAGTGTACTCCATTGAGACCTCGTCATGTTTTTTTGGGACGTCAATACCATTCCCAGGTCTCAGCATGATCTTTTCCACGCCCATGGTGATGTTGAAGTGACGATGCCGGTTTGGTTTGTTCGAGTGTGATCCAAGTAGACGATCCTAGGGTGTTCTTGATATGAAGATATTGCGTATTCTTTGATCCTGTAATGAGAGATGTCGTTTCTGTATTAGGATCTGACAAGAAAAACGAGTTGGAAAGACCGAACGGAAACAGATGGAGGCGGGCCTTTAATAGTGGAGAGGCGTTGCTGAGCGTTGAGCAGAGGCTCCGTGGCTGCCGTCTGGCTGAAGGCTTGAGTCGCAAGGTACAGCTGCTGTGCAACAAAATGGGCTTTGCTGGCAACCGTATTGGTCTCTTAGACCCTGGTATACGGATGGTGTCCCGCATCATTTGCTGAGTGGACACTGCAAGAGACGTGCCACATCAACCTTCAGAGCCGTCCGTCACTCGGGGAATCCTGCCCGGTCCTTAGGTAGTTCTGGCTACAGGAGGTGCGGTCTAGCCATTCCAGCGTATGCAACAATCCTAGTAGACTTGCGATTGGCTCCACCTTTGACATCTTGGTGGGTCCGTTCGTTCGTAAGTCTCCCGCGACTACCCGAGACATACTAAAAACTGTCAACTGCCCCCTTTGCGGCGGCGGCGCTCATATCGGGCTCACGAAATTTGTTTGATTTGTCCCGGTGTCTTATTCACTCCGAGTCGTAACAACATTAGAAAAACGGGCCTTTACGAGCCAGGCACGCGGGGTATGTCGTGCCGGCTAGTGAGTGATGAGCTCGCGATGCGCAAAGGATGAAGTCTTAAAATTACGTCGACGGTAATTTCCCACGACACCCATGGACCCATAATCTGAATTAACCACGTGTAGAAAATGCAGATTCTGGACTCTTTTCGTCACTCGTGGTACAAGTCTTAAAATGTGGAGTTTAGACGATGCCAGGATGCGACAAAAGGCTCCGATGTGGATTGCTTCACGACATCCGATGCGGTGCACCTTGACACGGATCTTGGCAGATTCACTTTTGACGATCCTTCCGGTCTGCGTGATGTCCTCGGCAATGTGCTTACGGAGGGGTACATTCGTTGCCCAGCCCAACCTTCTTGCCTGAACTCAATATCCTCGGTGGCGACGCTAGCTGGGTAACTGTAACAGCATGTATTCCCTAAGTCTGCCTGGACCTTGGTCAAGGAAAAAGTCTAAGATCATGACAGCTGATCGAAGCAAAACAAATGCGTAGCACAACGCAGGTGTGGTCCGAGCCTGTGGTGCGTGAGATAGGGCAATCGCTCCTGCACGGAAGGATACCGGCACACACAGCTTAGTGGAGAACCGTACCTCTGAGCACCAAACCTTCTCGTCATCATGACATTCTCTCGTCTCACCGCGTTACCCTTCACTCCATGCGTTCCTCAACGTCCAGTGGCCGCCTAGCAAGAAGTGGATCCAAGAACCCGGACATAACCTTCTTTGACATGCTGATGTGCGAGTCCAATCAGCAGCGCGGCGGGACAGGGCCCGGCATCCGAACTATATCAGACCCACACACGGCAATCATAAGGACACTTTTCGCGAAAACTACGGGAAGAGGGGCTGTCGTGCCTGGAGCGCCAAAAGAGAATCCCTGGGCAAGCATGTGTTCGAATGCTGATCGCCAGGGCAAAAGGGGAAGTTGCCGGACGCGCAAGGTTCGCAGCTATTGTGCTTAGGCCATTGTAGTCGATTTGCACACGACAGCGCTGGGCTATGGAAGCGATCGTGGGCCCTGTACCGTGATCGAGGGCTCCCGGCGAAATGGTTTGGGACCGAATCAGGCCGCTTTGGTCAAAGTCTCTGCGCTTGGGGCGGATGACAACCTCCCCCACGCCCACGCACTTGAAGCCACCTGATCATAGTCGGACCTTGCGCTTTCTACTTTTGACGAGACGCAAGCTAGCCCAAACAACGTCAAGTACAGAAATGGCTAGAATACGTTATTCATTGAGCTTTCGTATGCATGCTGCAGCCACTAACGCGTGGTTTGTGCGATGATGTGGTTGCACGATCGCTTAAAAACATCCGAAGAAAAAGCCGAGATATGAATAGCGTGCAGCAATCGCGCATGTTGGATACACCCACGGCTTCGTTCACCGGTGTTTCTCCCATCACTGCTTGTCCTCCCAAAATGGTGAGGCAGCTAATTTGCTTGTTGCAATACTGGTGAAACCTGCGCTGGGGAAGCGGGCATCGTTCCGCGCGCCGCGTGGGTCGATGTAGTGAATTTCTTTGATGCCAGCTTTTTGAATGAAGGCTAGCAATCTGCTGTAGTTAGTTCCAATCTGCTCAATCCCATGACTGTCGTCAGACATGACGAAAGATCCTCCCATTTGCAGGAACATCTGTGATGTACAGTCAATGACTCGAACTTCAGCTGCAAGCTGCACAAGCGGTGTGACGAACCTGGCATATGGGAAGGCATGGATACGGCTCAGCGAGTCCCTTCCTCAGCCCTGAAGAGTTCAGTTCAAGTCGACCACCATAAGAGGCTACAAAATCCAGATTGCGTCGAACTTTATCCCACACACGATTCATGTTCTTGAAATCGGCATCTCGATGATCGCTCAACAGGCGTATGAGATCGAAATGGCCAATCACCGGAGGTTGCAGGGCCCGGAGCATCTCATATTGTGAGTCGAAGTAGTCTTCGAACAACTTTTCGTCCGTACCGCCGGCCTTGGCCCGAGCCTGCTCGTACATCGCTCGGTCAAAGTCGATTGGGATGGTATGTGTGTGGTGTAGTGATCCCATGAAAAAGTCGAACGTGTACTTGTCAAGCAGACCTTGCACTATTTGCAGCGTCGATGGACGAATGTACTCGGACTCAAAGCCGATTAGGATCTGAATCTTGCCTGCGTAAACTACACGTAACCGTTGCGCTTCCGCATAGAAGTCATCGAACAGCTTGACTAAGGACTCTTCTGTGTGACTGTTTATCTGCAAATGTGTGAGTAATCATGTATTGTGGTACGCAAGCTAGTCGACAGGGCAGACTTACTTCCTCCGGGTAGAAGTCCTCATAAGGACGTGGAATGTGTTCGGTCAGCGCAAAGCTATGGAAGCCCTTCGCAATAGCTGCTTGAACAACCTCTTCGAGGGTGTCTTTTGCATGGCCGCAGAACTGACCCGAGTGGCTGTGGTGGGAGTATGGCATACTTTTGGGAAGATGTGACCAAAGCAGTGGATCAAAGCCTACGAAAAGGCAAAGAATAAGGGTCTAAGGATAAGTAGGTCAAGATCTAGAGCCCTGCATTTCGGTGCCAGAGGGAAATGTGTAAAGAAAGCTGCACATGACGTAATCTTCTAGCGTACCATTGCCCAATGTAGCGCTAGTTTGTTACTGCAGATTCATCCACCACGAGTTGACTACGCATCTTTACTGAATCCAACATCAGTGTAACAGCCAATTAAACACTTCTCTCTTGATTGAAGAATTACATACCTCCGGAGCGACTGTCGCCGACCTGTGCTGTAGACAAGACCAATACCTGACCACCTGCCCCGCACACATTAAGTCGGCAAATATCCATTGTCACCGAACTGAGATTGACAAAACTTACAAATTCAACGCTCAAACTACCCAATTACACGGTCTAGTTCTCTGGTCTAGATATTCAGGACGGCCACACCTCAACTAGACTTCAAACTGCAATAGTCGATCCCAATTGCTCCCCGCCATTAGGCTTGGAGTTTCTCTTAAAACCAATCCGATCCTCAATACGAGATTCACATACATTTGAAGAGGCGACTGCCAGTAAACCTCACACACGGTTGACGAAGCAACAGTCTGGCACAAGCTACATGCGATTGACGAAGCAACTACCAGCACCAATTCCCAAACGAACCAACGAAGCAAGTTCTCACATATTTTTATCGCTACGTCAACTTGCCGGTCTCTACATGAAGCCAACATCGACCTAGCCCAGTGAACTACTCCCCAATCGTCCTCGGCGGTATCACACGACACAGGACAAGTTAAATCACCAAACTCCACCGACCCGTTCGGGAATATCTTCGCTCATACCAACGAACGAGAAACTCGCAACAAACACCAAGTCAGACTCCATCATACCGACGAACGAGAAGAACATAACAGACACTGAGTTACCACCATCCCTCCCAAACTCTTTTCTACGTCCCACACCTTCACAGTAAATGTACATCTCCCTCTTCACCTTCTTCACCCTCCTCACCCCAACCCTCTCATCCCCCTTCCAACCCCCCACCTCCTTCCAATCCCCAATGTCCCCCTCCTCACCCACAATCTACTTCGCCTACGGCTCCAACCTCTGGCTACACCAAATGCACCTCCGCTGCCCGTCGTCCACATACATCGGCCTCGCGCGCCTTCCGGGATACAAATGGCTCATCAACACGCGGGGCTACGCCAACATCGTCGAAACCCCACATCCCACCACCTCTGAGGGGGCAAAGGACGAAGACGAAGACGGAGACGAAGACGAAGATGAGGTCTGGGGCATGCTCTACACCCTCACCCCCGCAGACGAAGCACAACTCGACAAAAACGAAGGCGTCCCCGAGGCGTACACGAAAGAACTTGTGCGCTGCGAGTTTTGGTCCGCGGAAGAGACGCGTGGGAAAATCGACGTGGGCCGCCCGATGACGGATACGAGGCATGTGCTGGTGTACATTGACCGGCGGCGCACGACGGCGGGCGTGCCGCGCGCGGAGTACGTGTACCGCATGAATCGTGGGATCGAGGATGCGGTGGAGTGTGGGGTGCCGAGTGGGTACGTGGAGGGGGTTGTGCGGGAGTTTATTCCAGAGGACGAAGTGGAGGGAGTTGAGGAGTTTGCGAAGGGGCAGGCGAGGGGGTTTAGGGATGAGAGTGGGGTGATAAAGGAGTAATGCGTGTGAAAGGGAGAGGGGGGAGGGGAAGGAGGATATCAAATCATAACGTCTAACGAATTGTTCAAGTATGAGATCCTACGCCTAGTCCAAACTTGCAGGAGTAATCGCCTCCCTTGCCAAACTTCATACTGTGCCTCTTTCTCGTCTCATGTCTCCACCTAGATCCTGCTGGTAGAGCCGTCTACATCTCCTCCCTCGCCTTGCGGTAGCTAGCCTGTGCCGCATCAGTTTCTCACATTCCAAAAATGGTGCAAAGTCAAACAAACGCGAACGCAAACTAAAAGTCAGAAGACTGGTGTCTACGCACCTCCTGTTCGACCTGCAACTGGTCCACGACGGGCGCCAGCTCGGACAGAATCTCGTAGGCCTTCTTGTGGTACTCGAGCTGGGCGGCGATGAGGTCGGCGAGGTTGCGGAGGGGTTCGGGGGTGTCGAGGACCTTGTCAAGTTAGTCTCTAGAATTCATGTGTTTCCATTGTTCTCAGTGACTCACATTCTTCATCACACCCACGGCCTCCTCAGTCTGACCGACAAACTCATCCTCGGCCTGTTCAATCTTCGCCCGCGCCTCCTCGCTCAACTCCTCCTCAGACAGGTCCTTGCGTCCCGGCTGGCCAGGCAGCACAAACGCAGGACCCTTGGCACTTGCCTTGGTCGCATCGAGGCTTAGTCGCGAATTCTCGACATTCTTGCGGGCGCGCGTAGCGAACTGGATATTGGTGTTGAGCGTGGTACTCCAGCCCGCCAAGAAGCGGCTCTGGATCTGCGCGTCCTGCGCAAGACGGGCCTCGCCGACCTTCTCGCTGGCAATGGCGTACTTCTCGAGTGCCGTGGCGAGCGGGTCTTCGCTAGAGCCCGTCTGCTCCGAGGTGAGCATGTGCGAGGCGTTGAGGGCGGTGCGGGCAACGGCATGGCTGAACGTCTTGGGCTGGGGCTTTGCGGAGGGCGGGGCGACGAGGGCGGCTTGGGCTTCGGCGGGGGATGTGGCGTTGGAGAGGAGGTTGACTTTCTCCGAGACGGTGCGGCCGAGGTCGGTGACGGACTCGCGGATGTTGGCTGGGTAGTCGTAGGCTTCGTTGGCGTATTGCGAGCTGTGGGGGGAGGGTATGTTAGATGGTGGAAGAGGGTTCGAGGGGGTATTGGGGGGGCCATACGTGACCTGGAGCATGCTCGTGTGCACCTTCTTCAGCGCATCCACGCGCTTCTCGAGCTCGATGTAGTCGGGAGGGAGTTGGGTCTGTCATGCGGGCGTATCAATATCAGGGTCCATGGCCGAGGGGAACAGAGCAGACGGGCACTCGATAGCGCCCAGCCGAAGCTCTAGAGTCTGCGCACCTTGTCCTCGACATTGCCGACCTGCTCCTTGACATACTGCTGCGTCCTGGCAGCCCAGGGTGTGAACGAGGCACTGCGGAAGCAACGTCAGCATATCTTGACCTGCGCATTGCTGCATGCCCGCCAAACGGGCTCTGCACCACACGTACGAGATGTTCTTGCCAAAAGCCGAGATTTTTCCAAGATTGTCCATGGTTGCGTGATCGAGTGGATATAGTTTCGCGGCGTGCTCGTGTCTCAGCGTCTGTTCTGGCGTCGTAATGTTCGTGCCTGGGGAGCTTGTTGAACCCGCGCACGCACCTGCGACTCTAATTCGGGCACCTGCGCGGGACGCTTGGACCCTGGACCCTTCATCACCTTCAACATGTGCTGCCCACGCCTCGACAACTTCTCGATTGCGGAATCGCATCCTCGCTTCAGAAACCCTATCTAAATCGCTGGTACCACGAGTAGTATCCCTAAGCAGATCAATGCAATTTTCCCATGTCTTGCTCACTTCTACCAACACATTGGTGGGACAACAAGTACTCACTCCCCTAGGAATCAGGTAGTCAAGCCTGAGTGTTCATTTGGTGCAGGTATGGGTGTTATAGTTACTACGCAATCAACGCATCGAGAAGTAGTAGTTACAGCAAAGTCTCAAAACTACGCTTGACATTGTCAACCGAGACTGTCTCAGTCCGAGTATCCCAAGCCCTTCCACATAAGCAAGACTTTTTGTTTCCGTCAACTCTGGGGGTGCTCCTCCCACAATATGTACCATGACCTACCTACACCACTCTACCGCAAACATGTCGAGTGACGTCAACCTTCGACATACCCTTTATGCGTTGGCGTTGTGTAACAATAGTGTAAGCATGCACAATACCAAAATCTGACTCTTGTCAAGTTCATGAAACATGCCAATGGCCAATTGTTTCAAGCCACATGTCTCAGTCAATCATATCACATCACATCACCCATTCCATGTCAAACGTAGAGGCGCCACAACTGTATATGACATGTGACTCCCACCCCATCACGCCGCGCCAAACACGCTGTCGCACAAAGACCCTGCAATCACGTAGACATGAGGGTATATTCACACTCGCACACGCATCTAGACTCCCAGCTGCATGCAAGGCAATCGACCTAAGCACACAAGGAAGCCCCATTCCACCCACTCTGTCCCACCAGAAGCCCGTGTTGGGATGAACCATGCGCCGTGACCGTGTGTATTGCAAAGGGGGGTATATCCTTCTTCTTGCCCAAGTGCTCTTCCAAAAAAAAAAAAAAACGTTCCATGTCGACCAGATCTGTGCACCCCCCTTACATCCGTGCAGGCCTTCCGACATCGAGACTCCCGCCTCACTCCAATCTACCTCTTTGAACAAAGTGTGCCGCAAGAACGTAGCACCAGCGTGGGCTGTCGTGCATCTGCATGCAGCGCGGCGCTGGGATAGTCGATCAACGGCGCACCAAACGCCTCTCGGAAGCTTATCTGCCAGGACGAGTGGGCGCAGCAGGGCTGAAAGCCTCGAGTAGAGTGGTTTCAGATTGAATGCTGCGCTGCGTCGTCCGGAGATCGACGTGTCCTGCTGTCCAACCGTCGCCCTTTCTGCTATTGGCCAGAGTACTGCGATCCATGCGTCGTTGCGCTCGACGACTTGCGATCGCCGCTGTAGCTCGACGACCAATCTGGCGACCCGCCTGCCATGGCGGCCAGGCCACCGTCGTTGCTGGTCAGCGTCATTGTGTCCGAGGAAGGCGAGTCGGAAATCGTCAGGGAGTTGAATATGCCCCTCATTTCTCGTAGGTCATCCGACACTGGGTCCTTGGGCATTGATGTTCTGTCTTTGATGAAGTCCTTGATGGAGCGGATGATGGGTGGGCAGCCTTCGTCGTTGGGGAACCACCAATCGGACGGGCCGGCTCCCATAGATTCGAGCATGCGGTTGCGGAGGACGTCGGAGTATATATACCTGTTGGAATCGTTAGTCTTGTTTGTTCAACGCTGCCTTGATGATGCGGCTGTCACAAGTTCGATACCCTTGACCATGCTTCAGCGCCACGCATTGATGGTGACTTACCCAGATGCCTCGATTTTCGCAAAAGTCCGCTTACACCAGTCATTCGTCTTCTGATCTTTGGGTAAGAATAGAAACGCAATAGCAAAGCTCACTTGTGCCTCAAGCAATATTCCCTTTGGTGATCCAGGATATAAACAAACTGCTTCGAACATCTGCGCTGCCTCGAACGCCTCCTTTGTTGTCTCCGGACTGAACGGCTTTCGTAAAGCCATGGCCTCTGAAATGGCGAACATGAACACGATGCCACTTATATCCAGCTTCATGAGATTTGAGTAGTACAAGTGGTCCTTCCACATGATGCCTGGTTCATAGGGATTGACAATGTCCTCAGGGTTGGGTTCCCCTGGCATGTCGTTGACTTTATATTCTGGATCAAGAAGCTCTGGGGGGAGGTTGGGCCAAAGGCCTTCCACTTTCTTCCGCATTGTCGGCAGTTGCGCCATGAAGTCTTGTGGGCTGATTAATCCCTTCTGTGTCCGTGCAAAGAGATCATTGGATTCCTTGGCTACCAGCCGTGAGAATGCAAAGCGTTCCTCGTATTTGAATCCGACGTCATCAGGATTATCGCGAACTTTTTGCACGTAGCATTTGTGCACTGCTTCGTACCATTCCTTGCCGAGTACAGCTTCGCCTCCAGATTGAAAGCCGACAAAGAGGTCAAATCTGATGTACCACAGGCTGACCTTGAGCAGGAAGTCGGACTGGGTGATGCTTTCCGGAGTGTACAGTCGGGTGAGCATGTCGAACGCAGCTTTCTGATGACCCATAAGATTGACCCAGTCTCCGAGCATCTCCTATCGTGTGCGTTAGCATTCGGTTGGCAAAACCATTTAAAAAAAACGCTCACCTCGATGCTTGCTAGCTGCAAAATAGTCAAGAAGGTTGCAAGGCCTTGTTTTTTGTTCTTTGTGATGGTAGATCTCAGCCTCGAGACCGATTCGTTGTAGAAGTGGAGGAATGTCGACATGCGTCCGTCTGGCTGGGACAGCGTGTGGAAATAGGCAGCGTAACCAGCTACGGCGTATTTCAACGGCTCGAATTTCATCGCTTGTGTGAGAAAGTCGCCTTTCAAGAAGTTGTGCGTGTCGCGCTTTAGCGAGTAATGGTGGATGGTGATGTGATTGCGGAAATAGTCGAGGTAGAATTGGACGTCCAGTGTTTTCGATGGAGCGTTCTTTGATGATACTTGCGGCACAAGTTTGGTTGTCTGCATGCTACCTTTACGCGAGAGCGAAGGCCGTATGGTGGGAGGTGCTGTCGAAGAAGCCTCAGTTGATGGTGATGCACTTTGTTCAAGGACTGATCCAGGAGTATGAGAGGAATCGCGTAAATCTTGACTTCCCGACATTACACCATCGTCATAGTCATAGTACTCTTCGTCCTCATCTTGGATGGCGGGCAGGCGCTCTTTATCATCTTCATCGTGGTCCTCAGGTGAAGAGGCGCTCTCCGCGTCGCTTGGCTTGCCCGTCTTCGATCCAGTACGGGATATCTTCTGCGCCGACTGTGTATCTGGGTATATGCATTCACGGTTCCCTTTACGGCATCCTGTGATTAACAATGTCAGAAAGTAACAAACCTCAGAGCGCAAGAAGTCACTTACGCTCACAAATGGGATGGTTTTCGTCACACTATGGTCGCGTTAGCCTGGTGGACGGCCAACTAGAGCGGCAGCATTACCTTAACTCTTCGCTGTCTACATGTAAAGCAGCCGCTCCGTGTTCTGCGATGTTTGACTTGCTCGCCAGGAATTGGCCGTCTTCGTGCGCGCGCATTTGCATTTTGCGCCGCACCCAGTGCGCCTGGAATGTCGTCATATTGATCCGCGTAAGTCGGTTGTAGATGAGAGTCTTGATATTGCACAAAAGGTCCAGTCATCCCAGGATGAAACGGGTTATCTGGGAGTCCTGGTGCGTAAGAGCTCTGCGCCATCATGATGGGTGGGGCATGTTGAATATTCGAGTTCGGGATCGCGTTTTGATCGACATTGTAGTATTGAGGAGGAATGTTGTGGCTCGGATAGTATCCAGACATGACTGCAGTCGTGGCAAAGGTAGGCGCAAAGATGGGAAGTTACTGATAGTTGATGGTGACGGAAGGCACGCCGGTGGGATCAACGTCATTCAGATCCCGGGGTGCAGGGGGTCTAGGTCGATCGGCCGTGTTTGACAATGGCTCCGCAACAGGGGATCAGGAACAGCAAGCTGTAGGTAGGGGTCTGACGGCGAACTTCAAGGTCTCCAAATTATGATCGAATGTTTCGGCTGAGGGAGCACTTGAGATTATGCACTTGGATCCGGCGGGTGCTGGGCCCCTTGCTAGCATCGCAACCAAGCGGCTATAAATGCGCGATCGAGTCTCGACACTTCAGCTCCTACGGAGCAAGGTGGATGCGCGGCGCAACACAGTGCTGACGTTGAAGGTAGGTGCAGTGGCAGCTTGAAACTGGACGACGTTAGGAAAGGAGCACGGCAGCCGCAATTAAGGTTGTGTGAGAACTAGCCCGTGACGGAAGCCATCCGTGAAGCTCGGACAAAGGCACAATGCTGGGTGCCAGGAACGTACAATCTGGATGTTCATCAGACGTCTGCAGTGGCGGCCGGGGTGCAGAGATGGTGAAAAAGCAAGCTGGTGCGTTTGACCTTCAGGCTTTGAGGCCTCTGCGGCCGTGCGCCTATGCTGGACGTTTCCGCTTTCCGCGTCTTGGTGGATTAGCTCAACCCAAGATGCACGCTTTGGCACGGTTCCTGGACACCCATAGACACCGTGCGAACTGGTCCACTCAGCACTGTGACCATATTACATGGAGTACATGGACAAGGAAGGCTAGGGAGCGATAGACGGCCTGATCCCCGGAACCCTCGCTCCAGCCTGCCGTCTACGGCCACGGCTGGACAGATCCCAGTGGCTGATCCGACCTGTCAACATCTTTAGGCGTGCAGGCCTGCTTGTCATAGAGGCTTTCCATTTGCAATCGATGGCCCAATTCGAGCTGATCGGTTTTGCTGCAGTGGATCCCGGCGCCAGTAGAAAGTGACAGCAGTCGGAGATGATGTGCGCCGGACCCGCACAATTCGCACAGCATTCGTGCAGGTGAGGGTGGGTGGGGCGTTCAGCGAGGCACTCGTACGCACGCCAGCATCAGCGAATGACGTGCACGGCGAAAGAGGTCGCGGCGCTGAAAGCGGCATTACAGAGCTAGTGCTCGTACTTGAAAGCGCCACGTTCGAGTGCCCTTACTCGAAAATGGATGATGGCGCCGTTGAATATAGGCATCTATAGGCTTGGGATCCTGTCAATTTGCGCTCCGAAAACGGCTCTTGCTCCGTTGCACGATATTGTCCGGGTGCACTTTGTAAACTGTCAAGCCTCACTTGAGTGCTTGCTGGCAGGATCATAATCGCCATACCAAATGCCATAGACGGCTAGCTGAACCGGCCGCATTTAGCCAGCCACCCTACCCACAGCAGCTTCATGACTGAGTCAACACCGGCGCCCGCGTGAGAAGAAAAGCCTGGGTTCGAGAAAGCCGCGAAGGCATGTGCTAACCAGTTCGGACTGCTCATGGCTCATCAGCCCTCCTAGCCCTTTTCCCGTGCCCATGGTACAGTAGCTCTCAGAAAGCTGCATTCCCATGACTGCTTCTACACACCGATGTGCTATCGGCACGGCGCGGAAATATTCGTAGTAACTGCACAACGCGAATAACCTGGCGCACGTATGCGAGGGGTGCATTGGTGTAGAATCTGACATACCTAGAGTCAGGCAGCGGATCCCATGCATGAGTGAGCCGGGTGCTGGTGAGTAGGCGAAACACATATATGTCGTACATTCACTGTATGGTGCTCAAACCGCCGTCACTGTCAGCATTCGACAGAGCTGTGCTGTGTAGAATTATCACAGTACCAAGGTGGATACATCCTCACCGTCATGGACGGCAGGGTCCTGACAAGTAGTGAGACCTGAGTTGTACAGACTTTGTGTGCTGCCCTGTTCAGGCACGAGAGACAGGGCTGCTGTGATCTCACTCCAGGAGTTAGCTGAGTGGTGGACATTCCTTGTAGCGGCAGATTATGCAGTTTTGTACGTCATGCGGGTCACAGATCGTACACCTGGCGTTGATGGGCACACACAGCGTCCTCTAGACACTCTGCACATTTCCTGGTGTTGGCGAATTCGAGACATGTTGTACCACGTCTGACGAAACCTTCAACTTCAGCATTCTCCTAGATGATGCAGGATCCTCGACGCAGTCTCCAGCAGGCCGACAGCGGACCGTGGAAAGCTGGGTGGCTTGCATATGTAGGCAACCTGCGATTGGACAATGATGCCCCACGGAGCTGAAGCGTGACGAAAGACCTAGCGTGTGGGGTTGTCGCTGGTCGCTGGACATGCTTGCCCATCGGCAGCCCAAGATCAGGCAGCATGAAGGTAATTCCAGGATGCAGCCTTTCCGTCGTAATGGGGCCCACGTGTGGAGCGCAGGGTTGATACCTTCCGCGGGATCGGGGCTTGGAACGGTGAGTCTGAGGTTGAAACTCCTGCTCTAGCCAACCGGCAGGTGCTCTTGTGCCTGTGCAACCTGCTCCCTCTGATAAAGCATTGCAGGGGTGGGGCAATGTTTCGATAGTGAACCATAATTGAGCGTGTGACGCCTTGCTGATATTGCGTTCGAAGACACATTCTGACTGGCTGTACTCGCATGTTGTTTTGTGCTGGAATGCACCTTGCGGCATCGAGAGCAGGTCTTCGATGTGACATGGGATGTAAGATAACGGCTCAAGCAGCGCGTGTGGCGCAGACATGAGACCTCCAAGTCACTCTCGCGCTGCTCGCCCGACAAAGGCAAGCTCGTCGCCAGCCCGCGGTCGCAGCATAGTCCGCGTTAGCTTGCGGCGTCGAGAAAGCCAAGGAGGCCGGTGAGCATGAGCGGCCTGGACGGTACTCCAGGCAATCTCGAAGAATGTGGATCGTAGCCTCAGTGTTTCCTCGGGTTCGGTCAAACGGGCTCGGTCTCGCAACATGCGGCCGGCGCGAATTGGGACGATTTGAATCGAGTCCTGGCAATTGCAGCGGGTGGTGAAGCATCGTTGATGTGGTAAGAGCGGAAACCTCACGAGGAATTTACCGGAACGCTAGCGTTGCTGCGATGGTTCCTCCCACTCCCACGTTAGGTCAGCCCGTCGAAAACCAGGAGAAGACGACCACTGCTGCCAGTAAGCTGACAGACATGGGATTCTTATCACGCATCCATGTTCTAAATACAAATAAGCACAACGCTCGCCCCAGCAATTTCCGACGACCTCCAATCCGCTCGGCAATATCGACAAACACAGGAATATCCAAGCCCGTCAGATCTACTGGCGCGCAAGAACAAGACGCGACAAATTGTTCCGGGGCGCTGGGAATGCAGCATCACGCAATACCCTGCAGCGGGCGGCAGAAATGGGCACCCTTGGGACAATCCTCCGGCGCTCTTACCTAGACAGTACGTAAACGGCGAGACTCAGGGATCAGACCTGTCCGTATGCCGTATCTTATACGCCGACGGCCTCAATGATCTCACGACACTTTTGTGCAATAACCGAAATAATGTGAACGTGTCTTTGTCATTATGCCAATCCTCCGCGGCGTCACTCATTTTGACGCGGCAGAGCCGTAAAGCCATCTTCCAGGAGTAACTGCCGGATCTGGCCTCGCGCATAATCATATACACGGGAATGTTCGTAGAAGTCGTAGATATGCTGTCCCAGGATAGAGTCCACCTAATGTCCCACGCCCTTTCCTCGATGCCGTCCATACAATGCCAGCGCTGAATTCGATAACAAAATGACGCCCAAATACTCCAAGATCGATACTGAAACCGCCGATGAACTGACCGACGAGATGAAAGAAATAACATGATAGCTTTGCATATCCAATGAGTGGGATGTCTCTAAGGAAACAAGAAATGGGGTATATGTGAAGAAGGGTTGCAAGAGAAATCGGCTGTTTCATCGTGTTGGGACGTAAAAGTGGAATCATGCTGCTGTCTGCGAAGAAGACGAACCAGCAAGGTCTGCTGCCTCAGTTTCATCTTTGTCTTTCTCGTCAACGCCTTGCCCTCTGCACAGAGGACATGAGTTGCGACCGGTTGTGAGCCACTAGGACGTATTAGTACGTCATTTTGGTCGACGCAGTCATCCTCTAACTTACTTGATCGATGCAAATCTTATGGAACAAATGTTCACACTTCACCAATTTCCTCGCTTCCTCATCCGCCTCAAAATCGCATAGGCACACCAGGCAGCGTGCGTCGGTCGCAAGGCTGACAGTCTCTTCACCATCCACGGCCTCGGCCATCAGTATCCCCGCTATATTGCGTATCCTGAACAAACCAGGCGCCGATGCAACGTCTTCCTCACTCGCAACCGGAGGCTTCGCAGGGCCCAGTATAGATGAAAGCAGCATCATGTCTTCGTACGTCGGGGAGTCCGTGAATAAACTTGGCGTTGTGAGGATTGGATGGTTCTCGGGGTAGCTACCACCCAACACATAGATAATCCAGCTTCTTGAACCCTCTCCCGGATTGTTGTCAGGCTCAACAACACCTCTTCGTCGCGGGGCTCCAGCACCATATCTTGTGAAATCAGATTCGCTCATGCGACGTTGGCGAGGATTCCGCTGTTGTGGTTGCGGTTCTTCAGCAGTTGGGGCAAGAGCGGGCGTCGCAGCTCTTCGCACGAAACTACCACGCCGCGATGGTGCAGCTGACTGCATTGTAGGAGAGGGTGGCGAGGTTGATGTCGCAGGTGTAGTGGCTCCAGATGGCTCGGTCGACAGCCCGAAACTCGTGGCTGGAGTGGAAGGAGGAGGGAGCGGACCTGGAGGTGATTCAGTAAAAGACGACCATGGCCGCTGCCTATCGCTGTTGTTGTGCGCACGGTGATGTCTCTGACTGTCGTAGTTGGAGGGGAAATTGAAGCCGCCCATGGAGGCGCGTCTGCGGTGGCTAAAACGGGTGCCATTCTGTGGAGGTCGCAAGATGTTGTCGTTGTCGCCCGGAGAAGTCGGGGGGGTTGGGAAACTAGAAAGTGCATCAATGAAGGGCGGGATGTTGCTGTCGTCCTGTCCTGTGCTGGTGCCTGGATTGATAGACCTAATGCCAACGATAATGATGGGCACCATTCTACCCTCGCCATCCTCTTCGCCATCTTGACGAGCAGATCCTGAGGCACTACCACGACTGCCTCCTCTGCTGTTCCTGCTGTCGTCTGTGTTGCTTCCAAATCGGAACATCCTGAAGAAATTGAGAGGCTGCTGATTTCCTCCTGCACTGTCACCGCTGTCGCCGCCTTCGTTGTTCCGCAGCGCCGATGCTATGCTTCCGTTCTGCAGCGACTGCAGGAATGTGTCAAAGGTACCATCTCGGGTCGCTGCAGGGTTATCTTCGCCCACCAACGAGGCTGCCGTGGCCGCTGCGGCGAGCGAGAGCAGTCTCGATAAAACGTCAGCTTGGTCCTCTCCCCGCCTCAGCCGCTCGATGTTCTCCATGTGGTCCTCCTCGCCCCATATTGACCGTCTCCTTCGTGAAGGGCTTATCATGTTCCGCAGCCGTCGCTGTGAGGGGATCATGGACAGCGCCCTTCCGTCTCGTCGCAACGGGCTCAGAGGCCCCATCGGTCGCGGTCGATGTGTTTCCGGACGCTCCGCGCTCGAAGCACTGTGCAAGAGACCATCAAAATCAAGCTCGAGCTCGGGTATCTGCACCCTTGGGAGGAAGGATCCGTTGTCACTGGTGCTGTGTCTCAGGGCAGATCGCGGGTCGGACCCGCTTGCGTGTGCACCAACATGGTAGGTTGGCTCTGTCCTGCGCGAGCTAAGCGAGGGTCGACTGTGAAGGAAATCGGTCATGGAGCTTAGGGACGATCGTGCCCGCGACAGCCTGGTCCGAGGCCGAGTGGGCGGCGTGTCATTGCGGCTTGATGAGCCAGCATCTTGCCGCCCATATAGCGAGGACAAGCGACGGAGAGGGTTTCTTCGTGGCGAAGCCGGGCTCGAATGGCTATGCGCTATATTCACCAGCTCGGGTACATGGTCACTCTCAGCGTGAGGCGTGCGATTCAGCAGCGAAGGCGCCCATGATGTTGGCCGGGCTATTCGGCGGAGACGCGGGTCCGAGGCGCCTTCGGTCGAGTTAACCTGCCCCATATCGTGAGGGCCTTCTGCGAGGAAGGAGCGCCTCGAGAAGAATAGGTGGTAAAGGAGAGGAAGTGTAGGAGCGTTGAAGGCTGGCGGCCAGAGTGGTGAAGTCGGCGGCAGTGATGCATGTCGCGCTTGCCGAGCCAACCTGTTTAGGAATGACGCTAACGCAATCTAGATCGCGCCTTGCACTTTACAACGGCCTGCCTGTACTCGACGGTGAAACACCAGACCACAGAAAACGCACAGCACGTGCTGCCCAGAGCACGATCACCGCCAGTGCAATGCCTGTGGATGAGTCACTGAGAGACTGAGAGGGAACTATTCGACATCAGCGCGCCGTCGAGGACTTCTGCTATAGCCGGTCATGCAATACTTCACCACGCAGCTGAACAGCAATCAGCAAACAACTCACACCCTACGCGAGAACCAGTACCGCAGGCTCAGGAAGCGCAGGCGTGGAGACGTATCCCATGACTCATCCAGTCCTGAGCCTGAGGCGACTTCAAAATCCGCTTCGAGAGACCAATCATACGCCTCACATGCGTCCACAGAGATAGCTCAGCTGCGTGTCGCAGGCCTTTTGCCTGACGACGAGTCCGATGTGCCTCCTTCGCCATTTCCACATGCGCCTGTCAAGGCTGCTGAAGGACGGTATGGAGCAGGCCAACTACAGGAAGAAATTGCGAAACCGCCAGCGCGTCTGTACGCCGTTGATGCCCTGTATAAGAACAGACCCACAAATAAGCAAAATGAAGCAACCTCGCTCAGGAAGACTCACCTCAACGTCCTCTCGACTCTGATGCACCGTTGCTTACTTGAAGGTGACTATGAGCGCGCAGGAAGAGCGTGGGGCATGCTTTTGCGGACCCACGTTGCTGGAGGGCACCCTGTCGATCCACGTAACCACGGACGCTGGGGGGTTGGTGCCGAGATATTGCTCCGGAAAGCGCCCAACAGGATCATAGACAGCAACAACATGTCAAATATTGATGGGCAATTCAGAGAGCACGACATGTTCTCCGAGGAAGGGTTCGATCTAGCAAGAGAGTACTATGAACGCTTCATCATCCAGTTCCCATACCGCAAGCTCACTCCTCACTCCGTTGACGAGAGGACCTTCTATCCAGCTATGTTCTCACTTTGGGTTTTCGAGGTCTGCGAGAAGAGTAAGCAGACGAGAAGTAGAAACCAGGGGAGACGGCTGCGATCGAGTAGTGTGTCGAACGACAGTATAGGCAGCGATACACGTCAAACCGATCAAGCTCGTGCGCAAGAGGATGCTGTCCAGACCGAGGAGCTAGCTAGGGCAAGAGAAATCGCCGAACGACTTGATCAGCTCATCGCTTCACCACCATTCGATAAGCAAGCTAGTCTACTGCATCTCCGTGGCCATGTTAGCCTCTGGATCAGCACCCTACTTCTGGGCAGAAGTACCGACGACGAGGACTGGGACATGGATACGACCAGCGAGCTTGAGGACAGCAGTACGCTATCGGCGTCGGAACAACTCACTAGACTCTCCGACTGCCAACGTGAACTACACCAAGCGCAGCAAGTTCTGCAACGAGCGGAAGCAAATGGAGCATCACCACAGATAGCAACTCTAGCGAGTGTAGAAGTGAAGCTCAGAGAGTTGGCGAGACAACTTGCGAAACTACGAAATGCTGCGGAACCCTAAACGATATCCTCTTTCTTCGCCGGAAATGCCTTCAAGTTCTGGTACAATTGTCTGCGCTCTGATCCACCCAGCTAGATTTCCATCGATAGACATATCGTTCTGGATGACACAAGAATAACTACTCCCTCGTCCTCTTTCTTTTGATGTCTCTCTCATCCATGGGACCATCATGTCTGTCCCGGTTTCTGCAATCTTGCTCTGTATCTGTCTTGACTGCTGCTGAATTCTCGCCTTTCGTAACAACCAGTTCTGGAAGGAGGAACCCAGTAAGGTCCCAGTCATCAATTGTAATCTGTTCCTCCCACTTCTGTGCCCGGTCGGCGTGCTGCGCTGCATAGTCTGCATGGAATACTGGCGGCATATCTTTCCTCATCTGCGCAAACGCATCTTGCCTCCCATACGACAAGGCAATGTGAGCGAAGACTTTCCGAAGCATCGATCCTGGTCCGGTGTTGTCGTATACATAATGGAATATCTCGAGGTCCAGCCCATCGACTTCTCTCTGATATAGACGGCAACTGAATACTTCGAAGACTTTATTTTGCAGTGCTGGAACCTTACGCCTAGAGTTAGTCACGAAAGGTCTTACGTTGCTCTTGACGTTGCGAATTACCTGGAATCTCTCGGCGGCGAGCCATAGTTTGCACAGACTCAGCCAGTCATCGCGCCGCGGCGGAACGAAGCAATCTGCGTAGAGCCACGAAAGGAAAGCGAAGAATACATCTGCCTCTACGTCATAAAGAGTTATCCTCGACGTCTTGGCATGGCGGTCTTCAAGAATGCTGTGGAAATACGGTGACCGAGACCGAAGCAGTCCTCGATGGACATGGGCTTCGCGCTGCGTCTTCCCCAGCTTCACCACGATCATTGCACCGTAGAAGACACTAAGGACTGTTAGTAAACAACCTTTCTACTTGCTAAGAACGTTCTTGGTTTACTTCTCGTCATGCATGATGCGCTCTGGCTTCAGTTGAGCACAGATTTGACCAGGGCTACGATCACCCAAGGACATTGTTTGATTGGCAAGTTTCCAGCACAGTTGTATCACTCGAAGCTATCACTCTTCAATGTATTATACGTCTGCTCTAGACATGCATGAAATGCTATAAAAAGAGCTTTAAGCGTAGCAGCGCTTTATGAAACCATGATTATAGTTTCATTGAGAGAGGCGTCTCATGGCTGGCTTGATCTACCGCTAGATGGGCGGGTGCCAAAACGTCTCCTGCTGATGCTTTACATCACATTGTCCTGACATGGCCTGGCTCTTCGAGCGTATACACAAGACGTTTCATTCGCTGTACCATGGCGGCGCAGCATACCGACGCTCTGGGTCTCCAAAACGATTCGCCACCACTACTCCTGGGACCAATAACAACATCATTGTAGACTACTTACAATTTTTAGTTTGGTAGGACAACTCTATTTAGCTACCTTCTACACTCGTATACCACCTGTACCCTCATTCGTCTTCCTCATTAACGTCATTGTATCAGCGTGAACGAGTTCATCAATGGCATCTCCTTATCGTCCGAATCACTCGAACTCTTCAACCAGCAGTTCGCACCATTGCCTGCACTACGTCGACCCATCAGGTCCGACGCTATCACCACTGCTTTGCATGGCGTCGTTTTCGTGGTCATTTCGTTCCATTGGCTGCACGCGTCGACGCACTGTTGAAACGTGTATGCCGTGAACGATGAAACGTCGATTCCGCCAAGTCCTACACTCCTCCGCTTCTCACAGTTATAGCGGTACTTTTTGCCCCATTCCTGGCCTGAGACGTAGACGTTGGGCGGGCATTCGATGTTGATAGTGTTGACTTGGGTGAAGTCTAGAGGCGCGTATGCGACCGCCGGGACGGTGCTGGAGGCTGATGTAACGATTGCTGATTGCGTGGCCGATGAACTGATCGGTGAAGCGCTTACTGATTGTACTGGAGATGACGATGGAGATGATGCAGACGACGGCAATGCCTCCAGCGGTTCGGCACTTTGATCAGATTTGTTCCTGCTTTGCAATGAGTAAACATCATGAACTACAGTCTCTTTCATCGCATACCCTGATCTCTTCACAGCCAATGTCCCTCCCACACTCGCGCCCACAACTCCACCCCCAATCACCACAATCGCAACCACAACAATGATCCAAAAAGTCCGGCGCCTTAGCCCCACTATCCTGGTATCCTTCTTGGGCGCTTCATCCTCCACGTCAGTTGTTTGCGCATAAGTCGGCGCCGATTTATCGTGATACTCAGGAACAGCAGTTTCGTACTTCCACGACGTCTCCGGGTAGTCGGTCCGCGGTACGACTTGCGGTGCATCCGCCATATCCGAAGGACTCATGGTACTTCTCCTGATAACTTTTCACGCAACACAACGGATCTGACAGAATATACATGCTCACCAGCCGGACCCGGACATGGGGCCGCATCTCATTATCGCGTTGGTATATTCCCGGGCGCGTAAACACAACTATGGAGAGGCTGAACGCGCTGTGAGGCTCGCGGTGATTGGTCGGTCAGCTGGAGGCCTTGCGCCGGGCGTAAAATGTGGAACACAGCCTCTCATGCGAAGTGCGGCGCGGTCTGCGCCTTGCGAAAATCGGTTGCATGTGGTTTGTAATTGGGGCTATTTTAAAGCAGATAAGATGCTGGAGAGCGCTCCGCCAACCGGGTCTTGGGTTCCTGAAAAGTTGAGTATTGACTGTCAGTTGTCCGGACAGGCAGGTCCTGAACAAGAATGCATTATTGATTTCTTAGCTGCCAATAATAACGAACTTCTTAGTGCTTGAGGCTATCGCGTTATTTTCTGAGCATTTACAGTTTAATGTAAGACGAACAATGGATTATAAGGATCCCTTAGGAGGCAGGTTGCGAACCGGTCCACCTGTCAAGGGATCCCGATACCAATTTTCTTCTGGGTCGTTCAAGCACTCGCCTGCTGTCACCAACTTGTACCCATGCTCCTTTGCCTTGTCAATCTTGAATTGCGTGAGGCGGTGCACTGTAAGCTCCTGAGTGTCGTGTGCTAAATCCATCCAGGCCCGGATTCCCTGAACGTTTTTCCCGCGAATTTTCTCAAGGAACACTTCTTCCGCCCATGTATAGTTCCCTGCCCAGTCTCTGCCGTCGACATCATTCGAACACTTTGACCGCAAAGTTAGTATCTCCGTCATTCTCTTGACATGAAACTTTCTTGTGCACTTACTATATGGTAACCCAGCTCATCCATGTCGTCCCAACAACCAGTCTCTTTCGTACAACTATTGTAGGGTGCGCGCATATATGTCGGAATAAAGCCCAGAATATCGTTCAGCGCCATCTCGTTCTTCAGCATCTCTATTCTGCGCTGTCGCGAGTTGAGCCTTCGAGACAAATCCATGTGGCTCCAAGTATGTCCCGCAATTTGGTGGCCTTCATTGTACATCCTCCTCATGACAGCGGGAAGCCGGTCACTGTGGTGTGTGACCAAGTCTCTATACAGATTGGCGGCCTTGATGAAGAAAGTTGCCTTTACGCCATTGGCCTTCAATATATCCAGTAAATCTGCAGTCCATTTTGAAGGGCCGTCATCATACGTGAGCGCAAGTGTGCCTTCCACGGTACAGCTCCTAAAGAATTCTCCGTAGGGGACATTCCCGAACTTTGGCCGCGGAGTGGCTGATGTGTTGAATCCTGGGGGCCATCGTGTAGCATCGCATGCATTGCTGTATCCAGCGACGCAAAAACTGTAATCCGGATTTGAGATGTGGTATCCCTGTTCGATTAGAGAGGGGTCGATAGAATAGTTGCATACCTACGTACATCTGTCGAGCAGCAATGATCACAGGAACTTCTGTTAGTTCCTGGACCACATCTTCCACAAAGGTTGTCCACGTGGAGCAGTGGCTGCACTACTGGGCAAATTCCTGCCAAGGGAGTGTAGTAGAATGGATCAAAAGCAGGCACTGCGTTGCTCAATGGCGTCCAGACACCCAGCGCATTGCTCATGATGAAATAGATATCGAACTGGCCGAGATGGGAATCGACAGACGTTGCCGTATTAATCCTCAACAGAAGCACGAGCTTCGCGCCTTTGCACGAGCTGAAGTAACGGGATGCGCTTGCGCAAGGGTTGTTCAGCAACTAACTTGGATCCGGCGCTGCAGGCGTAATTACACCACAAATGGCCCGATTTTAAGGTTTGAGAAATTCTTTATTTGGAAATGATGCACTAACTTAGACTTCTACAATGATTCTATGAATTGGCCCCTGAATTATTGCGCTCAAACTCCCGCCAATGATTGAGATCAGCAAATGCTCCAACAACGTGGCGCGACTGAGTCGTCACCAGAAACCAACAGCCCTTTCCCAGAAAACCGTCCTGCTGTCATCTTTGCCAGACCTCTATCCGCACATCTGGCAAATCCATCAAAATACCGTAATCTAGACCAGGCTGTCTCACGGCGACTACAATTGCGCTGTAAGTGTTGAGAACTTCTGGCTTCCAACTACTTTCTTCCAGCTTTGGTATCTCGGGTATAGATTCTTGTTGCACAAAGGGATCACAGAACGTAAGGTCTATCTCTCCTGATTGTCGCATGACGTTGAGGAGTTGTAAGCCAGGTGAGTGGGATAGATCCGACTGGCCAGCCTTGAAGCCTACGCCAACCACGAGAAGGCTTGGTCGATGTGCCCCACCATGTTTCTGATGATCGTCTTCCAGTATCGAGGTGAGAAGCTGGCTGGCGATTCGTGATGGGCGCGTCGCCATTCGTTCATGAGCTTGTTTGAGGAGTGGGAGGTTGCAAGTTGACATGAAGTAAACCGGGTTGACGGGAATGCAATGACCACCGATGCCAAGTGACGGATACATGGGCAGATAGCCAAATGGCTTGCTGGCTGATGTATTTGCGACTTCGAAAGGATCAATCCCGAGCTCACGGCAGGCGTCTGCCATTTCGTTTGCGTAAGCGATGGTAATCGTTCTTTGGCAGTTCTCGTACAGCTTCGTCATCTCCGCCACTTCCGGCTTGCTGACCTGGATAACTGTATCAAAGACAGTTCTGTACAATCCCGTAATGGCACTTAATGACCCTGGAGTGATATCGTCAAGACCGGAAACAACTTTGGGTATCGATCTCGGTGGAGGTTCAACTCGGCCGGGATCAATTCTCTGCATAACTGTTAGCCAGTCTTCCGGTTCTAAGTCTGTAGTGTCTCCTCCACCTCTGGTGACATTCCAGCCAATATACCGTGCGATCTTGCCGAGTGGTCCAAGAAAAGTCTCTCGTCATGCCAACTGCAACAGTGCTTTCTATCACCACGATAGATGTATTGGTGACATAGCTGTGGAGCATCTTGATTGCGCTGCGAACATGTGAAGAATCGACTTTACCGTTGAGTCCTAAGGTAGTCGGTACGCAAACAAGGAAGTGAGACGCATTCTTTAGGTCCTTCTCGTTGTTTGAGAACTTGACGCGCTCAAGATGTGAGTATTTCGACTGCAATTGCTCGATCCGTGAAGGCGAGACATCATATCCGATAATTTGGAATGCGGAAGAGAAGACTTCCATGAGATGTTCTCCGACATAGCCAACTCCAATAACTGCAACGACAGTAGGTTTTTCGAAAGTTTTGGAAGGAGAAACCAGTGGAACTGGCGAGCTTTGGTTTCTCAGAGATGTTGGCGGAACCATATTTCGTGATTGATATTGGTGCTTGGATCAAACAACGCAGTGGAACGGTGAGAAGTTGAGCGACTATGACATTGGACAATTTGGACCATCTCGCCTTGGGTACAGTTTGACTAGTGTCTCTGAGTCGTACCAGCTCGGTGCCATCAACAGTGGAGACTTTAAACATAATGTGCGCTATTCCTGGACGAGAGTTGCTAACATAGGTACATACGTGGCCCGTCGCTCGAAGGTAGGCCGAGCTCGGTGTCTCCACGGGCTTATAATTTTCAAACGTGTCTCACGATTCTTGATAGACATCAACGGACTACACAACACATCTAGGTGCCTCTCTACACGTCCAGTCTCTCTGGGTTCGTGCTGTGGTGGCGACTGTGTCCGCGGCTGATATGATTAACTTTCAGCCTTGCCATAGAAGGTTCGAGGCTGAAGCGGCCGATGAAATGTGATGTGCATATTAAAGCTTGGTTGGCGGAACTCGGTGTTACTGGCGATGGCGAATGCGACGTTGTGACCATTCAGAGTGGTTTCGTAGGAAAATTCCAGGTCGAAGACCCCGTAGTTGCGCCTAGCTACGAGCTTGTCGCCTGGGGTCCTGTCGGCGATCGTGGCGGTAGTTGACCGCCAACCCCTAAGTTGTTTCCTATCTAGTGTTAGCTCGAAACCTCTCATGCGTTGATAGTTACTAGCCGCGCTTTGCTGAATCTGCATACCCAGTATTTTTAATCCGTGCATTTCACGAAGGAAAAAAAACATATAGAAGTTTCGGTGGCTCCCCCCAAACTGCTTTCGTTCCCAAGAAGCGCACCCAAGATTCTTCAAAATGGAGCTTCTCGATACCTCCAACTCAGGAAGTCACCTCACAGGCAGTCATGCTACCGTTGCCGGCAAGCCCGAGATGGGATCACTTCGGATACCATCCCGCGCTTTGCGCAATGTCATTGAACACCTTCCAACCGTCGACAGGCAGCGATTGAGGATCGAGAAATATATGGTGTTGTCTATGCTCATTCCCCTCAAGTAAGTACAGTACTTCGACTCATGTTTTGCCACACTTCGACCGCTGACTGTCGACACATAGCCTCACCCTGATGTACATGCTCGCGGATTACTCCAGATTCTTTTGGATTTTGCTTCCACTCATATCCTTCAAGTTCGCGGTAGACGCCATCGAGATCTCTCTCATTGCTATCTCATACTTTCTGCGACAATTTTCACCGCGCCCCACATCAGAGACTCCGACAACGCCTGAAAATTTTGTGTACTTGCTCTGTTGCTACAATGAGACTTATGAGGAGATAATGACCTCTTTGGATTCGTTAGCTGAACAAAAATCTGTGGACGCCCACCGAAAGGCCATCATCGTGGTTTGCGATGGTCGAGTGAGCGGCAGGGGTAGGCCTGGCACCCATCTGAAAGAAGAGATCATTGAGCGACCGTCAAGTACCCTCATACCCGAGGCCTACACTTCGTGGGATGGTGCTCCGATGGATGTCGAAGTCGTGAAGGGAGAATTCAGGGGGCTTCCAATTATCTGCATCATCAAGGACGAGAACCGGGGAAAAAGAGACGGAATCATCCTTGTCCGATCCTTCCTGCACAAGTTCAACCAGCGCAAATCTAAGCCTACGCCCTCGATGCATTCACCTGCACTATTCGACACGCTCGCCAACTTCCTTGAGGGGACATCCATTCAGTCCGTGGATTACGTCGTCGGCATAGACGCCGACACCAGATTTGATCCCGAATGCGTCCTCGGGTTCATTCAGACTGTAAGAGAAGGCGAACAGATTGTAGGAGTGACCGGAAACATTCGAGTGGACAACAGAACGCTGTCTCCATGGTCCATTGCTTACCTCTACCAGAACGCCGAGTACCTGGTTGGACAGCACCGTCGCCGCCTACGTCAAAGCGTCACGAGTAAGAGAGTGACTTGCCTTCCTGGATGCTGTCAACTGTTGCGAGTCATAGAGAGTACATGCGGTGATGACATCCTGCAAAAATTCGGATATTACCCGCGAGACACCGACGGCTTGTTCCGGACGATCCGATCCATGATGAGCGAGGACAGAGATCACATTTGTTTGGTGCTCTCAGAGAACGCTGATGTTGAGACACGTGTATGCCTCGCTTCACAAGCGTATACTTCGGCGCCACATTCGTTTTCGGTGTTTCTGAGTCAACGCCGTAGGTGGACGCTGGGACCACTTACGAGTGATAGTCTCCTTTTCAGCCGCAAGTCGACGGGTTGGATGGAGAGGGTAGCTGCGGCCACTTCTGTACTGAACTGGTGTATCAATCCAGCACTCTTCATCTCGAGATTTTACCGTAAGTACCGATGTAGCTGCCGTTGCTGATACTGTTCTGACAATCGATTCAGGGAAATGGGACCCAGTGAGTGCATATACCCTCATTCTCTTGTTGTACTATCGGAGAATCTGGGACTTCATAGTTGTTGTCATTTCTTCTCGCTCACCTCTCGAGTTTATTCAATATTGTGTCGGGTGTGTTTTGTATGAATATACCGTCTCCGTGGTCAACTTCATGACTCAACTCTATACCATATACAACCTGGACGACTTCCGATGGGGTCAGATGCGGAAAGCAGCAACCGAGAAGGAAACCCGCCTTCAAAAAAAAAGAGCATAATTGAACAGCGGCATAGATGGCGACGAAACTTGCATTGTATTAATATAGATGGGGACCATACTTAGATCATAATCATGTTAGTTACATACGCACAAACTGTGCTAGATGTAAATCTTGGAACACTGTACTTCGCTGCAACTTCTGCCCAACACGGCTCGTCATTATCGGTGTGCCCCAAGTGCAGCGATCTAGCTCTTGCTTGTAGTCAGCATGTTTCCTGTGGACGCTGCTCGAAGCTGAAGGCCTCTAATTTGCAATGCTATCTAAGTAATAACACATGCGTACTTCACAAGAGTAACGCACAATAACTGAATACCTACCATCTAATTAGAATATTTCTTACTCTACGTTAGCATGCAAACGTTAAGTCAGAAATGCGTCGCTGCTAGCTGGGGCTGGATCGCTGCACTTGACGGTCAAAATCTGCCGCCTACATGACATCCCATCGTACGGGAGAGAAATTACCTGAACCACACCTATCCAATCCTCAATCTGTCATAAGCACAGTCCTCCCACTCACCTCTCCTAGTCCATACCTATCCCTCAATTCTCAATCCTCCATAAAATCCACACTGTCCTCCCACTTATCCCTTCCCGTTCTCACCCCCATTAATCCCCTCCTCCCCATCCTCATACCCCACCGCCACGCCCACCAAAACCTCCACCTTCATCCCCCAAACCCAACTCCTTCTTAATAACCTAAAGCACCCCCTCACATCAGCACCTCATCCCTCCACCGTCTTTCGGGCGTTCTAACTCACCTCCCCATACCCCGCCACCTCTAGCACTCACACAACACGCGACCCCCCTCTCCCCCAACGCCAGACAAAAACTCTGCACCCACATCCCCACGCTCAACACATCGATCTGCGCCAGACAACTTTCCATGTAAACAACCACCCCGCACGGCGCGTCGAAGAAGCGATAATTCCGCAACTGCGCCGCCCGCATGCCTTCTTCGTCCTCCCTCGCTACATCATATCCCTGCGGCCCGTACAACTGTTTGCCCAGCGCCGAGCGATGATGCCGGTAGGACGGTGGTATCAGCGCTGTTGAAGGCGGGAGGTTTGCGGATTTGGCGGCGGCGAGCGCGGTGCTGAGACGCGTGAGGGCGGCGCCGGTGAGGATCTTGATGCGCCAGGGTTGCAGGTTGGAGTTGCTGGGGGAGAGGTGGGCGAGGGCGAGGGTGGATTCGAGGAGCGCGCGGGGGATGGGGGTGGGGTGGAAGGCGCGGGTTGAGTGGCGGGTGGTGAGGAGGGATGTTAGGGTGGGAGGGTCAGGCATGGTGATAAGTGGGTGTGGGATGCATGGGGAGAGGGGTTAGTATTTGAGTGTGAGAATTGGAGGATGAGTAAGGATGCGCCATTTAGTGCGATGTTTGGATGTGGTGAGATGCCTAATCAAGAATGTAAAGGGTGGTACGAGTTGTAGTAGGTTGAGTTACTTGGTGGACTTGTCACGATGGTATTTGTCATCAAAGAAGATGAAGACAGCTATCAATCTTGTGGACGGATGGAGGGATGAGACAAAGGATAGTCAAGGCACACATTTGATCAGTTGCGCATGATGTGGAATAGTCACACAACTTGTATTAAGCTGTTTAGATGGTGCTCAGTTATATTGAGACTAACACTGAAAGGGCAAAGTATCAACGTGCGAACGACACAACTTCTTACTCGGATCTCGTGAGGGACCGCAAGGAATATTCGGCGACTCCATTATAGAAAGTCTAGCTCCGTTGTCTTCATCACATCTGTGAAATCGCAAGCAGGCTTGCACTTGTTCTCCGCGTCTGGTGGCACGATAAGACTTCCTGGCGAGAAGCCTACTCAATGTGGTCGATCTTGCGCTTCTCGCTGGCACCCTTGATGACACCTGACAAGTCGACAACTGGGAAAAATAAGCATCTGTCTGGTTGCAATCGCATTGGTAGTACTTACGTGGCAAGTCGAAGGGAAAGTCAACGCTGGCAAGCATGATAGCTAGGAGAATGTACCATCCACACATGCATGTGACAAAGGTGAAAGCTCCAGCCGCCTCTTGACACTTAGAAGCGATTGCGGCATTGCCCTTGGCAGCATGGAGGAAGGCACCAGCGAGGAGACCGAAAGCCGGGACGAGGGTGAAGAAGATCAAGAAGAAGATCAGGTTGGTGCGGATGGAACAGATGAGGTAGATGAAGCAGAGTATGCCCATGGCGATCATGAAGTATGCTAAAGCTTTGTTAGTCTCCTAGCTATTGCTCGTAAACAAGCTAATGACTTACCGACACCGACATTGAATCCAACAGATTCGATACCTGTGCTAGTTTCGACTTGGGGGTTTTTGTATGCGGCGTAGGAGTTGTAAAATGGCTGAAGAGTAGCACCGTATCCGAGCCAGAAAGCACCGAATGAACAGAAGACAACGAAGGGGAATGTGTTGCCAAGAATCCACTGCTCTTTGTTAGCTCGTATGTCCGCAAAGATCAACAGAATTTCTTACTTCACCAACACCACCCAAGACCATCAACATGCCACCAGCAAAGAAGTACCATCCAGTACTAGCTGCGCCATTGCCACCGGCGCCCCTCCATCCCATGAGCGTCATGCTCAAGGGGAAAAGTGACAACAGAAATCCGATCAGGGCACTATCTTCATTAGCTGATGGAAAAATATGTTTAAGTTCCGACTTACAGTGGCGTAGGGTTACCAAAGGTCTTTCGTAGTTCACCCTTGACCTTGTTTGGTGGCGACAAGTACAGCTTCTCGAAAAGTTCAGGAGAAATGGAGATGCTGCCTGCTGTACGGATCTGTCTCAGAGCGGTATCTGAGTCCGCATTGTGATCAAGATGTTGCCCATAACCTATCAAAGTCAATCGCTGCAAGCAAGGCCATAATGTTGTATCTTACCATCTTGCCTCGAGAAGTCTTTCTCTAGTTCGTTGTTATGGTTAGCCATTCTGGAGAATGAGCCGTTGGCTGTTGATCCTGCCGAGAGAGTGTCGCCTTCCCTCGCTGATGATGCGCCGAGGTGTGTGTTGTTCGTCTCTCTGCCTGATGTAGCACCCAGGTGAGCGTTGTTGCTAGCTGTGTCCTGTGGAAACCCAGCGCCGTGGTTATTGAAGAGACCTGAGCCTGTAGAGTTTGACGTTGTGGTAGTCGTCTCGTGGTGGGTAGTCATCGTGCAAATTCAGCCGGGGTAAGGGGATTATAAGCTGTATGGACGGCGAAGGAAGAGGGTTAGTCGAATGCTATATGAGCAAGTGCGAAACCTTGGGGCACAGGCACATTTACACGATGGCGGGACTACCGGACGAGGGCAAGCGATCATCGATAGTATGATGAGCGCGTGCAGCCCATACGCTGTACATGCTTTGGCAGGGGAAGGCCAACCGCTGCGGCTCCGCGGTTGAATATTTGCGCGTCCTCAGTATTGGCGGTTGGCAGATCAGTCTAGACTAAACCTCGACTGGCGTGAAGCCTTCACGCGGAGAAGCTGGGGTAGTTCCGTCCCTACGGAGATGGCTTCAGTCTGACGAATCTATGCTTCCATCCAAATGAGCTTGTAGTTTGTGGCGCTGACAGTTTCATGCATAACACAGCTCTGCCTCTAAAGCAGACGTGGAATGTTTCAATAGACTAAGGAGAGTTCTTTGTGCATGACGAAATAACACAGATTGTCATCCCCAGCAATTGAGCTCCTTGCTAAGTGCTAGGTAGCCAAATGACCTCGGCGTCTTCGCATCCCGATCGGGGCGACTACCAATTCGATGGGCAGCTGGTGTAAGGAGAAGCTCGAGTCCCCATGACTGTAATGGCGAATAGGCTGACGGTGGTTAAGGAGCTAAGCCCGGTTGTGCGGAGTGAAGTGGAGATGAAAGCTCTCGAAACATCTTGATTCGTGCGGGGGTTAGCTCTAGATCGTCGGGTCGCGACTAACGACTTTGCGGGGAAGCATACTAAACCCAACGAAGATGCGTAAAACATAAGTCTTATTTCCAGGCGTCATAAGCCAGTCGAATCTGGTGCAAGTAAATGTTGGGGACTTACTCGTGTATGCGTCTTCAAGTTCCGTTAAGCAGTTCCTTTGACATCGTCCACAGACTGAGACGAGTCATTGCGGCTCTGCGCGGCTAGAATGACCCCAAAAGGAAACGGCGGAAGGACTGGCTTCCTGAGTTTGATTGACGCCGTACTGAACGGAGCAAGGCCTAGCAATAGTGCTCAAGGAACGGCGGTACAGTGGTTGCAAGATCGACGCAGGCGCGGCCAATTGCAGAAACAGCATGAGAGATATCTGCACTTTGCCCACTTTCCCCGCATGTCATCGTGTAGCGACTCGCATGTCATGAAGCGGTGGTGTGATCCATGGCGCGTTGTTTTGCGCTCATCCGAAGTGTGTCGGAAGAGGAAGCGGAGGCGTTCCGCGAGTGTAGCGTCCTTTCCTGAAATGGTGGTCTAGCTGCGCCAGCCTCAGCGGAGTGAAGGCCATAGAAAGTGTAGAAATGGCAGCGTACATGTGAGAGGATGGATGACAGCTCGAGATGTGAGGCACATTCAGCCGTCCATGTCCGCGAGTTGAGATGCGATCGCAGAGATTCAATGTCTCCACCAAGAACGATTTCATGGAACCATGCATCGGCGTACCTACCAACTGGTGGACGAAAAAACGGGCCCCATCCCAGCATGGGAACGGAGCCAGGGGGGTTTGCATCTCCTGACGCTCGTACCAGGCGCGACAAAACAAGGGCTGACCTTGACGGACCAGTGGCCAGTTGAGGTACTGACTAAAAGGGAAATGTGTCAACATGAGAAGGGCATCGAATCGTGTGCTCATGCATAGGCCAATCCCGTCCCGAATCCTTTCCAGCTCTTGCTTATCTGTCGTCCGATACTCCTCGTAGGGACCGATCTCTATTCCCCGATCTCTTTCGGCATGCTTTGACGGGTCTTCGCTATCGTTATGCTTGATGGGAGATTTCATGTGGAAACATTTCTATCCTTGAGGCTGATAGCGGTAGTTGGGGCTACGTGCAACTTGCTAATCGCAAATATAGATCGACATTATCGACGCTGCTCGAGCACAATCTTCTCTTCTTCGCTGACCACTCGTGGGTTGCAGCTTTCGATCGATCGATGTGTAATACCAAAAGCTGTGCAGATGTCTTGGGACATCCTAGATGGTGCTTGAGTTGACAATGTCTCTTGAACCGTGGCAGCCTGTTCCGAAGTTGCGGGGTCGGCCTCGATGGCAGTAAGGTGACTGCTTCGCTGACTGCTCCTAGCAAACGAGAGGATGGGCGCATCGCTTCGGCAGAGCACAGCATAGCAATCATCGCACTGGCCTTGCGCTGGCTGCAGAGATGTGAGTTGATTGCTGGTGAGAGAGGTTGTAGGCGAGGAACATTGAGGTATCGGTACTTGCACGTGTGTAAGGGAAAAAGCCACGTGGGCATGTGTCGCAGGAAAGAGTGCGAGAACGGCAGTTGCGACTGGTGGACTTTCAACAACTGACTGTCACGCAGCACAGACAGTAGGAAGAGGCACAGTATTGAAACGGTCAATTTTGAACGTGCAACTGCGTGATGCTCTTACGCGACGAGCTTCTCGTGATGCTTCATCGTCCCAATTTTGCTTGTCGCGAGGTCAACTCTCCTTACGAGCCTTGGCCTACATGCGAACGCAAGTGCTCGAATTGTAGGAAATCATCTTCAGTCTCTTTCCAAGTATGCCCGGATGCCGTCATATAGCGTGTCGCCCGAAACAATGGCAGCATCGGTGCCAGTTTATAGCAATGTCTTGCAGGCTCAAAAGATGCGAAAAGGTCTTTCCCTTAGATTGACATCATTTTCGTTCAAGCACCTCCTACCTCTTCAATGACCTTCTTCAGGTTCTGGATGTCATGGGCAAAGCGACCCAAGAACAGGCCATCGACACCTTCTGAGATCTTCGCAAAGGTGCCCGGTCCTGCACTGCCACCGTAGACGATTCTTACAACGCCAGCTCGTCCACCTGCCAGATTCCTGAGCTCTTTCGTGACGTTGACGACGTGGTCGGGATCCGCAGGCTCACTTGCGCCAATGGCCCAAACAGGCTCATAGGCCAGTATGACCTCGGTGTCGTCAGGCACTGCAGCCAGCACCGACATGACCTGAGGTTTGCACTCAGCGATGGCTGCACCCACGGCCGCAGATGCGACGCTGTGGTGTGTCCGCTCGCCAATGCACACTAGAGGAATCAAGCCGTTCCTCGCTGCGGCACCCGCCTTCTTCGCGACCCAGTCGTCCGTCTCGCCAAACTGTGCCCGTCGCTCAGCATGTCCAATCTCAACGATCCTCGCGCCAGCCTGGTGCAGTACGAGCGGGCTGACTTCGCCCGTGTAAGCGCCCTTGTCTTCCCAGAAGGTATCTTGGGCACCGAGCATGATGGAGGAGGGTTCGAGGATGCGGCGGGACTCGGTCAGCGAGACGAAGTCGGGGATGACGAAGAGGTCAATTCGCGAGTTCCAGGCGTCGCCGTCGAGCTGCAGCACTCCACGCACATAGGAGAGCGTGCTGGGGAGGTCGAAATACATCTTCAGGGACACGCCCACGATGCGGCGGGGCCGTGAGATAGGAGGCATGGCGGGTGGACTTGTAGAGGTTGTATGTAGGAATCAAGTACAACTTGTGATCAGGCCTTGGGCACAGTAACAAACACGTCAAGGGCAGAACTGCTGGCTTGTATTTCTTATGTCAAGCGTGGACCTGGTGGAGGATGCAGTGGTGGTTGCTCCCCACACCGGACTTGCCGCATGCGGAAAGCCGCACCACCTGGCCGTCATCTGGGGCAGGGGCAGCGCGACAAGCATTCTGCGGGGCCCGTCTCCAGCATTTGAAGCTCCCCGGGACCCGGAGGATGCGAGCTTTGCTCACTGTTCCGAACGTCTCGCGCCCAGATTCTCATGTCAACATGCCACGCTTACCGCCTTGCTCCCAATCGGACCGGAGCTGCTGGCCCGTCACACTGCAACGGGTCTTGGCAACCAAACAATGGCCGATGAAGCCTCCGACAACGCTAGCTGCTTATAACCCACCCTTCCACTAGAAAAGTACTCTCACCGTCATACTCGACTCGCCATTGCCCTTCGCCTTCACACTCGACAGCAAGAGCAGTGCTTTATGCAGCGGGTACTCGCAGATCGCTGGGCTCGCAAACGTTATTTCGGATAGTGCGTGGTTGAGTGAATTAACTGAGCGCGGGGTGCACAAGTACATCTGCACCATCCTTGTCGGTCAGCGCCGTGGGATACATACTCGCCGACGACGCCTGATCCGAAGACAGGACCCTGAAGTCGTTTCCTCACCTTCTTCCATTTTCTCTTCCTCGCCGCCATGCACATCTCCCAGAAGCTTGCCCAGGCAAAGGCCGAGGGCAAGCCAACCTTTTCTTTTGAGTTCTTCCCCCCAAAGACAGCCCAGGTATGTTACATCTCTCCGATGGACTCAACAATGGCGGGCTGACGACCTCAGGGTGTCCAAAATCTCTACGACCGCATGGACCGCATGCATGGCTTCGGTCCACAATTCATTGACCTCACCTGGGGAGCTGGCGGTCGCCACTCTAAACTGACCTGCGAAATGGTCAAAGTCGCCCAGACCGTATACGGCCTCGAGACATGCATGCATCTCACGTGTACCGACATGGAGAAGACGAAGCTCGACGAAGCCCTCCGAGACGCCTACCAATCCGGCTGCACAAATATCCTCGCCCTCAGAGGTGACCCGCCGCGTGAGAGAGAAAAGTGGGAGGCTACTGCTGGAGGCTTCCGCTACGCCAAAGACTTGGTCAAATACATCAAGGAGAAATACGGCAACCACTTCGACATTGGTGTCGCGGGCTACTCAGAAGGCAGTGACGACAATGACAATGTCGACGAGCTCATCGACCACCTCAAGGAGAAGGTTGATGCTGGCGCCACCTTCATTGTCACCCAGATGTTCTACGATACCGACATCTTCATCGACTGGGTGAACAAGGTCCGAGCCAAGGGTGTTGATGCCGTCATCATTCCCGGCATCATGCCCATCCACACGCACGCCTCGTTTTTGCGGAGAGCGCAATGGACGAGGTGTAACATTCCTCAGCACTGGACCGATGCTCTGGAGCCAATCAAGAATGACGATGTCGAAGTTCGTGAGGTTGGAAAGGGTCTTGTTGCCGACATGTGTCGGAGGCTGATCGAGGCGGGCATCACGCATCTTCACTTGTAGGTTGTAAAATCATACCCGCTGCGCAATGCTAACAGTAGTAGCTACACCATGAACCTCGCGCAAGCCACTCGTATGGTCCTCGAAGAACTGGATCTGCTACCCGACCCCGGGTCGCCATTGGAGAAGCCGCTTCCATGGCGGCCGTCCCTCGGTCTCAACCGCCGCGACGAGAATGTCCGCCCAATTTTCTGGCGCAACCGCAACCGCTCCTATGTGGCACGTACACAAGACTGGGACGAGTTTCCCAACGGTCGCTGGGGAGATTCTCGCTCGCCTGCTTTCGGTGAGCTCGACTCTTACGGTATTGGTCTCAAGGGGACCAACGAGCAGAACATCAAGCTCTGGGGCACACCACTCTCGATCAAGGACCTGTCAGATCTCTTCGTCCGCTACATGGAAGGAAAGCTTGAATCTCTGCCATGGAGTGAGCAGCCCATTACTGGTGAAGCTACCTCCATTCGAAACGACCTGATCGACCTCAACCGTCGTGGTTTCTTGACCATCAACTCTCAGCCAGCAGTCAATGGTGCCAAGTCGTCCGACCCCACCTTTGGTTGGGGCCCACGCAACGGCTATGTCTACCAGAAGGCGTATCTGGAAGTCCTCGTCTCACCTGAGTACATTGCCGAAATCATCACACGCATCGAGCGCGACCCAGAGTTCACTTACTATGCCGTAAACAAGGACGGCGATCTCAAGACCAATGCACCAAACGAGGGACCAAACGCCGTGACGTGGGGTGTCTTCCCAGGCAAGGAGATTGTTCAGCCAACCATCGTTGAAACTGTCAGCTTCCTCGCCTGGAAGGATGAGTTTTACCGTCTGGGCCAGCAGTGGGCCAATTGTCATGGTGGTGCTAGTCCTTCGAGATTCGTTATCCAGGATGTCGTGGATACTTGGTACCTTCTCAACATTGGTGAGTGGCTAGGTTTATGGCTGTACTGATTTCTACTAACACCTCATCTAGTACATAACGACTTCCACGCCACACGTGGCATCTTCCCTATCTTCGATGGCCTTCAGGTGAAGGACATTGACAAAAAGCTTCATAGCGTCAACATTGATCTGCCAGGAGCAGAGGAGACCAACGGAGCTAATGGTACCAACGGCGCCAACGGCAAAAACAGCGAGACGAAAGAGGCCTACGGAGAGGAGAAGCAGAACCCTGGCCTCCTTGCCGTCGCCAAAGCGGCTGCCATCGAAGTCACCAACGGCATCAAGGGCCTCGGCGTCTCCAACTGATCACATAGATGACGACTCACGATCTTACTGCATTCAACACGGCAAGACCGGTTACACACGGCGTTTTCCATTTCACATCACAACTCCACACGGTCACATATATGCACCGTCCGCCTCTTCAACCGGCACCCTGCACTTGCAACAAGTCGCATAATCTCACATTTCACGTATTGATATATTGGCGTTTTCATGGTTCTACTACTGGGTGTATGCACTCCTCAAAAATAGCATTGGGATAGGCGTCGATTCAACCTGACGACCCGTTAATGGCCAACGAAGACAACTTTACTGTCGCAATTTGTAGGCGGGGGGAAAAGTTGTTGCTTGATGACTTTCTAGAGATACCCGATCATGCCCTCAACGGCGCTGGTCAAACTCACTTGTTCTATCCACAGTATAATGAAATAAACATGTTAGGGCCTGGATGGCTCCGTGCGAAAAATTCTGTTGGACGGCTTGAATGCAACGTGTTGTGAGATATAGTATTGGCTTGATTGAATAGTGCTCTCATTGCCATAAACCCAGTACACAGCAAGCAACCCAAACACACTCGTACCCAACCTCTAAAACGCCCGTCCTCGTTCCCCCCCATCAACCTCGCCGCTCATACTCAGTCCAACCACCCCCATACCCCTCCTACGAGTTGAGGTAGTTCCTGACGGCGCCCTGCAACTTTGTCGCGCCCTCGCCCAACATGCTCGTCAGATTCTCCAGGTCGTCGCCAGCGGTGATGCCGAATTTGCGTACAAAGTCCTTGGCAGCGGTCTCGAGGTCGCCGTAGTCTTCCTCGGGCATGTCGTCTTCGGGGCGGCCGAAGTAGGCGTTTGAGGAAATGGAGGTTGCGCCCTCGAAGCCTGGTTTTTATTGATTAGCATAAGAAGTTTCAAGGAGTGGGGGAGTGATGTGCGTACCAGATAACCTCTCCTTGGCCGCACTCGTCGCGGACGGATCATACGCATTCCTGCCAAAGAACTCATCGCTGGAAATGCCCTTTTGCGTACCGAACTTGTCGCGGGCGTACTTTTGGCTCTCGTCCTGCGCGGGCTGGCCCACGCTGCCAAAGCCGCCCATTTTCTTCTGCTGTGCGGCGGGCTTCTTGCCTGCGCCGACCTGGCCGAATCCAAGACGTGCGACGCCCATGCCCCAATCTCTCCATGTCTTGACTTGAGCGCTCGGGCTTGGCGGTCGAGCCGAAGCCGCCGCGAGGAGGGGAGACGGGGGTGGGTGATGCAATGGCAGAGGCTTCTGGGACGCTGGACTTCGTGGCGGCGGCTTCGGCGGCTTCGGCGTCGGGGTCGTAGCCGAGTTTCTCGATGCGCTCTGCTTCTTCCCGGGCTTTGCGTTCGGCTTCTTCGAAGTCTAGGCCACCGTCCGCGGCGACGACTTTCTTTGCTCCCAGGCCCTTTTTCTTTGCGCCGAGAATGTTCTTCTTTGGTGCGGCGCCTGCGGTGGTCTTTCGTACGGCAGGCTTTGCTACTGGTGTAGTGCCTTCTGCTGCTCCTACGAGGGGTGACTTGGGACGGTCTGTTGCGTTGCCGTTTGCGCCAGGCTTGAGGAATGGCGATCCCGCGCGCGGTGTGCCAGTTCGTGAGGGAGGGTTCGAGGGGCGCTTAATAGTTGGCTTGTCCCATGAAGAGAAGAAGTCATCGTCGTCTCCAGCTGGGGTGTTGGTGCCATCGCTTCCGGCCGCTTCAGGGACATCTGTTATGACGACTTCGTTGGGGTAGCTGTGCCAGACATGTCAGCATACAACCAATTCTCCGTCAGCAATTGCCACAACGTACAGCTTAGCATCTGCAGCGCAGCGCCTGGCCAATTCCTCCTTGTACTTGGTCGCCGCATTGCTGGTGTATTTGGCCTTGTGGTCTTTGCTGGCAAGAGCTGCGGAACCGCCGTGCGATTGGAAGTACTTGGTCGCGCTCTCGTTGCCGCCCATCTTGAAAATGCGAAGTTGGTCCCATTGCCAGACTGTCTTCTATCAGCGCTTGTTCGCGTGTCATGGGCCGCGAGACATACTGTCGAGGTTGGTCGAGCGCACAAAGGAGATGTGGACACCCATGTTACGGTGGTTCGAGGAGCAATCGAGGCACAAGTAGATGCCGAAGGGTACTGAGCTCCATGTCGGGTTCTTTGCGCCGCAGTCGAAACATATCTGCCCATGAATGTTAACACCTATAGACCGCCCCTCCCTTTCTTAAGCCTACCTTGTTCGCGGGCTTCGACTTTAATTTGGCAAAGATGTTTTGCGACTGCGTCTTGGTTGCGAGGGCAGCCATGGTGAAGACAGTAGCAATGCACGGGTGAGTGGCGGAATAGGAGTTCAGGCGCCGCGGTGGAGATATTTGGTTGCCGTTCGGGAGTCCCACGATCTGGCCGCTGGAGTCTTGGCATTGATGATGCGCTTCCACCTGCAAGGTTAGGACCACCGAGCCTCGACTCGAAGCCAGCAACAACACAATGGTGATCACATTTACTGAGGCACGGGATGACCGTCACTATCGCTTATGCAGTCCCACTTCTATCAATCAGTCAGGCTGCGGTGTTGAAATACATACAGCACGCTCGTATCTCGTTCTGCGATTACCAATATCTCAGACGATGCATCGACTCAAGTATCCACCAGTCCGCCGCCACTGTGAGAGACTACAACGGAAAGCGAGCGAGTGGATACAATGGTCGAAGCTATACACAGTATCGCTGGGTTTCGACTATGACGGCAGGGCCCTGTGCATAGCTTCAGGTACCCTGGTCGCTTTCCATGGTAATTGACAACATGTAGTAATCAAATCGCTTTCCGCAAGGGCACTTTCAACCAAAGACGCGCTAATCTCATTTACAAGAAAGCAGTCGTTACTAATCGGCTTTAGGTCTCACTCACCTCGATTGACAGCTATCAATCGTGGCCCCAATCATCCTATCTCCCCCTCCATCACGCGCATACATGGAGCGAAGGAACATGAGGGGTATATCACTCCCCCATTCTACGTCATATCAGATAGCTTGTTTATACCACTCTCTTCTTCCTTAGACCTTCTCTTTTGATCTTCGTTTACCAGTTTCACTTGCATCACAATCAATAGCCATGTCTCCAGAAACCCAAACCATCCCCGCCCGCCGCGGTGCCGCAACCCTCGTCCGCCACGGCCAAAAGATCAAGATCATAAACACGCACGGCAACCAAGTCGTCGACACATGGGCCCTCGCCCTGCCCTCTTCCACCCTCTCCACGGCGTCCTCAAAAGCTGAGGCACCCATCTACCCCAACGCGACATCCGACTCGCCATCAAGATACACCAATACTTCCAACGCCGCTGCCTCTGCGCCCGAATACATGTCCATGTGCCACTGCCGCGCCTCCCTGCTCAAAATCACACCCGCAGTCGGCGACATACTCGTCAGCCAGAAGAGGCACCCGATAGTGAAACTGGTGGAGGATATCAGTCCAGGCGTGCACGACACGCTGATTGCAGCATGTGATCGATGGCGGTACAGTGAACTCGGCGTCACGGGGTATCACGAGTCATGTACGGACAATTTCTGGGACGCCGTGGATGCTTTGTCTTCGTCTCGTGAACTGAGCGAGGAGGAGCAGGAGGCGCTGAGAGATCTGAATAGTAAACTTGGCGGCAAGGTTCCGGATCCGTTTAATCTATTCATGAACATACCCATCACGCAGGCCGGCGAGGGCGCGAAGCGCGGAGTCAGTTTCGAAGCGCCCCTGACGAAGCAGGGGGATTATGTCGTGTTCGAGGCGCTGAGGGATGTCGTGGTTGTGATGAGTGCGTGCCCGCAGGATGTGTTAACGATTAATGGCGGGAAGCCTGTTGAGGCGCATTTTCAGGTTTATGACTAGATACGAATGTAGCAAATGCAACCTTCTCTAACACAGCTGAGGCTTGCCAGTGGATGTGCCTTTCTTCTTCCTCATAGAAAAGTATTGAGACATCAATACCACCCTCACCATCTCTCTGCGAGACTTGGTACCTTCCCTATCCGGCAAGTAAAATTCAGCATTGATTGCAGCAGCATTCCCGTGAATGTGCTTTTCTAAAACCAAGCCCTGGAGACGACAAAGCATGTAGAAAGAACATCTTTTCACCGGAATTCTGCTACTTTTGACACTGGATTTCAGATTTGCCTAATCTGGTATATACCGTGTTTCTAAGAGAGTTGGTGGAGTGAAGAGTGAGTGTAAGCAACAGGTACAGGACTGAGAGGTTGCGGACTTTCACTTGAATTCGCAGCATAGACTCGATAGTTCAGTTACTGCTTTTCTCGTTCGCATGGTATGCACTTGTCAACGAAGAATGAGGATGGTGTATACACATATTGACGCAAGGAAATCTCAAACTGTTCCTCAAAGACCTTCTTGGCTGCCATACCGAATTGAGTACACTGCCCGATGTCCAGAGCGAGTATGTGAACACATTCAGCTGTAGCGATCATGGCCCGAGCCTTCCAACCTTAAGTAGTCTCTTCATCATCGTTCTCGTCATCAGTCAGCCCATGTGGAGAGGTTGGCAATCGCGAGGATGTTGTGTGAGGTATCCGGAGGTAGTCACGGCATTTCGAAGGCGGGGATGGCAGCGCAATAGGTCTGGGGAGATGTGTAAGCAAAAGTCTCGCAGGCCGCACAATACAAACACGTTGATTCACAGTACTATCTGTCGCAATTCAAAATATTGCCTGTCGTGACTCACTGTGCTATCGGTTGCCAGATTCTCTGGATTCTCTGGAGCCTTGCACACTGTAGTGCTAGAAGGCCTGAACCGTGGTACTGGAAGAGTCGAGGTGTAGTGTCCAGGGAAGTTACTTCCCGGAGTCAATCTATATATGTGAGAGCAAGAGGCTCCGAAGTAGACTTATCTGAAAACTATAAGAACAGGATCATTAGCTGCTGCTTGTCCCAGACCGCACTGGTTTGCACGATATGATCCCCCTCTTTTACCAACGGCGCTTCGAAACGGCATAATTCTGTGTCAGCATGGTGACTCTGTCGTCGAGGGTTGGGTAGTCTACTCATTCCTATACCAATTAAAGAACAAGTATCTGAGCAGCATGAAGGTCTGATTCACGTAATCAGGACTGGTTTTTGGTATGTGGACGGCTAGGTTTAGCCTGGATCAGTTTGGGCATCTAAGCCGAACTCCTTACAGACTTGATAGAGATGCAGTGATAATCTCGTCACATTTCCTTTGAGTTTGCTCAGTCTCAACAATGTAGCAGTCACATTCAGATGGTAGATGTAGCTACCGTTTTTCGCAATTTTGAGGACAGGGTTATGGTAATCGTTCTGAGCGCGTGTAGACAGTATGAGTTGACAGTGCGATGAAAAATCCGATGAGCATGATCGTTCGAAAATGCTGGCACTCATACTGCAGGTCGTGGACTGTAACGGAAAGCAACCAGGCGCATTTGGCAGCCTGGAGCTGTACACAGTGTCGCTAGGATTCAATTGCAACAACAAGACTCTGTGTATAGCTTCAGGCTGTAGTACCAGCCGCTATCTTCAGCCTAATTATGTTCCGTTGCAGTTGACAAGATGTCGTAGATGCCATCGACAATTGAGGCATTAGGGGTCCATGCGGCATCCGAGGCCACACTAGCGTGCGCGAACCGAGGGTCCGCCAAGCCAGTGGGGCCAAATTTTTATTATCGATAGGAATTCCTCGAACTTTGCGCTGCCGCTTCCCACGACGACAACGACAACAACCTTTCGCTATAGCCGCCAATATGAAGACTCAGTGGAAAGATATCCCCGCGGTGCCGACGAGCCAGGAGTTTCTGGATATTGTGCTGTCCCGAACGTAAGTGGAAGGAATTTTGGTTGCCACACTTTGCGCCCACCACCACCTCTACCACCACCCATATCTCTACGACCTCAACCACAAGAACCTACTGCTAACAACGAGACAGGCAGCGTCGCCTCCCAACCCAGGTAAAATCAACTCAGGCTGTAAATCATGTAGAAATTGTGCTGACTTTGTTTAGATTCGAGCTGGCTTCAAGATCAGCAGAATTCGAGCTTTTTACACCCGAAAAGTCAAGTACACCGCCGAAACCTTCACCGAGCGCCTCTCCACCACTATCGAGGCCTTCCCTCGCCTTGCAGATATCCATCCGTTCCATCGTGATCTGCTGAACACGCTCTACGATGCGGATCACTTCAGGATTGCTCTTGGTCAGCTCTCCACAGCAAAGTCGCTGATCGAGACAGTCGCCCGTGATTACGTGCGTCTGCTCAAGTATGGACAGTCTCTGTTCCAGTGCAAGCAGCTGAAGAGGGCTGCGCTTGGTCGCATGGCCACTATCTGCAAAAGGTTGAAAGACCCGCTTGTCTACCTTGAGCAGGTCAGGCAACATTTGGGTCGTCTGCCCTCCATCGACCCCAACACCCGCACATTGGTCATTGCTGGCTTCCCCAATGTGGGCAAGTCGTCTTTCCTCAAGTCCATCTCCCGCGCAGATGTTGAGGTGCAGCCATATGCGTTCACAACCAAGAGTTTGTACGTCGGACATTTCGACTACAAGATGCTGCGATTCCAGGCAGTCGACACTCCCGGTATTCTCGACCACGCTCTCGAGGAGATGAACACCATTGAGCATCAGTCTATCTGTGCTATTGCTCATCTTCGCGCCCACATTCTGTACTTCATGGACCTTAGCGAGCAGTGTGGTTACTCTGTCGCTTCTCAAATCGCCCTCTTCAACAACATCAAGCCTCTATTCGCGAACAAGCTCATCTCCATCGTCATCAACAAGATCGACCTGATGCGCCCGGATCAGCTCGACGCAGAGACTCAGGAGCAACTTCAGGGTATGCTCAAGTCTGGTGAGGTTGAGATCCTCGAGTTGTCCTGCAACACAATGGAGGGCGTCATGGCAGTTCGCAACTCTGTCTGCGACCGCCTGATCGCAGCCCGTAATGCCGAGAAGCTCAAGGCTGGCACCAGCAGCTCTGGCGAGCCTACTGGCCGTCTGGGCGATCTCCTCCGCAGGATCCACGTCGCTGTACCTCTGGGCGGTGTCACTCGTGAGACTTCCATCCCGGAGGCAGTCTTGAACAGGAAGAAGTACGACAAGGACGATCCCGACCGACCAATGTTGGAGCGCGATCTGGAAGAGCAAGAAGGTGGTGCGGGTGTGTACAACATCGACTTGCGCAAGAACTATCTGCTCGAGAACGACGAGTGGAAGCATGACCGCATTCCTGAGGTGTTCAAGGGCCAGAACGTCTACGACTTTATTGACCCAGAGATCGAGGAGAAGCTCGCAGCACTCGAGGCTGAAGAGGAGAAGCTCGAGGCGGAGGGCTTCTATGAGTCAGAGGAGGAACTGGAGGACGCTGAGGAGGCGGACATCCGTTACAAGGCGGAGTTGATCCGTGAGAAGAGGCAGCTCATCCGCAACGAAGCTAAGATGCGCAAGAGTCTGAAGAACAGGGCTGTCATTCCCAGGTCCGCAAAGGCAGTCAAGTCGTCACAGATGGAGTCCCACCTGCAAAGTCTTGGTTACGACACCTCCAAGGTGGCCGAGAGGGCGCAGAGCCAGAACCGTGGACGTAGTCTGGTTCGCAACGATGCTATGGATATTGACAGGCCTTTGACCGCATCTGAGCGGGCGAAGAGCCGTGGCCGAAGCGCAAGCACCAACAGGAGGAACGATGGTATCACGAATGAGGCCGCTGCTACCAAGGCCGAGAAGCTGCAGAAGCTGTCGCAGAAGAAGATGAACAGGATGGCCAGACAAGGTGAAGCCGACAGGCATTCGACTGGTTCTTTGATCAAGCATTTGGTAAGTTTCGATCGGTGCCTGCATGACATTGCATCGGCTGACACAGACTACAGACGGCAGGAAAACGTGGTATTGGAAAGACCAACAGCAGATAAGCAAAGGTCTAGTAATGTCTCTCTGTTCAACTCTTCATCGCTTGGTGTTGCAGGCAAAAGAATCATGGATGGCGTTTTAAGGTGCATTAGATACCAGATCGCAGCCTGTTTGCGATCAAGGCAATCAAGATCATATTCTCTAACGGTACTTCCAATTTTTGGACTACATCCAGCTGCACCCTCCTGTTTACATTCTTGGCGGGGTAATGCGGACCCTTGCTGGACCCTCAAGATGTTGCGAAACTACTCCACCGGTCGGCATGCCATTCAAACTTCATCGTGAATCAATGCCAAGCTCCAGCACGTCTCATCAGATCCTGCCGGTACGTTATAGGATTCTACACAGGTAGGATTTCTCTTTCCTTGTCTGCGAGTAACGAAGGATTGATGTCAAAAGCGAAATGTGAAATCATTAAATCCCACGGCTGTCTGCTCCGCGCATCGGGCACGTGGACGCGAAAATAGCAACACCCTCAGTCTCAGCCCTGCGGGCGCAGCCGGTGTGGTGCCTGGCAAATTGCGCCCCGCTTCCGCCAAGCTGGTAACTGGTTTGTGGCGTTTTGTCAAACACGCAGGGCCCATGTCGTGGACAACTGCATCTGCAAGATACCACGATGCGATGAGATCAGTATTTTTTTCTGCACGCTGGACGAATTGTGCAGCTTGATTCCAGAACGCAAGCGCCCATGGCTGAACCCAGGTGCCGCAAAGCACCACAAGTCAGCACTTCACCTCAGCTCAACGTCGGGGAGCCAATCCTCACGGGACGCCTGAGCTAGCCACAAGTAGATATAACTCGTCAATGCGCCGCCCCCCAACCACTCAACATCGCGGCTATCGCCAAGCTGTCACCATAGCGTCCTCGAGTCGTGACACCGTGCGTGCTCCTAGCCCCCACTAACACTCTGCGCTGAACGGCGGAATGGGCAGTGTTTGGGGTCGATCGAGTCGGGTTGGGGGCCTTGGACTAAAGTGTACGGGACGGCGCACTTTAGAGTATCAGGGAAGGTCGTGGACAACCCGCTGTCACCTACCAAACTCTTTTTCTTCCCAACTGTCTGGTTATCTAGTTGTCGGTGGTTGATTATCTCGTCGCTGTTGTACTGTGCGGCCCCCTACCCATCTCAGCCGTGCTGATCGTGGAGATTTGCCCGAGCCTTTCTTGAGAATCTGTACAGAGGTCCACACCTTGTTGTCTGCCTCGTGCTGAGTGGGACGAGAAAATTATGTTCGGACTTGCGCGCGTTTGCGCTTTTGCGGGCGTTGCGCTTGCGACGACGCAGCCATGTATGTTGGGATGAAATGAAATACACAGGGATGGGAACCAGAGACTAATAAGGTTGTAGGGTTCGAAGACACACTCGTCGCTCGCGACCTCGAAATTCGACAAGATAAACCTAAATGCGATCCCAAGGGCTACACATCGCTCAACGGCCTCAACTTCACATCTTTCTGCGACCAGAACAACCCGTTTAACGGTATGCCCTATCCTCGCGACACCCCACCGCACTCGCTGATAATATCCTAGATGCGCAAGACCCCTTCAAAACCTCCACAATGGAGGACTGCATAGAGCACTGCTCGCGCTTCTGGGGCAAGCAAGAAGGCTGCTTCGGTATCGTCTGGGCCGGCAACGGCAACTGCTGGCTCCGCAACAGCACCACCAGCACCGCGGGCCTGACCCCCAGCCCCGGCGACCACTCCGCGCTCGTCGTCGACAACCAGATGAAGCCCCTCGACACAAAGTGCCCCGCGCCCGACGCCAGCGTCAACAAACTGTCTGGCGTGGACGGCATGGCATACACGATGAACTGCGGCAAAGTGATATCCGGGTTCGACGCATGTTTCTCCGACTTCCCCAAGCCGTGCCTCACGGAGCCGTACAAGGGCTTCTTCCACACGGAGACGATCGAGGAGTGTCTACGCATCTGCGTCGACCAGCAGCCGCTGTGTAAAGCCGTATCCTGGTCGCCCGACCTGAAAATCGGCTTCGCGAACTGCTGGCCGAAAACCGAATACTCCCAGGGCAGTCTGCGCTCGCCGGGCCCCACCGCAGGCGTCATCCACACGGCGACCATGACGCAAATCGACGCCGTGGACAGTAAATGCCCCGACAAGAAGAGCTATGTCAAGGAAAAGAACGAGTTTGAGATTCGTTGCGGGCAGACGAGTTCGGGGCTCAACATGACCAATCTGCACACGCAGAACCTGACATCCTGCATGGATGCGTGCGCGTCCAGCACACAGAAATGCGTGGGGGTGGTCTTCGACTCCAGCCTGAGCGGGGGCTTCAAGAATTGCTATTTGCAGAATACGACGAATACGGTGTCGGAGTTGGCGGTCGCGACATATGCGGCTATGAGTTCTTCATCTTCTTCGTCTTCTGGCTCGAATAACAACAACAACAACGGCAACGGGTCATCCAGCTCCTCTTCTTCTTCTTCTTCCTCCTCTTCCTCATCGTCATCAAAAGCCTGGATCGCCGGCCCCGTAATCGGCGGCATAGCCTTCCTCGCACTCCTCGCATTCCTCGCATTCTTCTGGCGCCGCCGCAAAGCGCGCTCCGCATCTGCCGTCGCGGAAAAAGACGGCCGTGAGTTTGGCCAGTACGGCGCGGCGCCGGCGTACAGTCCAGGCGGTGCCGCGGCTCCGACGCCAGGAGGTTTCTACGACCCCCCGCCGCATGCTGGCGCGCACTCGCGGTTTGCGAATGAGCCCGTGGAGATGAATGGGCAGGGCGGAGAGGCGAGGGAGTTGCCGACGACGGATAAGTATGCGCATGCGGATGCGAAGGCGAGCAGGCCGGCGCTGCAGGAACTGCCTTGATCAAATGATGACAGTGGAGTGAATGGAGTTGGGATTGGGGAGATATGGAGTAAAAAAGGAGGGTTAGTCATGTGTCCTAATCGCTGGGTGGGGTGAGAGCATTACGATGCAGGCCTCGTTTTCCTTTTTTGACTTCCCTCACGATATCGATCTACTGTTTATTAGCGTGTCCAAGATACCAATATAGTGCATAATCTCCAACACCTCTTTAACACATTGAACCCGCTTCATGAAAGTCTCGTGACTTGGTTGTGCATTATTTTGTTCCGCTGGCATACATGCGTTTCTTACATATCTACACAAAGTGCCCCCGCCCAAAAGCCCCAACACCGTGCCGTCCAATGCTACCGGCTCCTATGCCCGACGCCAGGTTGTTGTTGTACATGGGAAACGCCCCGAGGAGAGTGGTGAGTGAGAAGTACGCTAAGATGGACCAAAGTGGATGCTCGATCGGTTTGAAGAAGGAAGGAAAGCCGTCGCTCATGATAAATCAGGGTCGAAGAAGACCTTTCGTGTGAGCTGTGGGATGTTAGCATTGCTGTGTTTTGTGTGTTATTTGAGGGCAGACTTACAGCCCAGCCACCTGCCACACTCGCGCATATACCGGCGCTAATAGCCATTGGCCGTGTCCCCCGTGTGCTTTTGAAGAGCGCGCCGCTCAATGCGCCTGCTGCTATACTGTTTGTCGCATCGTGCTTCCCCCGGTAGTAGCCTATTGTGCTGTTCATGCCATTGTACACCATGGCGATCACACCCGCGCTGTTGCCCAAGAAAGGCCCCCGCCGCGTCACCGCGTTCAGCACGCCGTTCAGCCGTAACCGTGGAGGCATGCTGGGCGGATTCTTCTGCAAGCCTTCGGCAAGACCCCACGCACCGCCTATTGTGAGCGCGGTGAGGTACGACACGCCGGTGCCATAGCAGAGATCGTCGGACCAACCGCGGGACGGGAGGGCGGAAGCTGCGCCAAGATCTGCGACCGAGTCTTCGAGCGAGAGATAGTCGAGCGTGTCTTGGTTGAGGCCTGCGAGCGGGTGCAGCTGTGAGGGGTCGAGGATGAAGTCGGAGGGGTTTTGTATGGCCGTGTTGGGGTCGAATGGCGTGGCTTGGAAGGTGTCTTCTTTTACGAAATCCGACGATTGCGGCGACTGTGCGGGTTGCGCGGCGGGCTTGCGTCCCGTTATCGAGTCCCAGCTACGTCGTGTGTTAGCAATTGTATGTACAGCCCGGGAGATGGCTGGTGTTGATGTACATGGTCATCTTGGAATGTAGCCTGGTGAGTGGTGGAGGAAGAGAGGGAGCTTGCGCGCAGCAGTAAGAGGCTCAGTAAAGATCTCCCAAGGCTGTAAATGCTATCAGAGGCAGGCTATGTCGAAAAGTGGTCAGGCCTGGCAGGGTAGAGTTGCGCAGGCGATAGCGACGATGCGGCGGCGTTAGCGGTCATGTTGGTCGCCGCAAAGAATTTCGAGGAAACTCAGCGTCATGGGCACGGACCACCCCAATCGCTCTTTCCGAGCTCGGAAAGAAAATAAAACTTGCGACGTAAACACCGCGGCCAATCCCTTCACTAATCTGACGATCAATTGAATACAGTCCAAATGTCGCTGCCAGAGTTCAAGCAAAACTTCCTCAGGGACTGTGTGTCGGCCGACGCCCTCAAGTTCGGCACCTTCACACTCAAGTCCAAGCGCATATCGCCCTACTTCTTCAATGCGGGACTGTTTCACAGGGCTGATCTGCTCCGCTCCATATCCTCGGCGTATGCCAACACTCTCAAAGTTCATGGTGAATCAGACCCATCCTTCCAATGGGACATTCTCTTCGGCCCTGCGTACAAGGGCATCCCACTCGCCGCAGCCACAGTCGATAAGCTCGCTGATCTGGACATGAAGACGTACGGCAAGAAGAGCTACAGCTTCAACCGCAAGGAAGCCAAGGACCACGGCGAAGGCGGTAACATTGTGGGCGCGTCGCTCAAGGGCAAGAAGATTGTCATTGTCGACGATGTCATCACTGCTGGCACTGCTATCCGCGAAGCCATTGACATCATCAAGAAGGAGGGTGGTGAGCTTGTTGGTATCATTGTTGCATTTGATCGCCAGGAGAAGACTCCCACAGCGACCGACGACGACGGCAAGCCCGGACCAAGTGCCATTGGAGAGGTCAGGAAGCAGTACGGCATTCCAGTGCTCGCCATCTTGACGCTGGACGATGTTGTCGAGTACCTGAGGGGACTGGGTGGTGAGGAGGATCTGAAGAGGCTGGATGAGTACCGGGCGAAGTACAAGGCAAGCGACTAAGTCTCGCAGCTTCAACGACTTGATGAAATTGAGTTCTGAAGATAGACACAACTTTTGGAAATGACTGTGATCGTCCTACCCTTGATGCGATCACCCCCATTGCAAGCATGCAGAATGAGGGCAGCTAGCGAGCAGATGAAGCATGTGCTCTTACTTAGTTGCAAAGTAACACGCAGAGACACAAAAGTACAAATCAGCCGCAAAGCATGCATCCAACGTGGAGTGGTATGCAAGCTCAAGTAGCTGAAAGCCTGATCTGGACTTGGAAACTTGATGAGTAGTGAGTGTCGCCGAAGACATTATCCTTTTGAGAAACTTTCCAGGCAAGGGCACGACCAGACTTGGGGTTTCGTGCATCAACGTAGCTTCCCGAGTGACCGAGCGACCGTTGACATATCTGGGGCCTGAGCCGAACGAACCGATTGCATGAAGGCGCCGCTAGCGCAGCCCAGGAACCGTGACGCCTGCCCCTCGCGAATTACTCCGCACGGAATCGCTTACTCGTTCTTCATCTAATATACCTATCGATGTCTATTGCAATAGGCGCTTCGGCGGCCGCTATCCTCACCAGCACCCTGTAGTTCTTTCCTGCTTTTGGTCATGCTCCTTCTTGGCAAGGATGGGGGATGCCTGCCGCACAGAAACGCGAGGTGTCCTGAAAGAGTGGCCCTCGATGGGTAGTCCATGTGAACAAAACCGCCGGCGTGAACCTTGCTGACCGTAACTGATACTCTTACCTTGATTCTTCTCGACTGCATTATTCCTAGATTCTTTTGTCGCATGTCGCATGTCGCATGTCGCCTCAGTATTCTCACAATCGTACACTCTAGGTCTCGCAGCATCGAGCTCGCAGCGAGTGCCGACCCACGATGGGCAAGATCAAAGTCGGCGGCGGCGGGCGACCCTACCAAGCAATGTCGAGACAGCACAAACGAACCCTCACATGGCTCCTGCTTGGGACCATCGCGTTCGGCGCATACTACATGTGGTCGGCATATCCAGACCGGCTTGCCGTACCCTTCGCATCGCACGAGACATATATGAACACTCGACAAGCTCAAAGTCCGCTCAAATCACAGCAGTCCTATGACTGGAGACAGGCGCCCTTTATCAACAAGATCAAAGAGTACATACCGCTGCCGCAGCAACCCGTTCGAAACCTCCCGCAAGTGCAGGCCGACTTCCCTCCCGAGACAAGGTCACAAAGACGGTGGAGAGAAGAGCGGAGAGTAGCTGTCCGGGATGAGTTTCAGCGCTCATGGGAGAGCTACAGAGAGTTCGCATTTGGATTGGACGAGCTCCTGCCGGCCACGGGTGGAAGCGTAAATACATTTGGCGGCTGGGGCGCCACGTTGGTCGACTCGCTCGACACGTTATGGATAATGGGCTTCAAGGACTACTTCTACGAGGCTGTAGAGGCGGTGGCTGTGATTGACTTTGGCAAGTCAGACATGGAAAGCATCAGCGTCTTCGAAACCACCATCAGGTACCTGGGCGGCCTCCTCAGCGCATACGATCTGAGCCAGGAGCCGGTGCTGCTGGAGAAGGCTATCCAGCTGGGAGAAATGCTGTACAGAGCTTTCGATACCACGAATCATACCCCACTCGGCGGCTTGAATATCGAAGATGCCAAGAACACTCATCGCTCTGAGTTTCCGGCTGATATGAACCTTTGCTTTGCATGTCTTGGTTCTCTCACCGTGGAGTTCACGCGCCTGGCGCAAATCACAGAAAATAAAAAGTACTATGATATCGTAGCGAGGATCAGCAAGATGATGCGCCATGCACAAGACACCACCCAAATGCCAGGGCTGTGGCCCACGACCATCAACGCTGCGAAAGAAGACTTCAACTCATCACGTTACTTCTCCATTGGAGCACTCGCAGACTCGACATACGAGTACTTTCCCAAGATGCACGCGCTCTTGGGCGGCGTAGAACCAATCTACGAGAAACTGTACAAAGACTCTGCCGCCATGATTGACAAGCACATGCTCTTTCGCGCCTCAATCCCAGACGAGAAACTCGGCGCCGACCTGCTCTTCTCCGGCGACGTGTACTCTCCCAGTCAGGGCGAAGCGAAACTGAACACCGATCTCCAGCATCTAACGTGCTTCATCGGCGGCATGTTCGCTCTCGGCGGGCGTCTCTTCCAAGACGAGCACCACGTTGACCTCGGCGCCAAACTAACAAAAGGATGTATATACACCTACGCCGCCTTTCCAACCGGCATCATGCCCGAGACCTTCTCCATGATGCCCTGCGACAGCCGCTCTTCCTGCCCCTTCAATCACACCCAATGGACCGAAGAGAAGCACGAGACGTGCACTTCACCCGCCACAGACGATACCACTTCCGAGACGAAGCAATGCCGCATTCCCCCAGGCTTCATCGGCATATCCGACCCCCGCTACCTGCTCAGACCAGAAGCGATCGAATCTGTATTCATCATGTACCGCATCACTGCCGACCGCGCATATCTGCATCATGCATGGGACATGTTTATATCGATCGTCACCGCATCTCGCACGCCGTTTGCAAATGGCCAGGTGCGTGACGTCACATTCATCCCACCGACGATGCCGGGCAATAAGGTCCCTGGTGTCCGCGGCCAGATGCGCACGCGCGAAGACAATGTGGAAGATAAAATGGAGAGTTTTTGGACCGCGGAGACGCTCAAGTACTTTTATCTGGTGTTCAGTCGCGAGGATATGATTAATTTGGACGAGTGGGTGTTTAATACGGAGGCGCATCCGTTAAGGCGGCCGACGGTTGGGGACTGAAGCATATACCGAGGGGAAGGGATGCGTTGACTTGTATATACAGTTGGTGCGGCATTGAATGGTGTTTGGCGTAGAATTCATTCCTAGCATTACAATTCCTTGCGTTGAAGAGTTACTCGTTGCATTATCTACATCTCCATCTCCACCCCATGTATCTCTCTATTCCTCCCTCTCCCCCCAAACATCCGCCTCCTCCCTCGCCACCGCATCTAAATCCACGAGTCCCCCACTCGACCTGCCCTCATACTCCTCCTCCTCCTCGTCGTCATCATCACTTTCCTCCTTCACTTCATCCCTACCCCAGCCCTCTTCCACCTCGGGCACATACGCCGGCGACACGGGCACGAAGTCGTCCATGAGGTTTGACGGCAAGCCAGCGGGCGCGGGGCGCTTGGACGGCGTATTAGACGGAGAAAGGGGCATCATTGACATTTCCGGGGCGCGAGAAAGTGCTCGTTCAGGCTCAGGCTCTGGTTCTGGTGCTGGGTCTCTTGGCTGAGGGGGAGGGGGAGGGGGAGGGGGAGGGGGAGGGGGAGAGGTAGTGTCGATGAGATTCCGCGGAGCAGCGTCTGACCTCTCCACCTCCCTTCTATCTACTTTGTCCTCTCTCGCCACACTCGTCCGATCCACGCCCTGCGTCGCCGGCAGCTTCGCGTGGTGTTCCTGCTGCTGTTGCTGGGAGAAGGGGAAGATGGAGAATAGCCGTCGAGCTCAGACTGTGTCTGTTTAGTCCCGCGGGTCTTGCTATCTCCAGGCTCTTGTTTGCGGGTCGTGATGGCGGCGGGTTCGATGCAGAGTGGGAATGCGAGACGCGTGGGCTGGGCGGTTTTTGCACGGTCGTGGCTGGGAGATCGGCTTGGCACATTTCGCAGGCGGTGAGGTCGGCGTGGTTGAGGAATGTGCAGCGGGGGCATTGTTTTTTTGGTTCGGGGGTGGAGGGGCGGTGCGGTTGGGGTTGGGGTTGGTGTTGGTGTTGGGGGCGTGGTGGTTGTCTTGGAGGATTGGTTTGGTTGGCGGGCATGTCGTAGCCTGGAGTGTATCTTTGAGCTGGTTTTGATGTGGAACGGCGTTGTTCTTGTAAAGTAGAAGCACTGGGCTTTTTCGATGGTCCTGCGGGAGTATTGCTGGCTGTATTTGGATCGATGGAGATGACAACCTGAACATCCCTTTTCGTCCCACATTTGTTGCACTGACACTGTCTGGACATAGTCTTCGTGTAAGTCTCCTGCACGTCCGCTGGAGCATCGAATCTGATTTCGAAGCGACCGGGCTCGCCGAATCCATCGCTTTTGCTGCTACCACTTGCTCTCCAGCCCTTGGCGTTTGAGTAGCCGGCGCCTTTGGCTACGATTGGCATGATGGGATCCACGGCTCCGAAGATGAGGTGGTCGACAAATGGCACAAGCATAAGTGTGCCGCTGTTCTTGATTCGCATATCGACTTCGGGTCGGAGCTCGAATTCGTCGATGGAATGGAGAACGCGGAAGTACTTGTTAAACATATCACCGTAAAACTTCCTTATGGCGACACCCTGCGCCAGCAACTCATGGGGTAAATTCCGCGGCGCCGGACTCGGCCAGAGAGCGTCAATCAAATGCTTCTCTTTCAGCGCCTTGCGAACCATAAGATCCAGCCTCGCACACTCAAACAGCTTCTTCTCCAGCCGATCATGAACTTCGTATTTTGCGAATCGAATAACCAGCCCCCTAATAAAGCTAGCATCCAGATTCCACTTTCTCGTGAAGTAGTCCAAGGATTCCAGATCTTTCTGCGCCTGCGCATTCGCGGGCCGAACTGTCAACGGCGACATTTCGTGGCCCATGTTGATCCATCGTGGGAGTTGGCGCGGGTCTGCTGTTGCTGTGGACCAGAAAGATCGGATGGGTGCATATTCCGCTTTGAAGTAATTGTAGATAAAGTCCAGGAAATCGGCCTCGGTCAGAGGCATCGCGGCGTGGCCGCGTGGGATATCCATGGTGTCCGTCGACGGTTGAGGTGGCGAAGATCGCAAGTTGGTAGAGGTTGAGGTAGGTCACACGACGCGACTTTGTAGCCCGGGAAAATATATACAAGAAAGAAAGCGTTTGATACGATGTGTGGCAGCGAGCTGGAAAGTTGTTCGGATATCTAGATTAAGCGACCCAGATATGTGCAAAAAACTGCTGCCTTGGGAACATGAAGAAGTGTACGTGTACTGGGTCAAGCACGGTTTTGATCAAATGACGATGCCTTGACCATGACTGCGCCACACCTCGTGGACATGTGGAAAGCCGTAGAAACCCACTGTGAGTGGTGCGTTGGAAAAGAGTGTATTTGTGACAAGGCCTAGGCCGCCTACGTCATTCAGTGGCGGTGCGCCACTAGGTGCTGTCATGGTCGTGCGCGCTCTGTTCAAACTCAACCTACCGTCAAAGAGTAGCGGGTATCTTATATACGTGCCTGAATAGACTTGATAGTCTCTGAGTACGTAACGAAGAATGGAAATAACTTAAAGTCAGACAGCTCAACTTTACCCCAAGATAGTTCTTACTACACCTAGTGGCGCCATGCGCCCGCATTTTCTTGACCTCCGTTTCCTCTTACAATCACAGGCCACTCACGATGCTCGCCTTTGAACACGCACACGCGACAGCAAGCCTATATAACACTACTGAAACGTATAATTAACAGAGCATAAGATCTGCCCCACAAATTGGCAAAACGTCATCCCCTGCATGAACTATATGGAGCGTGCCTTAATGCAGTTCGGAGAGTCTGCCCGATTTAACCAGCCAAGAGATGGACGCCAGCGACGCACCACCTACGTATAAGAGATGGAGGAGAACGCCGTTGCAGTTTTCGCTCCATACACACGTCTGTTACAATTGACTTTTACCCGGTGGTATCTGACATATCGTTAAGTCCGCGGAATAGAAACTACAAAAACACCCCGCAACTTGCCATAATCTTTAGCATTGATTGCAAAGGCAGAGCTTGGAATAAAGATGCCAACATACTTCATCAGCGGAGCCAACCGTGGCATTGGCCTCGAATTCGTGCGCCAGCTCGCCTCCAAGAGCTCGAACAACATCATCGCCGGCGTGCGCTCCAAATCCAATGACATTTCTGAGCTCGAGGCCCTCAACACCAGCAAGAACGTCCACATCATTGAATGCAACGTCTCTTCGCCCGATTCCCTGTCCAGTCTAGAGTTCCGTGTCGCGGAAATCTTGTCCCGCACTGGCTCAAACCTCGATTTCGTCTTCAACGTCGCAGGCATAAATGCCACATCTACAGACACCTCCCTGACCCTCACGCCAGAGAGCCTACAGAACCACATGCAAACCAACGTTTTTGGACCCGCCAGCGTCGTGCAGTCACTCAAGCAGTACCTTAGGCGCGGCGCTACGATTCTCAACATGACCTCTGGCCTGGGCAGTTTGACGGTTGCGACTGATGTAACGAAGTGCTGCACATACAGCATGAGCAAAGCGGCACTGAACATGCTGACGCTGCATCAGAGCAAAGACCTCAAGAGTCAGGGAGTGAAGGTCATCTGCATGGATCCTGGCTGGGTGAAGACGAGGATGGGAGGCAAAGGGGCGATGATTGAGGCGCAGGTTAGTGTAAGCAGCATGCTGGACGTTGTCAAGAGGTTGAAGGACGGCGATAGTGGGAAGTTTTACAGGTATGATGGAAGTATTGTACCTTGGTGATATATTCGGTACCTAGATATGACCATTGTAGCACGAATTACATGGCCCGGCGCTTCTTTCATGGATGTTTCGTTCCCAATCACTCATGGTCATCTCAATGCTATTGTCCTGCAAATAGTCAAACTCTGCAATCTGACTCCATCGTTGCGTCATAGTTTCCAAGTTCTCTGCACTTTTACCACGTGCTTTTGCTGACTTCAAAACTAGCATGAGCACCATGTCTTCGATGCACTCGAGTGCGGGATGGAAATCGTCTCTTTTGGCGTAGACCTCACACCCCAGCTTTGTACGCTTCAGCACACCTTTCGACAGTAATCTTTGCTCCCTGGACCTACCAGCAATCTTGACCTGACGACAGAATACATTGATCATAACCGTCATGGAGACATGTTCCTCGCGAATAATGAGACGCTCTCGTTCCACGATCACAACCTCAACTCAGACTTTCTGGATGACACGATATCGGCTTGTTCTAGCGAGTATGACCTCAAGAGACGTGAAAATTTTGGTGCGACTAGTATCGGGATTATGACGTTCAGTGTGAAGGACTTTCTCCACGCAACGAAAAAGATGGACATTTCAATTCTCACAAAACCACCTGTTTAATCCGAATGATTCGAATAACACGAACAGTCTCACTGGGACGGCCGAACCGTCCAAAGCCGTTACATCCACTAAAACGGCTCGCCTAACACTTCGATCAGTTTGGCCAATCTTGCGACTAACTATTGACGATAGTCTTATAGTTTTTCTCAAGCACGTCTACTCTCGTTCTGGGTCTTCTTCAACTCCATAGGTTCGATCATGGAAAGTGCTCATCGACTTTCTTTTTTGGCTTGCTCATGTCTTTAGCGCCAGCACGACTATAAGTTTACACGCGCACTTCGCGGCAGGGCGCCCCTTGACAATATTTTCATTTGCAAACGTATAGTCAGTGTGCTCAAATACCTTGCATCTTCTCTCTGAGATTATTTATGATTTGTAGATCTAGTTACAAACTAAGATGGTAACGATCGCAACCCAATTTCGACCTCGTATGAATTTTGTTAAGTAGCGCCTTGTAGAAATTAACTTTAAGGAGATGTAAAGATAACTTACCGCACTCTGCGGATGGCGCACGGATCAGGACGTCTGCGGACGTGTATGGCACAGACCGCTACTCCAAGATGTCGACGTATACGTCGCTCACCGCTGATTAGCCAACACCCAACAAAATTGCTCTTGGCTCGCGTCGGCCTCAGAACAACATAGAATGTTTACAGGGTAACTCTGCTCGTTTTCAAATTTCCATCAACCTCAAAATGTACGTGTATTTGCGCGCGCCCTAGCACTCGTGATAGCAGACTTCTTTTCACTTCTTCAATGGCTTTCTACTAGTATTGTACTATTTTGTCTCCACTTCTTTCAGATCATTATTTGAACACTATGTGCATTACAGCACTTTTCATACGACAATCGTAAGTGCTCTTCTTGACTGTCTGGTATTGTCACAACCACTATTCCATTTTGCTCACACGACGACGACTGACAGTGAATGATAGTAGAGCCCGCTGTTCGCGCACACTTCAGCCTAGCCACTTTTCATCTCTACTAACCACAACGCTCGATACGATACCCTTCCAACCGCCGAAGCCTCATTCACGTTCGATTTGGCACCACACCCTTCCTTTTTAAGAACACGGTCTTCAAGACCTCTCATTCCGGTCTCAACCACAACCCCCAGAGCTAAGAAATCACCGCCGCCATGTCACCCCAAGCGTCTCTGAGGAGAGACTCTGCGTCGCCCACCCCCAGCTCAACATCCTCCGTCTTCTCAACCTCAACCTCAAATATCCTCACTGCCGCCTCAAGTGTCATGTCCGTCTCTCCAACTCCTACAAAGCAGCACTCTCCAGGGCCGGCATCCGCATCTGCATCCGCCCTACAGACTGCAGACCCGATGTCGAAACCCTCTTCCGTGCAGAAGCTCGACGTCACGACCAACTTCTCCTACTGCACCCCAACATCGCTCGCATTCTTCAAGGAGCTAGCATGGGAGCAAACGCCCTGGATCCGGCGCTCCACTAACACCAAGATGACTAACCCCATCCTCCCAGAAGACGCCGCCCAGATCTCAAAACACCTAGAAGTTGACCAAGAAGCCATCGAGCACGCGCTTCTCTTCGGCTCAACATCAACAGATCTGCAGCTCTTCGTCATCTTCCCGCACGCCACCGACTATGCGGTGATCAACGAGCGCTTCCTGACAATTTGGCACGACGAGATTGTTAAACCTGCCTTCGACCGCGCGTGGAAAGACAGCGGTCTCGTACGCATCCATGGCGCCATGCTCGAGAGCAGGGTGCGCATCCTTCCTCCCAAGGGCGTCAGGACGGAGAACGACGCGCTGCCCGCAAGCGACATAATTCGGCGTTTCCGTCTGAACTCGACCCAGATACATGCCCAAAACTGGCCGTCCGGGAACCCCGCGATCATGCATGACGCTTGGGAGTCGATTGCGGGTATGCTGCGCGGGTATCCTGGGCTGGAGGAGTACCAGGATCCGAAGCTACTGGCGGTGTATCGCGCGGGGATTGATCTTAATGAGAAAATGAGCACGCCGGATTGGTATGAGATTGTAAGGAGGGAATGGGATGCGGACATGGACGGGGAGTATGTGGTTAAGGGGAGCTTTGGCGTACTGTTAAAAACGAGTCTGGGAAAGAAGAAGGATGGGACGGCGGTTGTTCAGAAGAAGCGCAAGTCGACGAGAGGATACGGGGATGAGGAAGAGAGTAGGAAGATAGGGAATGAGGAAGACAGACATCAAGCCAAGCGCCGCAAGGTGGTTGAAGACGTCTAGAGAGGTTGAAGTTTTGGGGAACTGTACGATATACATGTAAACGGCGTTAGTTGGTCATTCGGCGATCAAGACCCTGATAGTCTACGAGGTCATTGCCACTTTCCTTGGTATACCATATTACAGCAACCAGAAGCTGTACGAATCAAAATTTGCACACCAACCCACTGACCTCACCGACTAAACAGCGCAATCCCATTCTCACTTCCCCCAACTTGTACCTTCATCCCCGCCTTCCCATAAAACCCGCGATTTTTCTCTCCGCAAAGTACACTAGCTACCACGTCCTCACCCTCCCTGCCCACGCCCCATTGCGCCAACAATCTTCCCACGCCTTTCCCTTGGAACTCAGGGTCTACACCACATACAAACAAGTCCCAACATTCGGCACGATCACCAGTCCAATATCTCTTCGAATCAGCGACGGCGTTGTCAAGGAAGGAAATGCGTGACGGATCCGCGGCGCGGTTTGGGAAGATGAAGAGGGAGATAGTGTGGTAGGATTTCAGGATGGGGGCGATGAGATTACCTAGACGATTTTGAGAACTCAATATCACATTTACACCAATTTGCCAAGTTTAGATAGAGGATCCAAATTACTCACGTGGATCCACCCTCCCCAGCTCCATCCTCTCCCCACCCCTACCCAGTCTCCGCCAATTCGCCGCGCCGACGACTTTCTCCTTTCCACCTTCATTTGCCGTCACGACGATGAACTGGTGTCGCCAGTCCCAGAAGCGCTCGCGAACGCCGCGGAGTAGGAACCAGTACACATCGTCTGGATACTGGCTGCGATGGGGGTGCATCATTTTGCCTACGATTTCGTCGTCGAAGAATGCCGAGGTCCAGATTTGGGCTATGGAGTTTAGGTCTGTGATACGAGCTAGTCGGAGATTGTACTGAGATGTTGAATTGAAAGACATCTTTCCTTTGCTGAGGTCCTTGATTGTAGGTCTGTATCAGCTTTCACACGTGGATGTGAAGTGGGAGTTCGCTGGACTGCTTTTGAACACTGATGCTTCTGACTATGCGCCGACGGTCTCGAATACTCCGCATTTCAGTCATGAGGTCGCTACATATAATCCCTGCGAGGCATGCTGGGGAAGTGGGAGAGATCATCCGCAGCCCCACATTCCAAGCATATGTACACACAGTACCAAGACTTCCATTGATCCAGTTCTACAGAATACTATCGATTATGATTCACGAGACTGTAAATTCATATGTCAGTCACAGCATTGTACATGAATCTTCCAGTATGCTAGAACTGCAATACTACCTCAATCATACCACGAACGCATGATACTGCGATTCTAGATCGCAAGATGCTTAGACGCCTTCCACAAGAGTACAGCAAATCGGTACGAATTTGCTTATAAACCGACCTGTATCCTGATGATCGGTCGAGCCTTGCTGTCGGTACCGTGTAGCTGGATCGGGTGCAGCCGGCCATCAGCCCTAGTGATATCTAGCCACTGCTTTGCCAACGTACGTATATCATGGTTTAGCCGGCGATATTGAGGGTACCGATGAGTGTGCTGTGTTACAGCATGGTGTGTATCACTTCAGTATGCATGGCGTAATCGGTAGTCAGACATCTAGAAGTTATTGGAACTGAGATAAAGAGCTGACGCCCGGTTTGGTTGTAGTTTATTCGTCTGCTTGTGCCTGTGCCTTTTCAATTCACACGGGTTTTCACGATGATGGAGGTCAAGACAGCAGAGTTGCACATCGCTACTGATCCGCACCGATATGAGGAAGGCGAGCCGCAAATGATGACTGAAAAGGGCGCTACGACCGAGGATACACGCGACATGCTTCGGATGGGCAAGACGCAGGAGACACGCCGTAATTTTCGATCCGCCACTATACTCGGTTTCTGTTTGGTTATATTGTCGATGTGGGAGACGATGTTGGCTACATCGGTCTTCGCTCTCTCCAATGGTGGCACCGCCGGATTGATTTGGGGATACTTTATTGTCATGGCAGGGTTCGGATTCGTTGTAGCGTCACTGGCTGAGATGGCCTCTATGTGAGTTTCACGCTTCGTTGGCGTGGCTTTGGGCTAACGGTTCTCAGGGCTCCGACAGCAGGTGGACAATACCATTGGGTTAGTGAGTTCGCACCATCAAGCTGTCAGAAGTTCCTCAGCTACATTGTTGGCTGGCTGGGAGTCTTGGGATGGCAAACCGCCGCTGCGACTGTTTCGTACCTGTCAGGAAAACAAATCCAGGGGCTCATCAAGCTGAACAATCCTGACTACGAACTCAAAGCCTGGCATGGAACAATGTTGATCTGGTCTGTCCTTGTGATCTGCTTGATCTTCAACACATTCTTTTCCAGACTACTACCGCTGGTGGAGGGCGTCATCGTTGTCCTTCACGTTGCAGGCTTCTTCGCGGTCATAATACCGCTCTGGGTCATGAGCGACAGAAGCCATGCCTCGGGTGTCTTCACTTCCTTCGAGGATAATATGATGTGGGGCAATCTTCCGCTGGCGGTCATCATAGGCCTTACTGGAGCATCCAGCACCTTTGTGGGAATCGAAGCAGGAGCACACATGGCCGAAGAAGTACGCAATGCCGCACATGTCATTCCACGTGCCATGATGTGGACATGGCTGGGCAACGGATTGCTTGGATGGATCATGGCCATAACGTTTTGCTACTGTGTAGGCGATACTTTGTCGGTCCTTTCGACCCCACTGGGCACTCCGTTCATCCAGGTGTTCCTGAATGTAACAGGTTCAGTCGGTGGTGCTACCGGTCTGACGGTGTTGATGCTTGTCATTGCGATTTTTGCCTGTGTTGCGGTCATGGCGACAAGTTCGCGCCAATTATTCGCATTCGCTCGCGATAATGGCGTGCCTTTCTCCAAAGCCTTCAGCAAGGTAAGTGCATTGCTACTGTCATTGCGCTGATCACTGATTCTCCCAGGTCTCTCCAACGCTGGAGGTACCAGTTAATAGCGTGTATGTGACGCTGCTGTTTGTCGGGGCTATCTCCTTCATCAATATCGGATCGAGCGTCGCCTTCATGCAGGTCATTTCCCTCGGTGTCGCGTCGATGTTGACGTCGTATCTCATTACCATTTCTTGTGTCATGCTGAAGAGAATCCGCGGAGAGCCACTCCTGCCGTCAAAGTTCGATCTGGGGAGGATGGGACTACTCATAAATATTGCAGCAGTAGTATTTCTGCTGTTTCTCTGGATATTTACTTTCTTCCCTGTTGGCCCGAAACCTACAGTGGTTGACATGAACTGGGCGTCATTTGGGTATGGCTGCGTCATCATCTTTGCTGTGGTATACTACGTTGTTCGTGGGCGCCACATATATGTCGGCCCTGTAAGATACGTCAAAAAGGAGTAGAAGCATCAATAAAGTATGTTGCCGTGATGGTGTTGGGGCCATCAAGAATACACGAAGATTCGCGCGTCTCACAAGCGCGCCTTATCATCTTATCGCCTTATCTCCTTATCGGCTTGTGGTGAGGACGCGATGCGCGAACTGCACCGACTTGCCATCAGACCGCGACGAATGCCATGCCGGAATTCGAGAACGACGGACTGAACCCACGAACTAATCTGGCATTTGATTTGACAATGTCCAACCAAGTGGTGACGCGAACGACGCGGTCACGCGCCGGGCTCTGTACCCCGCGAAGCATGATAGGCGGCACGGAGCTTACGCGGGGACAAGGAGACGCAATCATTAGTGAGCAACAGTGCTTCGAAACGCAGCCATCCAGTTCTCCCTGAGGCATCTGGATTCTGCTTGTATTCGATAGATGTGACCACACACTGCTTTGAGGACCCGTCTCTTTTCGCGGCTCTTTCACTGTCCGTTGTTGGTGAAGACCCTCGGTCCTCGACAGGCAGCTCCGAGGAGCTACTGATGCCTTGCAGCTCTCCGATAGGCGTTCAAGTATACTTTGCCACCCATTGATATCCAGCACAGCTGTTGACATACCGATGTAGGTTATAGAAGTCTTTCAGCCAACGTTGCCGCCCCTGAGAGCCTCCTAGAGACCAATAGATCAACCTACACCATGGCCTGGTGGCGTCGTGATCCATCTCTCTTCTCCCGATCGCCCGTCCATCGCTACGCTCAACGCGTCCTCCGTGATAACCAAGCTACTCTGCGTACACGTTGCTTCTCGCGAAGCCCCTCAAAGAATGCCCAGCATGAAGACAACGGCGAGCGCAAGCGCCCAGAGAACATGTCAAACCTTGAGTGGATGCAATTGCAGCACTACGAAAGGTGGCGAAAGCGTCTGCAAGAGGACCCATATAAGACTTTGTTTGGAGCTAGCAATGACATGTTGAATGGCAAGGGCCTGATGGACTGGGATTGGATCCACAAAAGCTTCCCCAAGTGGATCTTGAATGATATGGAAGTGGACGATAAGCCTCAGGAGAAGTCTCCAGAGAGGCCAAAGAATCATAAAAGGGTAGAGACCCGAGATGAAAGCCCAGATACCATGCCAAAAGCGCGCGAATCCGTCGTTTCCAAACCCTACCTCAGACGGGCCACATTCGAACGTGATGAGTCTGCTGGGATTGTATCGCCGTCTGATTTGAGAAGGCCCAGGGAACATTCTCATGTGAAAGTAGTCGGGCATGGTTCACCTGGGAGTAGGATGTCGGCCACCGCGGCCGTTGCCCCCTCTGCCGACGGACTAAACAACTCAGCTCCCAAAGACGTATCGAGCGCAACGGAACATCATATACCACACCCAATCGTTCTAAGCAACGACGAAGTGATTGCTCGACAACCTGCTGCTCTTGAGGCCCGTTTGGCGCACAACGGCCTCAACGACGCAGCAGAAGGAACCTCGGCTCGTGATACACCATTCATGAAGGAATTTCTTAACAACCTCAGATCAGAAGAACTCGAGTTTCACAATGCCATTTCCGATCAGGGGTCATGGAGACAAACAGCAGTACAGAGACGAGCTGCAACAGAGTCAACCATCAAGCCTCAAGCTCAGCCCTCGGTCCCATCAACATCGATCGAGAAAGAAGCCTCGCCCGCCCTACCAAGTACAATTGAGCCATCTCAACCGCTACCAGCACCTTTTCCACGGGATCAAACCGACAAGACCTTCAACGAGGGTATGAATTGGCGCTTGAAACAAGAGTCGACCTCACCTCGTACCGAGATCAAGGCTCAGGATGACATCCCTCCAGCACGTTCTCCTTCAGATGTCCTCAAACAACTTCCTGAAGACGACATCGATTTTCTTAGTGCTGCGGACATACGTGCGTCGATGCGTATGAAACGTGGCAGGAAGCCAACCGAAGAGCAGAGGCAGGCAGAACGTCAAAGCCTAGAAGAAGCATTTACTGCTGCCCAGGATCCTCCTCACTTGGACCCCATGCTGGAAGCCGGAGTCGTCAACGATCAACACGTTCGTCGTGCCGAGCGCGAAAAGCGTGCTGTTCAAGTCGCCGAACAAGCTAACATCGCAGAGTCATTGAAGGAGTCGCATCCACATATTCCAGCAGCTGGCGCCCCAATCGAGTCTAGTATCGATCGAATGAAGAAGTGGATCGAAACTACAGGCGCCAGCTTTGCAAAACAATTCTGGCAAGATCCAACTGAAGAAGCAGATGTAACGAAGACTAAGTTGTTCTTCGACAAAGTCGCCAACTACATAAAGAAGGGGCAGGCTGCAACACGACATGTAACTGCAGATCTGGAGAAGGATGTTCCAGCTTCGATACCGCTGCTGAAGCGGCTGAGAAGCGATGAACAGATACTCGATGCTGCCATACACAGACTCCGACAACGTTCGCCTAGCGGAACAAGTCAAGGTATATCTCCAAGGAAGATCAGAGCCATGCAGTCTCTCAAGACCAGATTTCACCAGACCAATAATGAGCTGGAGAAAGCATATGAAGCGTTACGTCAGCTCGCAGGTACCGAGGCGGCGACGAACGCGACGGGTTCGTTCAAGCGCAGGCTTACTGCTGCGTCCACAGTGTTACACAAGAACTCGCAACTACTGCGCATGCTTGTGTGGAGTCTGCAGGCACGTCTGGAAGATCCGAACGTCGACCGGAGTATTCTTTCGAACTACAAAGTTGTCGCTGACAATTTGCTTTCGCTTCGAGATACTCAGGTGACCTTGATGCGGCTTGTCGAACGCGCAATGTTGGTCTACAATGTGGTACCAAACGCACCGGAGAATCTTGACGCAATTAAGGCTGAGCAGTCTGCCGAGTTTGCTAGTTGTGAGGATCCTTTTGTCCGTGCAAGATTGGCAGCTGATGCACACCTCATCGACGAGATTAAAGCATCCAAAATTGCAAAGGATGCAGTCTCAGAAGAGCAAGTTGCCATCGAGCCGAAGCGTTCAACCAGCACGATCTTGAACGAGCCAAGTCCTCTCGCTCATAGCTTGTTTAGACCCTTCGGCCCAGCTATAGAAAAGCTTGGTAGCAAAGAAGTACAAGAGCAGATGAAGGAAAATGAAACCAGGAAGCTCAGAGATACAAAATTAGTCGATGAGATTAAGCAGTCATATCAGGAAAGGTATAGTAAGATCAATGCCGAGCATCAGCAGGTCGCATCCTCCACAATGGAGCATGAGTCTTCGAAACAGGATCTTGAGAAGCCAATTCAGATGTTGAAGGATGACCCGGAGGCAAGTCTCTCGATATCACAAGATTCGCCATTGGTCACCGCTTCCGAGCCCTCAAAACCAACGGGCGATGCAGAGAAACAGTTTGCTACAACTTCCGAACAAGTCACATCTGCCCTGGAGAAAGCCGATGCGGCTTTGAAAACAACGGTAACACAACCTGAGCCAGAATTCGAGCCAACATCGGCCACCACTCCCTCCCAGTCAATGGAAACTCTTCCAACACACTACACGATCATCGTCCGCGACCCGCAAACGGACGCCCTGTCGATCACCACATCAACAAGCGGCCCACCTCGCGATACCTCACCCGCTGTCCCTCTCCACCAAGCCCTCTCAGACCTCGACAGCCCTGCGAAATTCATCCCATACATAACATCCGGCCTTGAAGTCGTCAGCGCAAAAAAAGACATTCTCGTCCTCCGCGACGCCATAGACAGCAGCGCCTCAACACGTCCTTTTGAGACTGTTCGCACGTCGCCAGCAACTACATCTGAGCAGCCTGACTTCAGTCGCGACAGTATCAATCCAATCGACGGCACTACTCGCCTTTCGCCAACGGGCTACGTCGGGCCTGAAGAGACGGCTGAGCAGCTGGAGAAAGAGTTCCAGGAACGCAGACAAGCTGCTAGTAGAATGAATGTGAAAGAAAACACGCAAGATGAGCCAAGGAAAGGAAATACAAAAGAGAAGAAGAGAGGTGCAGGAGGTGTAGCGAAGACAGCGATTTGGGTCGCAGGTATGTGCTATGTCGCTGGGGTTATTGGGGAGATTGCTACTGGGGGTTGAGGGTTGAGGGTTGGATGCTATTTGCGGAGTTTTCGAATCGGCGTGCATATGGATATTTTGGTCGTGAAACTGGGATATACACTGCTCTGGTCTATGAGTTTATTTTGTTCATGTATAGTATGTTCACAGTTCATTACAATCACGAAGACACGATTCTATATCATTTGAGCCATTCATAGTTTTCACTTGCCGCATGGTGTATTCGAAGCGACGCAGTCTTCAACTGATTTGCAAGGCGACACATTTCCTACATATCCAGGTACTTCAACCATGGACGTGAGACATCAGCAAGTGGAAGTGCGACAAACCGAGTACATGCTACAAACATGTCAACTTCTGCAGGACATATCGTCTTAGCCCACCAAAACCGTGATCGCTGCTAGCTCAGGCGTAGTACCTATACAGCCGGTAATAAGGCCCCAGCTTATTGTCGCACTTGAAAAAACACCCGAGATCAGGACACAACCTTTATTGCAACGCCACAGGACAGCCTTCGTCGCGCATCGGTAGCTGCAGGCACCGACATGCACTTACGAAGCAATGACGATCCCAGCAGTGCTCTGAGCCTCGCATGTACAATATGTCATGATGTAATCGAGACGGGCGTACACAACGGCCGTGGGGAACCGACAATCACGCCAGGAACGGAACTTCTCACGCGACTGTCACCATGCTAAGCTCTGGGAGTCTCGGAATCGGGGACGCGTTGCTAGTCGCGCATGTTCCGGTGTTTATGTTTGCAAAGGGTTTATTGATGCTGGGTCGCTGAAGTTGAAGGCGCGACGCTGTGAATCCCACTTTCTCCCGCGCAACGAAATCGATTCAAACGCCAAAATGTCGGACAACATCATCGTAAAGGCTGTCGCTGGCACTTGTGTCACTTTCTCGTTCATTCTCGCTGGTAGGCCAATTGCGAGGTCCATGTATGGCTTCGACTTACATTGTCAGGAAATGCAATCACGCAGTCGTATATGACCGTCCCAGCGCTCCTAGTCGACTTCCCACCCCCAGGATCGCCGGACCATGCCTCGCGCGCAAAGCTTCTAGGTCGTCAATGGCCGCTGTGCTGGACAGTTGGCAACCAATTCTTCCGCCCAATTTCGACTCTCGGTTTCCTAGGCTACGCATTTGCTGGGTACTCGGTGTTCCGGGAAGGCGCTCTTGCGCGGAGCGATTGGAAGCTGTTTGGTGTTGCGGCAGTCATGCACTTGACTACTATTCTACATTCGGCGTTGAACATGCAGCCTTTGAACGACAAATTGGAGGCACTTGCGGAGCGCGCGAGTGCGAAGGAGTTGACTGAGGCGGAGAATATCGCGAGGAAGTGGGCAAATTGGAACAGGTTGAGGTTGGTGACGCCGGTGCTTGCGGGTGGACTTGCGCTGTGGAATCTGCTTTCGTTGTAGAGAACATCGATACACGAAATCTATTACATGAACAAGAACGAAATCGTATAACGATATTCAAAGACCTGCACAACTTGTATTGCCATTGTTCCCCTAATAACTCCAATACAAGGACCGAGATGAGATTTGAGTGACGCCAACATCATAATCTATTTCGCAACAACCTGCGACTTCCAACCACTCCTCTCACGCAGCCAAGTCTCGAAATCGCACAGCTTCGGCTCTTCCTTCCTCAGTGCCTCAATATCAGCACCGTACCCCTCAGAGGCGAACCATGTAATCATGATGCTCATCTCGGTAACCGCCCACTTGAGGACCGAACCCAGGAATCCCATATGTAGCCGGTACTGGGCTACCAATGGCTCGCTGAAAGCAGTCATTCATCTCATCCATGGTGAGTTCACTGCCTGCAAGCGCTTCAGCACGAGCATTCCACTTCTCATGCTCCCGGAAGGCTCTCGCACCGAAGATACCGATATCTTCGACAGAAACCCATTGCAGTGCCTTGCCTTGCAGCGTATCTCGAAGCGCAGCGAGGAAGACCTTTGTCGGTATACCGGGCTCCAGATTATCCATGAAAGCCACAGGACGCAGAATCGTCCATCCCATGTTCTCCCCCTTCTTGCCAGCCTTTTCAAGCAGATGCTGCTCAATCTGGTACTTTGTCTGGAAATGCGGGATCGGCGTCTTGTTCTCGAAGCTGCGCTGGTTGCCACCCCTGTCCACGGAGGAATAGACGAAGTGTGTGACGCCTTCCTTGATCGATTCGTCGATAAGGGAGGTACCCTGCTTGATCTCGCCCTCCACGCTGGTACCGGGTCCCATGGAGATCTGGACGGAGTATACCCCCCATATCTTCTCTTCCTTGCCGCCTTCTTTCAGTGCAGCCTTGGCGGATGCGAATAAAGATGGGACATCGTCGAGGTTGCCTTGCACGAGTTTGACGCTTGGATAATTGTCTGTGATGCGTTTTGCGGAGCTAGATTTGATATCACGCGTGACGGCAAGAAGCGTGTATTGAGAGCTCTCAGAATGTGTCGCGAGCTGCTTGAGTACAGAGCCGCCCTGCTTGCCAGTTGCGCCGCAAACAATGATAGCCTTGGTAGTAGCCATAGCGATGCTAGCTCGGGTTTAGATTGACTTGGTAGGGGTGTAATGCTTAGCGCGGTAGGAGCCTTGTTTTCAGCCTCAAGATTTTCACAAGGAATGAGACAGGCCAATATGTCGACAAACAGATGTGGGTTTCGATCGAAACTTATTGCAGGCAAGCTCAGTAGAACCGCGTTCCACCGCATGTGTGAAGGCAAGAGCGTACGGCTCCGCACCGAGAGAGAATGCAAGTAAGATCGCGCGCAAGTTTGGTTGAGAGTTTCAGCTTTATCCCGCTGATCTCGAGCGGACTCGCTTAATGACGCACCAGAATGCACCCTCTGGATGACCATCGGTGGTTGGAAAAACCGACATTGCGTACGATGTGTGGATTGGCGTGAACTCTGTGTGATCATGCAGAACGCGCAGATACAGTGCACATCAAAGTCTTGGAGTCTCGATTTCACCTTTACGGAACACGATTTGAATCAATGTATAGTGTTTGTCCGGCAAAATGTGGTAGCATGAAGCAAAAGTATCATAGATCTGTCGAATCATGAGAACGATTTGCCGTTGGTGTCGACAATGTGTGACCCCTCCACAATTGTACGAAGTACCCACGACTGTAAGATCCTAAAATCAGCTTCAGATCAGACAGAAACCTGCTTTGACTCAGTTCCTGGCATGAAAGGGAAAGAGCAATCTATAGCATCGGAAGGCTGACTAGGTATAAAGCAAAGATTCGCATTGGTCGCAGCGGCTTGGATATGCCTTTCGCGAGTAGCCTCCTTGGATTTCAGGTTATCCAGATTTCCAGTACCATGTTTCTCTGCGGCAGCCATTGGGGAGAAAAGGTGCTGCACCCGCAAAGTACTGTCAACGAGGCCGAATCTGGACACTGGAGACCTCGTGCTATGCCTTGGAATCGGCATTAACTCTCTTTTTGTTACTTGAACTCAACCTTGAACAGCCGAAGAGGTTTAGGTAACGCGAACTCGCGCGGTCACGTGCATTTCACTTCACTGCACGCTTCTGCATGTGCACGAACACCGCAACCCGTTCTCATCACGGCTACCAACAGAATCACGAACCGCGATATCGACCACTCGTTGACTCACCGCCTCATCCCCACCTCGCTTGCCCATGCCCAGCACAACATAACCGCCTGTACCACCTTCCTCACCATCTCCTACATTCAGCAATCTCGGCTTACACAGAATCCCGCCCCCAACCATCAGGACTGCATGAAATAACACATATCGTCCCAAATAGGAGCTCTTCTAAGCACAGCATACCCGACGCTACACTAGCGCGTCTCGGCATCGTCATTGACTTTCGGTATGTACCTTGAGATCTGCCCCAGTGAGCTAGCAGCATCGGAGTGGACTTGGAGATCCGTGGTTGAGTGTGCCATAGACTGTAGTGTGAACGTTGAGGTGGCCCAAAAATAGAGAGGCTGCGCAGTGATCGTGGAATTGGGTTGGTGCATGTGGAGATTTCAGGCACAAAGATAAACCTTGCTACAATCTGTAGTAACCATGCTGACTTTGATGCGATAACGGTGACTGTTGAGAAGTCTATTTATCAAGCACCGCAGATGTTGTGTTATGTCGTATAGCAGCGAGACACGTTTTCACGGCAGGAACGCCACGATTGATGTGTGGTTGCACGGTCCTCGTATTTGAGTTGACGATCGAGTGTGTGTATTGACTACTTTTGGTGGTTGAATTTTGACCTCTTATGTCTCAGTGCATGAACAGATGTGTTTGCAACATCAGCGTCTTCAAAGTACTTGTTCATGGGCCTAAAATCCGTGCTGCATTGTTGTGTGCACCAGGCATAGATCGATGGTTCATGGCTGGATATTTACTGTATCATGGAATTTGAGATTCAGATTGATGCATGCTACCTAGGTAGGCTGTACTGAATGCTGCCCCCATCACGTGCAAAGCCGCACATGTATTTACTCCCAGTCTCCCGGGCCAAGATCAATCGACTTTCCAGCCCTCATATCCTCCATGATATTCTCAATGCTCCAGGGCTCGTACTTGTAACCTTTGGGGTAGTTTGGCTCGAAGGAATCTTCGTCTTTCATATCAATTCCCTTCTTCAGGCTTTCAGCGCTCAAGGCGTAGTTCTCGTATGCGTAGGCTTCCGGATCGTGCGACCATACCCACTTAGGTAGCTTGGGTGCGGCGCGGCGCGGGTCGAGCTTGACTTTGTCCCAGTCCGTGTCTTGGAGAAGTTCCGCGTTCGAGAAACCGAGCTTTTGTGCGCAGGAATTGCGGATGAAACTGTTTTTTTGTGAGTTGGTGCTTGAGTCTGAAACCAAGCAACTTACCGGAATCGAATGTGAACGCGCACGGATTGGGGGATATTCTCCTTGCCACCAATTTGTAAACATGAAGCTAATGAGATAGCATCTTCGATGGCTTGTGTGGCGCCGTTGCCTGACGCAGGGAGGTATGAATGCGCTGCATCTCCAATCTGAATCACGCGCGCACCGGGAGATGTCCAGCTCGGTTGCGGGTTCCGCCAGAGAAGCTCGAAGTTGACAATTGTGTTTGGTGGCGTGGTCTCGACAAGTTCTTTGAAGATTGGCGCCCACTTGACTGTCTCCATGCCGGGCATGGTCTCCATTCCATCGAGCACTTCCTGCTTGTCGATGGTGTTGCTCCAGCTCTCCTTCTCCGTACCGGTTACCTAGATTAATTAGCCATGGAACTTGCCGTTAATTTGTTCCACTCACGTCGTGGTTCATAATCCAGACCATTACGTCTTCCCGGCTCAAAGTCAAAGCGTACGTAGACGGCCTAAGTAACGTCAGTGACATACTCTCTTCCTCTTCTGAACAAATTTCATACCCTAGCCACGTTCGAACAATCGGCTCGTTTCCTGGTTGAAGCTTGAAGAACTCCTTGACCCTAGGGTTCGCATCGAGTGCCTCACGCGGATAAGCAGCACGCCACATAGCTCGTCCAGACGGCTTTGCGCGGACCTGTCCACCAACAAGCTTTTGGCTCTTTGATCCAACACCATCAGCCGCAATAACGACATCTGCCTCGTATCGCTTTCCATCATCGGTTGTACAGCCGCCCTTACCAGTCTGCTCGTCCTCGAAGTAATCAACAATTTTGCGGTTGAACTCGACAGATACACCGAGCTTCTCGACAGCGTTCACAAACATCTTATATACAAGCGGACGCATCTGGAACTCGCCGGGCGGGGTATCGGGGTCCAGTCCTTGTGCGCGGAGGCGGTCCGCGACCTTCTTCGGTGGAATGACAACTTCGCCAGAGTGCTTGAAAGTCTCAATCCAAGCATTGTGTAGGGAGATTTTTTTGTATTCTTTGAGAAGCTCAGGCCAGTGCTTAAGGAAACGTGTTGCGCTCAACCCCATGAAGTACATGTCACCTTGATATAATATAAGCATTGGATGGTTTCATGCGGGCTGAAGCGATCTCACCAGCTGTGTTGATGTCCGCATTTCTCTCCAAAACGCGTACATTGTGTCCTTTGCGTGTGCATTCTAGAGCAGCGACCAGGCCGGCAAGTCCTGTGCCTACAATGAGCACGTCGATCCCAGTCGGATCATAAGAGCCGACTGGCTTCGACTCCATCGTCGAGTCGCGGGAAGTAAGCGCATGAGGCATGATGGGTAGATGATTCGATTGTTTTTGAGCAGAGTTGTAAAGTCGAAGTCGACGTTAGTCTATCCCACGTATCTACAACGACCTTAAGGGCGCATGGTGTGCTCTCCGGCTGGGCTCCCCATCTGTGGGAAGCCGAAACCAACGGATGTCCGAACGACCGACATGTCGCAAGCTTGTGCACCTTGCAAAGTATCGAGCGACTGCTTCAAGAGTTTCCGCGATGATGTCTACACTTGGCGAATGCGTCTCAGGTACAACGCACGGCTGGTGTGATGCTGATGTCGTTGTCATGCGGTAAGTTGACGCCAAAACGCCCCATTGATGGTCAATGCTCATGCGCGCTATGGTTCCCCACGAACTCCGAAGGCCAAGACCAATCAGCATCTGCAGCAGTCAATAGCGAGGCTGTGAACGATCCTGGATGTTTCAGGCGCCTAGATCGCTCGCTGCAGATTATCACCGCAGTTCGAGATTCAGGCCGCTCCACGTGCGGAGATGATGACCACAGTGCAACCTGCCCAGTGACTTTATAGTACATTGTGTAACATGTTTCGATGGTACTTGCCATTTTTTATGACACTTTGATCTGGTTTGAATACAAAGAACGTGCTACAACTCCGTACTAGGCTGCAAGGCACACAATCTTTGCTACACGCCCTATGCATTTTGGGGCTGACGGGTGGTCAAATCGTCAAGCAGTGTGCTTCCGATTTGGAGCAGCAACGACGATCCCTGGATGAAGAATTTATCATTGAGGTGATATCAGTTGTACGCACTCGATGGTGTCGACATGCAAGTAGCAGCGTACTACTAAAAGGACGACATAGTGTCGAGTCCTATCAGCCTATCACGGCGTATCAACATACCACTCCCTGGAGTAAGACTGATAAGTCTCCTTGCAATGCTGCGGACAGAAGTAAGCCACTCGTTTTGGCAGGTATGCCGAATTTGGTAGATTGCCGACATTGGGAGCACATGTTAGCGCGAATCCCAGGGGAGGAGGAAGGGGTTGTTGCCCCAGTAGGTTTAGTAACCTCTCCAAGCAAAGTCAATGATGACGATCTTAATGCAGACTTTCGAGTCCGTTGCTTCCATGTTCCACTCACTGATGGTCTCAATGTGTCATTGTCGGCGCCGTTTACCACCGACAATCATGTTCCAGCACGTCGGATACCCGCCCTGAGAGATCTACCATGCTCTTAGTAGCTCGACTGTCAAAGATTGTAGGGTTAATTGAGGCGTCTGATTGCTCTCTTGAGCAGTCTATTGGAGGGAAGCTGGCTGAATATCAGATCAGGAATCGGTTAGACGCTTCGGTGAGGATACGGCCAAGTTATACAGGGCTAAGTGTGCTGGGATTGTCTCATTCCGCCACAGGAATATACTTAGTTGCATGAAGCTCTAGCACTTGGGGAGCCGGAAAAGAGTGACAGCTGCTAGTGAGATCTCGTGCGTTATCTAGTTGACGTCCGCGTTCGTGGTTCTTCAACAGAACTCGCATGCCCAGCAGTATACTGGTACACAATCTGTGGCTGTGCTACTCTACCACGACTGGATCATCGTCGACGGCCGTTCTCGATCGTTTTCTTGCTTAGCGTCTACCACAACTGAGCATTGGGTTCCAGCCTCCTCTTCGACACTCGCTCGGTCCAAGAGGTAACGAGCCCACGGCGACCTTCGAAGCCCCTCATATCAACAACAACCTTGCTGGTCCTCCTTTGCGATGCATCCTGTCACAGCCGTGGCTGCTGGCCTTGCCTTCATAGGCTTCGTCATCTATGGCTTCATCAATGCTGTGGACAAGTACAACAAGAAGTACATGTGCCACAATCTTCCAGGACCCGCGCTTGTACCATGGGTTGGAAGAATTCATGACTTACCGATTGACTTCATGTGGTTGAAGTTCAAGGAGTGGGCTGACATATATGGACCAATTTACCGAACGCAGATGTTGGGCGCCAACTTTGTAATAATATCCGATGAGGACATGGCGGAAGAAATGCTGGTGAAGAAGGCCAAAGTGTACTCCGATCGTCCCGAGATCAAGAGCTTGTTCGATGCGAAGAGCACATATGGATCGATGGAATACCTGCCGTTGATGGGGAAGAATCGTACGTTCGATCTGTTCTCGTGTAAGCACGTCACTGACCTTAGCTAGAGTACTGGGCCCGACAACGGAAGTTCACTCACGCATACCTCATGGAGGGTACGAACGCACAATACTGGGGCATGATGGAGTTTGAGGCCAAGCGATGGATGGCTCGACTTGTAGAGAGCCCAGACGACTTTGCCTTCTCGCTGGAAGACATGTGTTCGAAGGTCATGGCAAAACTGACCTGGGACGATGACTCTCTCAGCGTCCCTCTTACACCGAGCGCTTGGGGTCTGCTGACTCAAATGTCGCCAGCAGGTCCCATCACCAATGTCTTAACGCCCCTTTGGGATTGGGTTCCAGAACCAATCAACCCGTGGAAACTGCGTGAGCGCAAGAGACACGACATGCAGCAAGCCTTTTTTATGGAAAACTTTCTCAGGACCAGGGAGCTGATGAAGAGCGGCAAACAGGGCCCTTGCTATACGCGTACCTATATTGAGACGGCAGCAAAGTCGAATATTTCTGGCGACTATGAGGCATCGTGCGTCTTGGGAATGTTGGCGCTTGTTGGTATCTTCACTGTCGCCGGCCCACTGTACTATTTCTTGATCGCGATGGTGCATCATCCTGAGTGGCAGCGCAAATGTCAGGAAGAGATCGACACAGTCTGCAGAGGTCTTCCGCCAACAATTAATGATATGCCCAGCTTGCCCATCCTGCGTGCCTGTATTAAAGAGACCATGAGGTGGAAGCCGACAGTACCGACTGGTAAGCCTGAATTCTCAATCCAAGGGATTAATACTAATTGACACTCAGGAGTGGCGCACGAAGCCGAAGCTGATGACTGGTTCCGAGGGTACTTTATCCCCAAAGGCACGCGCATTCTTCCTCTCGACTGGGCTTTCCTTCGCAATCCCGCAAAATATCCCGATCCTGATACTTTCCGACCTGAGAGGTGGCTCGAGGCTGGGTGGCCCACTTTCCAAGAGCCACTTACCAAGTATCCCACAATTCATGGCATGTCTTCTTTTGGATGGGGCCAACGTCAGTGTCTTGGAATGTCTGTCACTCGCGACGAGACTATCACCGGTTGCGGTGCCTTGATGTGGGCTTTCAACCTAAAGAAGAAGGTGAATGCTGCGACTGGCGAGGAGATTGAGGTCCCAACAGCAAAGTCAAATTCGCTCCTGATCATTAAGCCGGACCCATTTGAGATGGCGTTCGAGCCAAGAAGTGCTAAGAGGAGAGAAGAAGTGCTGAGCATATGGAGGGACGCTGAGGCGAAGGATCTTGTCGAAAGAGCTGACTTCCTGAAGCGGACAGAAGCGTCTCTGTTCCAGCTTTAGTCGACGCAGGGAGCAATGATGAGTTGATTTTGTGAGCATGTGATTGCGAGGAGCGTTGTATCACTTCTATAGATGTTTCGCACCGTCCTCGCCCTATTTAAGTCTTTGCAGATGCCAACTTGCTTACCTAATTAGTCCCTGGTGGTTTTGTTGGGCGTGTTCCCAGTGCGTGAGTGTGATTTTCATGGCTCGTTACAATCGCGAACCTAGGGGCCAAGCAAGTAACCTGAAGCGCTTCCGTCACCTGTTTATGATAGAGATCTACATCGGGGGCCTAGGTTGGAGAGGAGTGGTCAAGACTCTGCGACTTGTAAGTATGAGCCAAGATATTAAGAACCTTTCATGTATCGCATGAAGAACATACTCTCGGCCGTGCAGGCTACCAAAGTAGCGCTTTCTATTTCCTCTACGGAGTATCCTCCTCCGTCGGACTGCGCGACGAGCTAGGCGTTGGTTGACCTACAACATCTCCGGAGGTGCGGTGGGAAGAGTGCCCAGAGGCAGCAGCAGCAGTGTAAGGTCCACTGGAAAGTATAGTCTTGAAACTCATGACCTCATCTTCGTCTGCTTGTTTGGTGTTTAGAAGCTGGGGCGAGTTGTCAGATGCATCGCCGCTTCCGTCAGACGCATTTCCGCTAGCCTAAAGCTCCTGTTCGCTGCAGTGGATCGAGTCGTCGCTGTCGTTCATTACCACCCATTTTCCGAAGATACCTGCGCTTTCCGCTCCAGCATTGTGCATGTCAACATCTCCCTACTCCTCTTCCTCCTCTATCTCTTCCTCATCCCTCTCTGCGAGCTCAGCGTCGGTACGTGCATTTTCGAGCACTGCCTTGGCATTCTCAAAGTAACGAAGGTAAGTGGCTTGCACTCGGGGGTTTGCGGAAAGATCCTCAAGCTCGCACATGCAACGATACAAGTCTACAGCATGCTGCGCATGCTCGACGTAGCCTGGCTGAATTTAGTGACGCAATCTGTCTTCAGCGCAAAAGAGAAGTCACTTACAATCATCAGAGCTTCCAAGCAGCAGATAGAACCCGGCGCGGTGCCAAAGCCCCACATGAGGGTCAACGAGAAGATTGCGGCAGACGGAAACTGGCGTAAGGTCCCTGTATCCGAGGGATTCGACGGCTGGAAGTGTTCTGCTTGTTATCAGAAAGAGCGAAAAAGGTTGGCTAAGCTCTTGTCCACGGTTGCTACCACTGAATTCGTCGTCCACAAGAAAATCAGGCGTGCTCGACCTCAGCCTGTGGCACTCTCCGAACGGATGCGTAAACTGGGCGATGATAAATTCGACAATGGTATTCAGCACATGACTAACTCCGATATTTATCTTGGCCGCGATGCTGAACATCTCCGCGTCATGGTTGATTCAATAAAAGAGATTGCCTACAACATTCGAGGCGAGGACTCTGCACGGAATGAGAATGCCACTCGAGTTTCGACCGCCCATTTGGATATTCTTGAATCGACTCTCGATCGTCTGAAACGTCTCCCAAAGCAATCCGACCGCCAGTGTGTTATGTGGTTCCACAGGAACAATTATCTTGATGGTAAACTTCAGTCCTATCATTACTACGTCAGACAGGCATCTTCTATCCGGTACGTCGGCGTGTCATGGTCACCGCAGTGTGATGAGACCACAGCGCAGAGCATTGCGCATACGGTAGCACGAATCCTGAATAGGTGGCCAGTGGACCTGGACTTGATGGCCACGTTGTGCCACCCTGATGACGAATCGCGGCGCATTACCCGAACACTCTGGCAGCATGGGCCACCTATGGGACAGAAGATCATCAGAGCTTTGGAGCGCCTCCAAACCCTGAAGCCATTGGTTCGATACCGTATCCCATCGCCTATGTATCATGAGCAGGAGATGGTATGGACACTTGAATGTGCCATGACAGATCCGGACTCGGGCGCAACCTCCATGGGCCGCTACACCTTGCCAAATCTGTCTGGACTACCTGGATTTGTCATACTTCTCCCACGGAGTTCGCATATAAGCCAGGATATTTAATCCATCATCATTGCTAAAAGCCAACATGACATGTTTGAAGGTTTACCGGCTGGTCTACAGAAGCCACAACTTGCGAAGACAGTAGAGAAGCTGCCAACAACATGATCTTCGAATCTCGGTTCACCAACTTTTTGAAGGCGAGATTTCCCCACGCTCATTACGATGGGCTCCGAGAGATGGCGGCCAAGATACAGGTCACGAAGAGCTTTTTCGATTCTTCCATTCAGCCCAGTGAGTTCGTAATGCCGAGCCACAAAGATATGGCCGCAGTGGTCATCACGCGTCAATTGGAAGAAGATTCAGGGTCTCCTTTCACGAACAGCTTGCTAGTGGATGCGTTCGGATTTGTCGATGATGGCGCATCTGTCGAAAGTTCCCAGCAAGATGCTAGCCAGACTGGCGAGGCCAGCCATCTTGAGCAGACCTTCACCGCGGCTCAAGAACATTTCCTCGCCAAATATCGCAACCCGGAGGCTCTTACAGGTGCTACTGGCGGCTTTAGACTCATGCAAGCAGCTTCTCTACGTGGCGATCAAGTATCGTTCAACGAGGCTCGTGCAGAGCTGCGCCGTTTGGAAAATGGGGATGTCACTCAGATTGCGGGTGTAAATGGCGTCACATCGCTTGATGGCATGTATCATGTCGCGGACAAGGACAACGAGGTGTTCGAAAGTGTCAAAGCCGACGCATACACCTGCATTGGCGATCTAGCAACCTTCTATAACATCGCTACCCTCGAACCACAGGCAACTGCCACCGAAATCACTGTAAAGGCAGATTCTAGCTCTCAGCACACCTAGGTACAGGCCTCCCATGGTGCGTTTGTCTGTGAAGAACTGCACGTAGTGGTCTGGGCATTCGTGCAGCGTCTTGCCTCTACTTTTGCTAAAGTTGAGCCGGTATAGCAGTCGTTAGTTAACTGCGCTCGTTAGTAAACTCATCTGCTGCTTAATTAAGATCCACGTACCTAAGGCTCGCCTACCTATATCTTCTACATCTTCTAGGAGGGCTATTATTAGCTACTTCCTCTTTTTCTTTGCAATAGCTATTATGTTTAACTCTAAAGCATTAATATAGCAAGGCATCGCATTTACAATAGCAAAGAAATAGTGCAGTGCTCTCTTTTGCACTCGTGCTGCTCTATTATCTTACTTGTAACTTCCTAACGCGCTAGTACGCCGCTAATCTAGCTGCTAGTATTTCGGGCTCCCCGAAATTACCCCTGATTCACTACCCCACTAGCTGCTAGTATTTCGGGCTCCTCAAAATTGCTCCTGATTCACTACTCTACCAGTTGCCAGTATTTCGGGCTGCCTGAAATTGTCACTGATTCACTACTCTACTAGTTGCCAGTATTCTGGGCTGCCAGTATTTCGGGCTCCCCGAAATTGCTCCTGATTTACTACCCTACCAGTTGCCAGTATTCAGTATTTCGGGCTCCCTGAAATTGCTCCTGATTCACTACTCTACTAGTTGCCAGTATTTCGGGCTGCCCGAAATTGTCACTGATTCACTACTCTACCAGTTTCCAGTATTCTAGGCTGCCAGTATTCCAGGCTGCCAGTATTTCGGGCTGCCCGAAATTATCACTGATTCACTACTCTACCAGCTGCCAGTATTTCGGGCTCCCCGAAATTGGATCTGCAAATCGCGAATTCGCTGACTACTTCATCTGTGACGACGTCGGCTGTGAAGGCTACCATATTCCTTACAAATACCACGCTATCGACGGCGTCAATGAGTGCATCTTCTGCAATATGAAGTATGGGTGACACGAACTTGCACGTGTGAGGTGGTGCAAGGGAGCTGGAGATGGTGGACACGAGAGCCTAGCGGAGCGTTTCAAAAATGACGGAGGGGAAGATACCGATCTCTGTCGGGAAGAAGTATCATGTCCACCTAGCATGTACATGATGATGAAATTTCGGGCAGCCCGAAGTCTCACGCTTAGGGCAACTGCGAGAGTCGTATGAAGAAGTATCATGTCTACCCAGCATGTACATGATGATGAAATTTCGGGCAGCCTGAAGTCTCACGCTCGGGGCAACTGCGAGTCGTACACGTTGTTCAATGTCATCGATGGGATCTCGATAATGAACAAGAGCTAAGTGAATGGACCAAAAGGTTTACCTTGCTGCTGAATATTACGTGAGATCGATGTCAGGGTAACAATACAGATTAGCTCCTCCTAGCGCAGACCATAAATGACATAGAAGTTCAGCGTCGCCAAATCCCTTGTGCACATGCCGCACATGTTATGTAAACTAGGATTGCATTTTTCTAGGTAAGTTATAATATAAAGTTCTTAGGACACTTAAGTGCTTAAGTATATAAAATTAACTAGGCAGAGAAAAACCTTAAAGGTGACAAACTCTACTAGCCCTATCTCCTAAAAGAGGGACTATACCTAGAAGGTATAAAACAACGTATAAAGGTTTCTATTTAACAAATTGTTATGAGGTTCTTATAAAGAGTTAATAAAAAGCTTAAAGGCGGAGCTTCTTTAGCTGCTTATAATCTACTAACATACAGAGCAGAAAGAAATTAAGAGGTAAGGAGAGCTAGATTTAAACTAACGTATAGAGGGAAACAAGCGCTACTAAGTCTCCTATCCAATTTCCAGGTATACGTGCAAATGCACTTACACCATCCCCCCGCCGCACACGTTATAACGTCTTGAGAGTTTTTGCATCAGCTTCGATCGCAGACCCATATAATTTATTACTACGCAGCGATTACGCCTAGTGCAGCGACGCTAAAGCTCTGATCCAAGCGAGTACGACAGGCTCTCACGTTGCAGAAAAAGGGAGATTCAGCAGCTTCAGAAATTTTTTGTGTGCAGAATTATATCTCGCCTTCGTATACACAGCTCTACTTATAGCTATCTCTAGCAAAAGTCCAAAGTCTCCGTGAAGGCATCTGTAGCTTTTTTAAATCATCTTCTCTCTATCTTAAGACTGTTGTTGCGGTCTAGCTACAATAGCTATTTCTCGCCTCTTCTGCAACTTTAGAGATAATTAGGCACGATTAACTTCGATGTTCTTCAGGGTTTGCGCTTAGTTTCTTAGTTGACGCAAGCACGTCCTTGTAAGAACGCCTGCCCGGCGTGCAGCCTGAATCAGGCTATTTTTCTTCGAACATATGCTGGATCATGGATGAAGTCATCGAGCATTGCCATTGCGTTCGTCCCTGGCCATGATGAATTCTTGGTCCAACCTTAGCGCTTAATCGTGTATGGATGCAAGGCAAATGTCAAATTCAAAGGCAGTGCTGTCGACAGACTGAAGCTTTTCGGAAGTCGGGACTCGGCATTATTGAGGAGCCGGGATGTGACCGAAGCGCCTTCCTCTGCTGCCCTTGAATCTCATTCTGACATGTCGCTGCCAGCCCTCAGTCTTCTCAGAGTAATCAGCCACGTGGTTCCGGCGACCAACTGTATGGCCATGGGGAATAACGTATAATATTACCTGCGTTCCGAGGCTACCCGAATGGCATAATCCTATTCTTGAGCTCCCCTGCTTCTCGGCCTGGGCGTCAGCGCCAATCAAGGAGGCGGTAGTGGAGTCGATTGGTCGTCATTGGTAGTGATAGCTCCGTCGAGGGGTCGTCGCTGCCCCGCGCTAAATCCAGCTTCTTTTACCAGTTCAATTGCCCCTCCGTCTTCAATCATCAACCATCACCACTTTCAACCAATTTTCATCAACCAACTCATTCACAATGTCCAACCCTAAGGTCTTCTTCGATGTCTCCATCGGCGGTGCTCCCGCTGGAAGAAGTACGTTCACCCTATGCGCCGCCGCCGCTGCCGTCACGCACAAACCAACAACCTTTGCCCGTCACGCACAAACTAACATCACATACCCTTCACGCACAAGCTAACCATATTTTCAGTAATCATGGAATTGTTCCAGGATCAAGTACCGAAGGTACGCAATTCACCTCTCCGTCAGAAACTCCCATTGAGCTCAGAGCTGACTTTGACCACCTAGACCGCTGAGAACTTCCGCGCTCTCTGCACCGGCGAGAAGGGCACCGGCCGCTCTGGCAAGCCCCTCCACTACCAGGGCTCTTCCTTCCACCGTGTCATCCCCCAGTTCATGCTCCAGGGTGGTGACTTCACCCGCGGCAACGTACGTCATATCCCAGCCACCTGCAATACGATGCCAATGGCTAACAATTGGTAGGGCACCGGTGGTGAGTCCATCTACGGCGAGAAGTTCGAGGACGAGAACTTCAACCTGAAGCACACTGGCCCCGGTATCCTCTCCATGGCCAACGCTGGACCCGGAACGTAAGTCACATCCAGCAACCTTCTTTACCATGACTGACAATCATCTAGCAACGGCTCGCAGTTCTTCATCTGCACCGTCAAGACCTCTTGGCTCGACGGCAAGCACGTTGTCTTCGGCCAGGTCGTCGAGGGCCTTGACGTCGTCCAGGCCGTCGAGCGCGTCGGCTCCTCCAGCGGCAAGACCGCTAAGACCGTCACCATCGAGAAGTCCGGCCAGTTGTAAACAAGAGTTGCAGCTGTGGGGTGCTCTGGCAGTGCGCAATGTCAATTTAGGTGACTCTAACGACACACAAAAGTATCACGAGGTGAACGACGTGACGACATGGAGCGGCATGGATTAGTCGTAGTACTGTAGTGGGAAATGACACATCAATGCATGCTTCAGATACTGTGCCCATGTTCATATGTACCTCTTGTCGTGTCAGGTAAAGAGATAAGGCTGACTTGACAGCTTTGAACCTTCCAACGCCCGCGCACCATGCGAGTTTGCGCTACGTATCGAAGACTACAGCTCTTTGTTCCGCTTGATCACAAACCTTGCCAAACTTCAGAGCATGTTGATTGGTGGCGCAAACGTTCATTGCGGCACAGCCTCATCGCGCATGCCTGGGAAAGGAAGATGGATTTTACGAGGGTGAACAACTATAAGTCAACAAGTAATATTAGGTGTAAAGCGTAGAATCGCCGAGAAGCTATAGCATAAAGTGAGATAGTGTTTGGTGTAATCGATGTCCCTATCAAAAATGTTGTCGTAAGATGTTTTGAAGCTGCCTCTATCACCGTCGGTCGTATGCGCCAACATGGTGTATAGTATACACTTTCACAACGCGAAAGCTCACTCATGGCGATGAGGTGCTGCAAGAATTTGTACCCGCTTTGACTGTGTTCCAAGGACTATTCTATGACAGCTGTCATTTTAGTCGATAGTCTGAACGTATTCAAGAGCTAATTAGCAAGTGGTAAGGCGCTCCGAATACCTTGGATTCATGCAGCATCGACTAAGTCAGACAATATGACAGTATTGTTCAGACATACCGTGAACGGCTTATTGCAGCACTTGGTATGGCGCATAACATCTTTTCGCGGGGAGTCTTGGGTAACTTCTACAGCAAGGTCATGACTGTTGAGAGGAGTCGGAAAGGAAGGCCTCAAGCTGAACAGCTAAAGAGCTTACAAGTAGGTGAAATAGGGCAGGAAATGGAAAAGAATTCTGGTCGCTGTTCCGTGATGTAAAACGTAAAGGAAAGAAGTGGGCCGACCATATATGCACGACATGCATTTACACCTGAGCAGCGTCTGGTCAGCTTCATGAGATACTGATTCTCTTTGGTTGCGCTCATCAAGGTTGTCTCAACGGACCGACTTCATCATTCTAGAAGCTGAAGCGTTAGAGTTCTCGCATATCTTGGATCATGCAATGATCAGGAGCTAAAGTCTTGTGCAGTGTATTCGGAGCATGCTGCTGAGCTAGAGTATACAGTGGGCTTCAGAAGACCCTGAAGTCTGGTCTTGGGCTCTTGACATGTGGACATGAAGATCGCTGCGTGTCATGAGGCTATGAGTGGAGAAACGTGTGTAGCTGCCTTGTTGATCCAGGGGCGCAGTGCAAAGGACGTTGTGGTAGTTCCCTGTGCTTTGCGCGTCGGACTCAACAGCATATCGGCTGCAGCCTGATTCTTCTTCATGAAGTGGCCAGGAAGATTTCTGCTCAGCAGTGACATTGCCTCACTCACTGACATACTTCGCGCTTACGGACCGGACAAGACGTGGGATGGGGTAGCAGCAGTGGAGTGAGGTCCTCGAATCGAGTAAACCACCTCTCATCTGACTGGCTGAATAAGGCTGTGCGCACGTCAATCGTCCAGTGCTGTATGGTCGAGGTGGGGCAATCAGTGCCCGAGAACATGGTGTCATCACCCGCAGGGCAGCACCACCGGGCACTCACGCCCTCGGAAGGACCTGACAGCATATAGTGGATACCGTTCGCGTCGAGATGCCCCAGTCGAATGGAGAACAAGGCGGGGGAAAGGTGTTGGAGGACCCGCAATGGTGGGACGGTTGTATTGCATGACGGAATTAGACCTTGGTCGCGGCCCCATCTGCACGCCTAAATCGAGGACTCGGAACGAACAGTGAGTGAGGTCCTGCTCTTTCTGGAGGTAGTTGTGGATCGTGTTGTCGTGGCTGTCATTTGGGCCACCACGTACTTGACGCTAATTGGCTGCGCAAAATAAGTAACGAAGGCAACAGTCACTTCCAGCCTCACAGCCCTGACTGAATCCTTTGGCAAAGCCTCAACAGTTTAGGTGGCGATATGGCGTACAGGTGTGGTCCGGTACGACTGGTGAAGGTTACAAGTCACGTGAGACAAAGTCTTGGCTCTTGGCAGGTGAAAGCTGACTGCCAAAAGTTGATAGGAAACATGAATTGTTTCCGGGTGTCGTTACGAACGCCATCCTTTGTGGTAATCTTCCATGCTATCTGTCTCTGTTAGCTTCTCGAAATCGCGATGGTTGAGATTTTGTCCCGAAACGGGTGAGGGTCTAGCGCCCGGAATGCGTCACAGCCTGTCCTTGTGCGTGTCTAGGATGATCGATTCGCAGTGCCGAGCCCGCGACCAGCTAACGATTACAGCGCACCACCGGTCGGCAAAGGAGGCTCATGATTGTTGGACTGGAGTATATTCCGGCACTCATAGGGACGGCGCAACCTGTAACCGATGACGTGGTTTGTGGTGCTGGTGGTCGAGCGCTTGCAGCGGTTTCCGAAGTCGTCTCCCCACTATCTGCTGATGACCGGGACAGCCCGTCAAAAGATGCAGCCAAATTCTGCACGTGGGAGTGATCACCCACCAAGGAGCGTCCCGCTGGCGTCCGCCTTTGCAAGAAGGAGATGTTCCCTCCACCATGATACCAAGGGACAGCCTGGTGCAGTCGTTGCTTAGCTCTGCACAGCGTCGCTGAGTGAGCGAACAGTGCACATTTTGGCCGTCTGCATGCGCTCATCCTGCGTAGAGTGCCCGTAGATGAATTTCGTTCGTGGAGGCTGCAGGACCAGCGTTGCGAGCGTTGCGCGAGGAGGCCAGATGGTGTTGGCGTCCGAAGTCCTATTGGATCATCGCGCTGTCTCTCGATGCATCGGGTAGTCATATGGACATGATGGCGTCCTTGGAAGTGTGGGATTCGCTGGGTTCGAGGCTAGCCACGCGGAGGTTATGCTGCTTACAGGGAGGACGTCGCTGCCGATCGGGGCCCTGCTCCCAATCGGTCCCTTCAAGGAGCGAGACCCCCTCTAGGCAGCGGCGGGCCATCCTCGAGTTATCCCACGCCATGCGCTGCGCCATCATTCGCACTGCGTGCCTGTGAGAAGTCTGCATATTCTATTAATTCCATTTGGCCTTACCAGCGCCTCGTGCCAGGTCACCCGTTCGTGTGCTGTCTCTGATCGCTGCACCTGCTTCACTCTCCGCGTTTCGACTTCACATATACGCCGAGACACATGGCATGCTTTGAGCAGTACTTTAGCACCTTCAAACTTTACCTCGTTTAATATCATCATTATCACAAATCAGACATGTCCCGAAACGTACATTGGCCTCGATATGAGTCGAGTAACAGTACTCACTCCGGCCGCAGCGACAGCGACCGTTCGGACGAGACAAATCCGACCGAGTACAGTGACCGGCGTCCCTCTCTGGTCCAAGCAGAGACACGCGACGGGCGCCGTGAACAAAGAAGCGATCCAGACTACTTCGCCTCTAGAAATTTCAACGACGAATATGAGACGTACCCTACCCGCGCCTCCGTTGACACATATGCTTCGACCAGCGAAGAAGAACTCGCCGACGACGACCTCGACGATATGCCCACCTACCAGGTCCCGCAATGCAATCATGTGCCGCTGCAAAGCGAAGCCATCCCCACAACGCCACGCGATTTCGCAGAGCTCTTCCCTACAGGCAAGCGCATATCGATACGGCACGACGATGCCACCATAGACGGGAATATGAACCTACGCGTGGATACGCAGGTCGAGGAACGGGGACACAGGAAGCATAACTACACACTCTTCCATTTGCGCATGCAGGACTTGCGCACTCGCGAATTCTCGTTGCGTCGGTACTGCCGAGAGTCTGGTCGTGAAGTCTGCCATTCAATACGAAAGTACCAGAAGCCTCCATCTGAGAGGCCAGTCTTGCAGCGCGCAAGCACAGCTCTGGCCAACTTGGTCAAATCTGACTCTAGACCCTCGACTTCAGCGGGCCTAAAGCGTACAGACTCTGGGTATGAATCTGTGCCTAGCCATGTCGCAGCGGAGCTTGGAGAAGGACCCAAACCCAAGTCTGTTGGCTATGCAAAAGGCCGGGCATTGATGCCTACCAACACCATCAAACTGGAGTTCTCCAACTATGCACACCTTGACGTCAAGCGAAGAGGTGCGAAGTCATACAAACGTTACGCTTTCGAATACTGGGGCCACGATTACTCCTGGAAGCGCATTGTCAAGAAGGAAGCTGAACATGAGAGTGTGTCTTACTACCTCGTTCGCGACGACAATGACAAGGAGCCTCTGGCACACATCTGTCCTGTGCGATTGACTGCGGAGGAGGCACATGATGAGCAAGCACGAGGAGGCTGGGTCCCACCGTGTTACATGCGCATCACCGATGAGCAGATCTTGCGGTCCGATTCTGACGTTTCTGAGTGAGTAACACTAGGCTGCGGCCTGCCTTTGCCATACTAATATACTATCTAGTGTCGTTGTAGCAACAGGCCTCATGGCTCTTGTGGATGACTGCATCAAGCGTCGCTTCCACTCCACGCAGAGCACGCAGTTACACATTCCACTCATACGTAATGCCAGCTTCAAAATGAACATGGAGTACATCGGCCCTAAACGGCTAATTGACGAGATGTTCAGTCGAAATACTGGTCCCAAGAAGCCGTCATCCGGACAGCGCCGTGTCCCGGCGCCAGCATGATACGGCCTCCATGAAATATTGTTTGGTCATTCGCGACCCGTATCGTAGCCGAAACTTAAGTCGCGCCTACATGGTAGCTCACAGTGTACATCTGTGTAAGCTCCATCCTGGTGTGCTGGGCTCTTGTCCGGGTGGGCCTCGGTAGGCATCCGATGCACGCATGCTGTCCGTACGTGTCGCAGCTTTATTTTGGTGTCGCACGTGCATGGCTTCCACACGAGCCATGGCGTCTTGAATGTTTTAATTGCATAGCGTTGCAGTCAAGCAGATATGTTTGGCTTGTTTGGAATATTGGTCGCATGTCCTGCGCCAACATGTTCAATTTTTTATCTTTAGGTAGTCGCCGATTGGTACATACAGAGCCAACACTGCTTTTGGTAACGAGGTCACGACCGGAGCTGTCCATGCTCTTACACGAATCGATACTTTGGTTATGGAATCCTCCATTGACACTATTTTGGTCATTCTTCCCAACGCAAAATTGCCCCGAACGCTGCTTCGCTTTCCTGCAATCGGGTGGCTGCAGGTACAGCTGATACTTGTGCTACACTTGACGACACAACCGCGAAATTCTCCGCCTATAGGGGTTCGCCTTTTGCATGAGGCTCTTCTACCGGTGTGTAACTATTCATTTCGTCTTGGCAGGTGAGTATTTACGTTGATGTGTCATGTTTGCTCCCGCATGCACAACGCAACTTCGATAAATATGCGGGTGGCATCTACCCAGCATCCATATCTCTCCAAGGCTAGTCCGGGTGCTACGCTCTGTTTTGTCGAAGTAAGACGAACAACGTCAAGTTGATTTTGCAGCTAACCATTAACATCCAAACAAGTCGAAGCCCGGCACGTTGCATTCGCCTCATGTCACCTCTCCCACAAGGGCATCTAAATCATCCACGGCGGGATCGAGCGCCCGTTATGTGTTACCGAGCTCAGCTCACGCGGTGCGTCTTATTGAAAGCTGTCTAAACCGATTATCATTATGCAAATCAGGTTCGCACCCCGTGGAAGTACATCATTGGCCCAAAACCAAGACTAAGACTGCATGTTCTTGCCCATGATGGACAAGGCAAGGATGGGTCTTAGCATTCGCTTACAACAGCGACGAGAACACATGGGCATGACAGGTTTGCGAATGCATAACACAGTTACGAAAGCTTTTGCAACAGTTCTGTATTGTTGTACGCTGCAGATGGACCGGCGGCTTCGCTTCACGATCCACCTCGGGTTGCTCTCAAGCAGGTACCCGTCTTAAACGCACGCGTGTGACATTACAGAAGTCTTACTTCAGCGCTCTGGGTCTCAACAGTAGTGACGTAGCAACAATTACGAATGACATGTTCATGCAACAATTGCGGGCGAGACGAGGTGCTTGGATGCGAAGTCGAGCTTGATCATATCATCCGCGCTCCACACGGGTACGCTTCACGATTCACACGAAGCAACACACCTGCATATGGATATTCTTCCCCACTAATACATGGTTCATCGGCCAGGGCTACATAGGGCTTACATAGTATGCACGGGTGAGCTGTCCTACAGGGTGCGGAGGTGGATGATTCTACGGCTCGCGATGCGAGCCGTAGACTAGCTACTGCACTACCCTGAAAACGCATTGTATAGTCTCGCTTCTGAACATCCATGCTAGTATTGCCTAGGCTGTGTTGGCGGACAGGCGGTTTAGGCATACCCCTACCCCACATATTCCCAATGTCTTTCCACAGCTCCATACGTTCACACCCTCGGCCCGCGAGCCAAACCGATCCCAGTCCTCGGGGCCCGGGAAGTCATAGCGTGATAGGCGTTCTGTATATGCATCTGATGTACGAAAGCCATCCATAGGCTCACGGATGATGGTGCCACAACGAATCGGCACGGGGCTGCTGGCATCAGCACCGACAAGTCAACCCGCAGAAAAAGGCAATCGGACGTCACAATCTGCAGCAGTTACTACCCGCGAGCCTCGCTGGCAAGCGTTGATGTTGCCTGAATGAGGCTCTCGTCTCGGGCACATGTAAGTATAAATAAGGCACAGTCATGAGCTTCGAAGTCAACAACACAATCTACAATAACTTCCTTCGAATAAGATTGCCTTGTCTACCTCTCAAAATCATTATGTCACAAAACTGGGTCCAGCGCCTTTCGGGTAAGCTTGTGCACTCTTTCTCAGACCTCGGACCTCACTAACGAGTCAAAACTAGAGCATTGTACAGTTCGTGGTTTCTCTAATCCGAGCTACCAAACCGTGTCGGACCGCAGAGGTAAATTCCCCTATGATCCCAACTCCACTCGAGCAACCTCCTCATTTAGCATTACAGGTGGCCGCACAGCATGGAGCTCCATCGCCTGTATCAACGGAGTGACGTATCCTGCTAAGTTTTGGTACGATGGCGAATATGTAGAGCAGTCAAAGCACGACGCTGCAGAATCCGCGTTGAGGATTCTGACTGGAACCCAAGATATGACAACGGAACCACCACCAGCGACGTTCTACCAGCAGAGAGCTTCGGCTTGAAGCGAGAAGAGAGTTTCTTTTGACACCATTTGGTATTGCGTTAGTGATTGGTTGGATTCAGTGATGGATTGATTGAACGTCGCGAAGACGCTAATGGGTGAATGTTGCAGTTTGGACAGGGGTGTGAGAACGGCAAAAGAGATTGAGAGTTGGTTACATCCTGAGTCTAGCGAAATCAATGGACACTCTTTGCTAGTTTCAGACAGAATATTGAAATACACGAAGTGAGGCGTGATTACGTGATTATACCCGTCGAGGAGGATGAGTCGAAGTACGGCAGCTGCTATTCTACACTCACCTAACTTGCACACTTTGACGCCGTACAGATCGCCCTTGACCGTCTCTAACCTCCTTGATTATGAGGTAGAGTAGATTTTCCTGCGGCAAAAATCTATTTGCATTAAAATGCCCGCTGTCTCTAGCTTTTATTCGTGGAGGTTTTGCCTTGCAAAGTTGATAAGAAGAGGAATACGAAAACCGAAAACTCTTAGGCCTGAAAAAGATATAGGCCTGGTCAGCTTCAGCCACTTAGCTCGAGCAACACTTGTGTGGGTGTGGCTTGTTTTTCCATGAGAGCGCACAACCAAAGCTGCCTCGAAATGCCCATGGGCTGAGACACGGTCACTCGAACAAAGAGTGCATTCCTCATTCGCTATTTCTTGTTGAGTTATGAAGATGCTTGGTCCCCGCCCGATCTGATGAGCCCAGTCTGCGAGCTGCCCAGAAGAGCACCAAGTTGCTTCAGGGCCAGAAGTGGTGCATGACATGGGTGGGCGACGTGTTGGCGCAACCAGCGCCTAGAAAACGGATAAAGCTACACGATCAGAAGCTACTAACCAGTCGAATCATGCGGAGCGATCGAGCCGCCCCTGGTTGCGGGCCGGTTCAGTTGCCGCGTGGATGTATGCTTCCACCAGGCAAACAGCTCACACTACAATCAGCTGCAAGATAGATTAATGGAATGCACGTGTAGGGATCACTGAGTTTGCAGCAAGTCTGAGCATGTGGGGGGTCTGTTTGCCAGACTCGTGGTAAGCCACTGAGCAGTGAAGGAAGGCTACGTGGTACTGCCGTCCGTGGCTTTACGCCACCCATGCGTTAGTTAACAAGGACTGACCTTGAACATATGCGTTGGTTGTGGATCACGACGGTCAAATTGAAAAATTGGCGGGGAAAGGAGGTCCACGGAAGCAATGATGTCGTGTCGAGAGGCTCTTGCCCGACTTACTGCATGAAGGAATGCTGAACCTTGATGCATAGCTGCTCAATGAAGTAGCGTCTTGTTCCCCGAAATTTGCCCCTTAGGTGTATGCGGCGCGC